ATTTCTAAATTCCATTTACTCTTGGTTTTAGCATTGTAACATTAACTAGGAACATTTGCGTCTTTAAATCGTAGGGAATACCCGGTCTTCGTGCAAACAAGCACTTACACTTGCAAACAGCAGCAAACTATCGTATTAGGTCAATTTTGTCAACTCGATCTTATAAAAACGAATCACACTGTAAACATAATGTTAGAAAACAGCATGATTCACTTTTCCAATTCCTCATGCCACTGACCTGATACGGTTTATCAAGGTAATTAAAAATGGATTGTTTCGATATTGGCAATGTGTCATAGATGAAACCGAAGGCCAAATAAACGTCTGCGAATGGTAAATGGTAAATAACGTTATCTAGCTTCAAAATGATATCATCCATTGAAATTTAGAAAGGAACAAAACACATTGCGTGTTGTAATTGTTAAATGAGTAATTTTTAAAATTTTGTTTTGTTGAATAAAATTTCCAACTTGAACCCTGTATATTTAGTTAGACTCCATTTTGTCAAATTTAGTAGGTAGAAAATAAATAAATAATAAATAAAAGTAATTTAAAAAAAAGTTTTGTTATAGTTAACCCTAATTTGTCTTTTTTAATTTTATGGTTGGGGGGCTGCAGTAGCTGAGTGGTCAGTGTGAACTGTGAACTCCTACGGTCACCCCTGGCCCATTTTTCATGTGACCCTCCCCCCCCCCAAAAAAAAACGCATAGCAGATATCAAGTTCATTTGCTAATATGCAAAGTTCATAAGGCCTTATAAAAACTATTTATGTTTAAAAAACAATTCCATGTGGGTTTTTTTTAAACAGTAAATTCATTATTCGGAGATTATGAGATGCGGTCTGGTGTGAATTTTTTTTCCTTTTAAATCTAAAATTTTCTAGCATTGTACAAATTCATTTTTTCCACATCCTACATGTATTTGTAAAATTTAAACAATGTTTATAAATCCCAGGCCCTGAAGATGATCTCAATAAAGATCGAAACGTTGGTACGATAAAGAAAATGTTTTTTTAAAACCTATGTCACACTGACCGCATCTCACAATCTCCGAATGATCAATAACTAATGGTCACTAAACACCACCTAATAAATTCATTTCTTTATTTGAACGTTTCAGGCATTTACACCCATCATCAGTGTCTACTTTTTAAACATAAATATAACAAAGTATTTTACATTTTAGTGTAAGGCTTACCTTTTTAATACAGTTTCTATTAAAAGATATAATGACCATTTTGCATCTGCAGTTTAAGTTTATTTATATAAAATTTTGTATTATTTTTAAGTAATATTTAAAAAAAAGGAAAGATTCTGATGATGATAAATTCCCGAAACACCAAATATAAGTAACAAATTTACTTTCTTTTTTAAACACGTTTTTTGTTTAACAAAAACAAAAAATAAATATTACACAATTTTGCCGTAAATTATTCTAACAAGGGGGTAACCAGGTTGGTGAGTCACAGATTTGAACCAAACTTTTTTCAGTGGTTCTACACTCCAGAATATTGGACACGTAACGCCACATATTGTGAAGAAGCCTTGGTTCCCCAAAATATTTTGAAAGTTAAATTTTTCATTTTATGTTGAAATGATTTTTAAAAAATCCACTTCAAATTAAAAAAAAAAGTAAATATAATATATATAAATAAATAAGTAAAACTCGAATTTTGTTACATTGATTAAACATTGTAAACCAAACTAAACGAGATCAGAAATTCATGTTTTACTAAAAAATGTTTGTGATAATTTGAATTTTTTAAACAAGGGTTAGCAACAGAAGAGATTGTGCCAAACCTCACAATGTTGGTGTTAAAAAATGGTATGTTGGGTTGGAATGCTGGGCAGCTGGATTTGAACTCAGAATCTTTACCGTACAGAGATAATTTACATATTCTATGTCTAGTCTTCTTTAGCCGATTGTGATATAATTTTAAGTTCATGAAGTTACATTTTTCTTTCTCTTTATAACCAGTTATATTTTTGTTTTCTTATATTTGCTTAGTGATCTATTTATTTTTATATTGTGTTTACCTTGTTTTTGTCTTGTGATATTAGGCTTCTAAGCCTTCATTTTTAATCAATGAAAAAATAAAAATTACACCTTATTTCTATGTACAATACGCGATGGAGTTCTTTTGTTTGTCTTTTTCCTCTTCTCAACAGAATCTAAAATTCCTGTACTGTCAGGAAATTTGTTGTAGTTGTAAGTTTCTTCCTGGTTAGAAATATATTTTTATTTATTTTAAATCATGCTAGAAGATATTTAAATTACTTGCATCCAGTGAGAGATCTCTTCACTTACTTTTTCTAGAGTAATTCTCACTTCTGTCATGCTGAAAAGTTCGGTTAACTCCCTGCTTTGTAAACTTGTTTAAACTTCATGGTTGAATCTTTTTCTTCCACAGTGTGTTCACTTCGATTTTATTCATCTTTGAGTTGATGATCAGGTGTGATAATTAATGCCTTTAATTTTGTACTGTTCAGAACAAAATCAATACCTTTCACGATAATGCGTGGACCTTAATCTTTTAAAAGATTGGGTGCACTACCTTGAATTCTGAATGCTTGATTTCAGCACCTTCTTGAGTTCTATTTCTCGCATTAGCATATTAGCTAGTAACTTGTCTATTATCAGAACTGAAATAAAATGCTAAAAAAACAAATGTGATTTGGTCATTTCTGATCATTTGATCACTGAGCCTATCCTCAGTTTTGTCCTGTCAGGCCTGTGTCAGCTTATAGGCAGAGTGACAGGTCTGTACGTTTCGTCAGTTTTGATCCACACATCCTTGGAATGACACTGACAAAGTAACAAGGATATTTTTTTAAGGTTTTCAGGTATTGCCATATCATAAAATCAATTAAACGACTAAATTACAGGTTCATCACAGGCAAGCCTCATGAGGAAATCTAAATATCTAAAATTACAATTACTTATCTATATTTTGTAAAATAATTTGATATATTTATAGTTAAAATAATATAATGGTCTCATTGGTTTTCATATATTAACACTTCTCAACAACTTAATTACATTTTATCATTTCATTACTTGCAGTATATTTGTTCATATTTTGAATTTGAAATGGTAATCTCCAAATAGAATTTTATTTGTTGATTTGGTTTTGAGTTGTGGGTTTTTTTGTTTTATCCCCCCCCCTCTGTTTATAATACACAAAAGTTATCATTAAGTTGTATTAAGCATAAAGTTATTATTACCATTTTAATTTTATTATTACAATTTTCCCATGCTTGCATTTTGATGAAACTGCATATTAAATGCTTAAGCAAGAAGAAATTTGTTTACGAACACTCCAAGTATTGACTCAGCTGAAACTGAATAAAACCTGGTTCTTATTGTAAATGTACTAGGGACTTTTTACTTTAAAAATTTATCATAAGGAAAAAATATTTAATTAGTTTCTATCAATTGATTTTTGGCTTTCCAAAACAATAACTTTCAACTCAGATCCAGCTTAGATGATCACTAGATAATTAGAAACAAATATAGAGCTGAATAAATCATAAAATTAAGTATTAAGAGCCCCATCTGTAATAAAACAACAAAATATCATGTAAATGTTTGTTTGAACCATTTGTATTTAATAGTCTTGTACTAAAAAAATAAATAATAATATTTGAAAAATCAAATTCAATACAGATAACATACCTATATCATCACATTACATTCTACACATCAAATATTTTTCACTTAGTCTAATTTCACAACAATTCAGCTTTCCTTTTCCTATTTATCCCTTTCTATATAATCCTGAAAGGATAATCTGGCCAAACCATTACCAACACATTTTTTTCCCTTCGTCGGCTCCTTTCACCTCAAAGAAGCCGATGCCTTATACAAAAATGTCTTATCTATACCGACATCCTTTCCCACCCCTTAAAAATCCAACTTATATAAACAAAAAAGCAAAATCTCACTGGCACTCTCGACACGACACGCAAGAATGACACAATTACACAGAAGACAAACACTGAGTGAGTAGAAATACTTTGATTGAATATATAAAATATATTTTGCATTGTATACATTCACTTTTCCACATCCAAAATGTAATTGTTATATGTAACCAATGTTTGTAAATCCCAGGCCCTGAAGATGATCTCAATAAAGATTGAAACGTTGGCGTGATAAAGAAAATGTTTTTCTGAAACCTACATCACACCAGACCGCATCTCATGATTTCTAAATAAATACTGTTACAATTTTTGGAGGAAAGAGAATTGTTTTATTGTGTACAGTTTTGTGTCTCTAGCATGTGTTGATAGTGATTGTATTTATTAGAATGAATGTGTAGTGTGAGAGGACCAATGGAATATTTAGTACCCCATCGATGCTCAGTTAGGTTAGTTATAATAGATGTAATGGATAATGTAAGAATATCCAGTACTAAACCACCCTAATTGAGTGAATGGTAAGAAAATAGGAGGGAATGCATTTAAAAATGAACATGAATTTGAATGGGTTTGGAACTGCATGCATTGTGTGCAGAAATGATCTAGCTGTTGAAAGCTCCCGGAGCCCAACTCGGTGGTTGGATGGTTAAGGCCGAGGTTTGACCCCAGACTGAGGTGAGTGATTCTCGAAGCCTGCCGGTAATTTATTGTAAATTACAAAAGCTGGAACTGCCAACGGCCTGTGAGATTGTATTGTGTGATTATATTGCGAGATTTATTTACAACTCTGCACATGTGTATACTATATTTACATGCATGTGTGGATTTGAGCCTATATCAATCCTAAATTCAAATCCAGTATAAATAGACTAAATAGTACTAAAATTAAAATTCAAGCTTAACATTTAAAAAAGGGCAATACTATTCAAAGGATAAGTTACAAAGTCCTCACCCCTGCTGTTAAGTAATATGACATTTCAACTTCTTACAGAAAGGTCAAACTGTTTATCGACATTACTATTTACATAAGTACATATACCTGTTATATTACTATTTAAAAAAAATATTACTTTTTCCAGCTACTCGCTTTACAAGTTGTCTTCGGAAGGTATGAATATGCCCACTATTGCAAATTACGTGGATGTTGTCCTGGAAGACAAGACGATTGCTTGTATCAAATAGACCGACATACAGTTTGTTATTGCGACGAATTCTGTGTAAAAACCAAGACATATGTCAACTCAATAGATTGTTGTTCTGACTACTGGAGTTCCTGCCGACGATCTGAACCGTGGGTGTACGGGAATAACAGTAAGTCAATAAAATATAAATAAAAATTTACTTATATTATTCAAATATTAAAAGTGTAAGTAATATATGAGCAATTAAAAATTGAGATGAAAAGATGTGTCACTGAAGGGAATCATTCTTCAGATCAGTATGCCATCACTCTGTCATTAAGCCACCTGACTTTGATCCCTCAGAGCACATATTTTCATTTCAACCTACATCTGTTAACTTTACAACTCATTTTTATTTTTTTGTCATTGTACGTTGTTAATCATAATTTTCCTAGCATAAATAAAAATAATCTAATTACAAATAAAGTGTATAACATTATAAATGTGTGTACATAAATAAAGTTAAAAAAAGCAACATTGGTACATGTAATATTTTTTATATTTTTATTTCCAGCTTGTTATGTCAAAGATTTGAACAGAGAGTACAAAGTTAATGGAGAATTCAAGATTAACTGCAATAAGTGGTAAGTTTATTTCTTCTTCAGAAGAATTTTTGTTTTAGCCAGAAGAATTATGTTTTGTATACTTTCAAAAAAATTTGTGTGGTGAAATACTGAATAATTTTATAATAATAATAACTGTAGAGAAATGGTTGAGATAGCAGGAGAAACAGGAAGGTGAGAGAGAGAGAGAGAGAGAGAGAGAGAGAGAGAGAGAGAGAGAGAGTGATCAAAAGAAATAGGGAGAGGATGAGAGAAGGACAACAGTTGAAAGGGGACATGGGAATTGAAAGAGTGAAGGAGACAGAGAGAAAAGAAAGAATGTAAATGAATGATAGAGTGAAAGAGAGAGATTGAGAAAGCATGGAGGAGAGAGAGAGTGAGTGAATGAGAGAGTTGGAGTGAGGAGGGAGGGAAGAAAGAAGGAAAAGAAAGTGTGTGTGTGAGAGAGTGAGTGAGAGGGATATATTGATTGATGGTTGTATTTTTTATTCAAGCTTAGATCTATGGGACCTTTCTTACACAGATTAAGTGAGTCAGTCAGTAAAGTCGAATGAGTTAATGATACGAGTGAATGATTGAGTGTGGATGGAGGTAAAATAAAGAGAGTAGTAAGAGAATGAGTTATGATGTGAATGATCTATAATCTATAGTCTTGTCTATAATCCATATTTGCTTTTATTTTCAGCAAGTGTCATGTAGGCAACCGAAATATGAACATATCATGCGATGAAGAGGTATGTGTTGTGGATGATAAATTAATTTCTTTAGTGAACAGCCGTAATTTGGGCTGGACGGCTTCTAAACAAAACGAGTTCTGGGGACTGACGATAAGAGAAGGATTCGCCAAACTGCTTGGAACATTCTACTTCAGTCAGAAGGTAATGTGTTAGAAAATGCATCCTGCAAAATTTCTGAGAGATAGTATTGAATTAAAATTGTACATTATGTTATATCAGGTGTTAAGGATGTCTTCTATACATGTTAGAGTACGTTCACTACCCCATAGCTTTGATGCTAGAGAAGAATGGCCTGGATACATACAAGGCCCAAAAAATCAAGGGCACTGTGGCGCATCTTGGGCTTTTTCAACCATCTCCGTCGCAAGTGATCGTTGGGCAATCGAATCCAAAGGAAACTTCACAAACGGCTTAAGCTACAGACAGCTCTTCTTGTGCAGCAAATCCCAACGCCAGTGCAATGGTGGTCATATTACCAAGGCATGGCGTTTCCTTAAAAAATACGGGTGAGTTGAACTTTCAAATCTTTTGGCATTTATATGTCATTTTGGTTTTTGTCGATTGGATAGCCTCCTCCCAGAAATGTGTCTTCCTTGGGATTGGAACGAAGTGCACAACGAGAAGGTCTGTCACAAGAAAACTGCCAAAGCGGCTCATTGTCCAGCGATAGGCTCATTTGAGCCTATAAGACGTATGGGTCCTGCTTACAGGATAGAAGGAGAAAAACAGATCATGCAAGAAATTATGACAAACGGCCCTGTTCAAGGTGAGTTAATATTTAAAATTAATAAATTAGATACTTTTTTTTAGAAACAATAACCCAAATTAATACTCTTTATTTATTTGCAGCAACAATGACAGTTTACAGGGAATTTTTCCTTTATAAAGAAGGCGTGTACAACTGTGCCAATATAGATTCAACGAATTTGGAAGGATTTCACTCTGTCAAACTTATCGGATGGGGCGAATCGATATATGAAGAAAAATACTGGGTGAGTTTATTTTATGCTCATAAAATTAACCTTTCATATAAAATATTTTTTTGTTTTTCAGCTCGCTGTCAACTCATGGGGAACGTCATGGGGTGAAGGTGGCTATTTCAGGATCACCCGCGGACAACAGGCATGCAGAATTGAAACGTTCGTCATTGGTGCACACACAATCCAGTCTACTTCGAAAAAACTGCCTTTTGATGTCACAAGGCGCAGGTGATAAGGGATAAACAGTGTACATTTTAAAATTTTCCATTTTTCGATATTGACATCAGTTATTTTAATGTTACCTTTGTAAGCTAAATGTGTTCATGTTTGTTTATTTTGTAAAAGTAAGTTTTTGTTACTTTAATTGTAAGTAAATAACTAAATATTAATACACAATAACTTTATTTTTAAGTACTTTTTTGAAGATTATTAAGATGTACAGTTAATCTATATTATCTGTTTACCATGTATTATATTTTAAATATCATCTCAATATGTTAAAAGCTTTAATAAATGATCTAAGCAATGTTGTATGTAGCAAACAAATTACAGTGGAGTTTGGTAAAAAAAAATTTCTTCAGTCTCGATGAACATGCAATGAAATAAGCTTGTTGACTTGAGTAATGGGATTTTTGTTAAAAAGTTCATTTCTCTTCCTAAAAGCATTCTCAAATTTTTATCACGAGGCAGTTCAAGCCCCAGGTGATGACCTAGAAAAGTTCCCGAGAAGAAAGTAGAGGACGATAAGTTTAACTGACATAAAACTACTCAAGGACAATGCTCCTAAGAAATGTGGAATGTTAGCATGATCGATTTAAGGAGCACTTCTGGGACATTTATGCGACTCCCTCCAGCCAATGCTCACCTCTATTTATGTAAGTATGTAACTTTATCTCACTCAGAAGACTGTTTAACACCTCTCAGCTACCCCTATCACATTTTAATTTCCACTTACTATTTAATTATTACACACCCTTTTATATTATAATAGAGCAATCGAGCGGCTCCCAAACTTTTTCAGATTCCAAGCTCATCTCCCTTAATATACCAGAATTTTTTCACAGCACCCCCCAATCAAAACATTGGTCTATCGCAGGGCAAACTTTATGTTAATAGTAGTTTTTCTTCATTTTCAATATACTAAAGCATTTGTACAGGGGTGGGGGTTCAGAGATAGTGCAAAAAAACTTTTTGGGTGATAGTACACCCTATTTGCAACAACTTCCAATGCACAATCCTAATACATAGTTTTTCATGGAAGCGTTACCTTATTTGAGAAAAACACAGAAATCCATCATCAGGGTTACCAGTTTTTGCTAAAGCATAAATTTCTCGTTTATACTATTTTCATCTAGAATAATGGTACGACCTCCTTGTCTCGCTCTTACGAGACGGTGGAAAAGAAGGTACGGTACACGAAAATTACGGATTTAGGGATTTTAATTAAAATGTTAAAACTAAAAGTAATTCTATATTGTTAGAAATGAAATTATTACAATTGTAAGAAACAAATATTTTCAAAGTATGCCTTGATTTGTTTTATTTTTATTACCCTGCACTCAACTGGGTCTCCTCCGCAGCAGGTCTTTCTCCGACAATGTCCTTGGCGCATCTAACGCTAATTGGCCAATTTGCGGCGGAGTCTCCTTTCCCGCTGAAAAAGGGGGGGACACGCCCCCACATCCACGGTTCCCGTGTCACGCGATCTCTTGAGTCGTGACAATAATTTTCTTTTTTTTTAATTAAGAACCTTAATAAATGCTCAAATTGAAAATACCACAAAATTTGGTTTTTAAGAAATAATGATTTTTAAGAAATTATGTATAATTAGTATGCCCTTATGTTTAATCCTAGAGATGGTCAAACTTCACGAGAAGTTCATTATTTATTGAGCTTTCAAACGTTATAACAATATCCATAACCCCCTCCTGATTTTAGTAGACCTACTGCATATCAATTGTTGAAAAAGTACTAACATACATGAGATCAATGCACAGTTGATGATGATGATGATAAATAGAAAGTGATTAAGCACTTTATAGCAAAAATTTAAAAATGAATGAATACTTTTTTCTCTGGCCATAATATAAAATACACAATTGCAGCAAAAAAGCAGAAGGATGTGATTGGTTGTATCCACCACTACTACCCGAGAGGCAATTTTACATTGGCAGTAATATTTAAAAAGCAATATTTTTTATATAAAATTTTTGTAATGCACAGCAGTTTGGTTATCACGTTGTAATTAAATATTATTATAATATTCAATAGGCATAAAGATACTTTTTTTCTCTTTTGTTTTTGTTTCTGAACTGTTTTTCAGAATTTTTAGTTTGGAAACTTTCTCTGCATTTTTTGCCAGCTTAGCTTAGCCTCTTTCAGTATTTCTTACAAAAAGAATTCTTACATTCAGTCGTTCTTACTTTACATTTTATAATAATGATTATTTGGTGACCGTGAGATATGGTCTGAACTTTGGTTGAGTCTAAAATTTCTAGCATTGTATAAATTCACTTTTTTCACATCCTACATCTATTTGTATAATTTAAACAATGTTAATAAATAATTATTCAGAACTCATGAGATGCGGTCTGGTGTGATGTAGGTTTCAGAAAAACATTTTCTTTATCGTGCCAACGTTTTGATCTTTATTGAGATCATCTTCAGGGCCTGGGATTTACAAACATTCTTTACATTTAACAAATACATTTAGGATGTGGAAAAGTGAATTTATACAATGCTAGAAAATTTTAGATTTAAAAGGAAAAAAAATCACACCAGACTGCATCTCACGATCTCCGAATAATGAATTTACCGTTTTAAAAAAAACCCACATGGAATTGTTTTTTAAACATAAATAATTTTTGCCAGGCACTCTCAACACGACACGCAAGAATGGCACAATTAAAGATAAAGAAAATGTTTTTCTGAAACCTACATCATACCAGACCACGTCTCACGATTTCTGAATAATTATCGATTAACGGTCACTAATCACCACACAATGTTTATAAATCCCAGGCCCTGAAGATGATTTCAATAAAGATAGAAACGTTGGCACAATAAAGAAAATGTTTTTCTAAAACCTACATCACACCAGACTGCGTCACACATGATTATATCCAAATAATCATTTTTGTACAGTTGATAAAACAGGAAGTTCAATGAAACTGTATTAATTAAAGTGGGGAACACATTTACCCGAAGCAATATTATGCAACGCTACCCAACACGAATCCAAAGTCCAATTTTCCATAAGGCAGAAAATTTATCAAAACACCAGAATAAATTTATCATAATCTTAAAACGATTAAATTTAACTAACATATTACATGGTTGTCATAAAATTTAGCTAACAATTTATTACAAGGTTTTGTTCAAAATAGTGCATTAAAACAACAAAAGAGGTGTTGTGATTGTGATACTGATTATTGTGATACACGCTGTGTAGTGTACATGGTGTGCACTTGACATCGAATAGATGTGCACACCCTACCAAAACGAGACAAGGCGTCGGGTAGCGTTGCATCACGTGTGTTCCCCACATAACAAAGGGTGATATAAAAACCCAAACTTCGCTATACCTGGCATTGCTATAAAGGAACTCTACTTTATATACATAATTAAATAGTAATAAAATAATAATAGCAAAAGTAGAAATTAATGAAATATAAATCAATCGTCTCCAATCATCCTTGCTGAATTCCCTGTCAGACATATCTTCATGTCACGAATAGTTTGTAATTCTGCATTTCTTTTATAATGTACCGACATGCCAGAAGCAGAAAAATGGGATGCACAACCACTGAGAATGGTGAAATGTGTCTAGCAGAGCAAACCAGCGATTCTAAGCAATAATGCAGCAATCGTCAGAGACAACCATCTACAAAATCATGATTGTTTATAAAGGACAAACTAGGAAGTAGAAAAATGCGCATGTACAAAGTTACGTTCAATGAAGTCCTCCTCCTGTGCAAAATATACAAAATAAGTCGAGCAATGTGCAGTGATATACAATTTTATTTCAATATATTTTTATACATAAATTTGTCCTTTTTTTTAAATCCAATTATAATTGTCCATACACAATTTACATAAAATTTTGTATTTTCAAAATATATATATAAAAACAATAAAAATAAAAGATTTCTCTGTTCCCTTTTTTTCAATTTCTTTCTGTACATAAATGCATAACAATTGTCTGTGGTTTAAGTAAGTGTATTTTATTTAAAAACTAAATGAAAAGTGTTTTCCCCTGATAAACCCTTAATTCTTATCATTCTACTTTCAAATTGGGTATAATAATTTATCAGTAATTATAACATAACAAATTTAATTTAGTATCTTCAAAAATGTTAATTATCTTTTTTTATTGCACGGTTCATAGTTCAATCAAGTACTTGGTCAGTGGCTGATTTGAGGCAAAACGTTGTCCACTCTTGGTCATCCCCAGTTGCCAAGACTTCTATTGAATTTAGGAATGTCTTATCTAAAATTAAATTTAAAAAAATATTTTAAAAAAAATATATATATAAATATATTTACTCGAAAAATATTATTAGAAAAATAGTTAACTTACTTGAAAAACCACCAACAGCATAAAGCTTAGAACCAGCAACTGCCAGCCCCAGATTGGATCTGGCTGTGGTCATACTTGGACCGGGTGTCCAGCTTTTTGTTTCTGGATCATAGACCTCAGTAGATGACAGAGAGTGTGTCCCATCCCATCCACCTACGCAATATAGCTTTCCTGGGAGAAAAAAACTAATCTTATAAAAAAGAAAATGCATTAAATAGATAAAAGGGGGTATCAACCTTGAAATACTTGAAGCCCCGGACCTCGACGAGGGGTGGCGAGATGCCCTGCATAAGACCATTCTTTAGTTACCGGATCATATACCTCAACCGATCCCAAGTAGCTCCAGCCATCGCAGCCTCCGACAACCCACACCTTTCCCATAAACCCGCAAGCAGCTGCCTGATATCTCCCAGTGTGCAAAGGCTCTATTTCTGTCCAGGTTCGTGTCTTGGGATCGAATAGGTCACACTGCTTGATACCGACCTGGTCGTTGAAACCTCCGATACAATAAATAAGGCCGTCGAGTGATGCAACAGCAGTGTGACTGCGAGGTAAAGGTAACGATGAAATGCGTTCCCATTTATTTTCTTGCTCAGAGTATATCTCTACACCACTGAGCTCGTTTGTGCCGTTGCAACCACCTATTGCATATGCTAGGCCATTTACTACAGCAATGTTGAATCGTCCTCGAGGTTCGAGCATCGGTGAAAGGTCCTTCCATTCATTTGTTATTGGGAGATATATTTCAGTGGAGCGTAAACATTCACCACGATCATAACCTCCTGAAAATTGAAATACTTAGTAATAATTAAATATTGCAGTTTATTAAAAGTTAATATATTTTTGCACTAAAAATATTCCAGATGATCTATCGAACACCTAACCTAACCGATGCGTCACATAAATCATGATTAGGAAGATTTGAGACTAATTTTTTTACGAATAAATTTCAATAACGATAGGAAATGGAAATTTATAAAATGAACCTTTGGGTCTAATAGTGCATCCTCGTAAATATACAAAACATTAAAGGTTAATTAATTAAGGTTTTTAGTTGAGATGAAAAAAAGTCAATGGCACGAGCGGGATTCGAACCCACGACCTTCGGCTAGATATGCCGCTGCTCTACCACTTGAGCTATCGTGACCTCGATCCACTCGGACATCAACTTCCTATCTCAACCCCACCTTATGAGTTTTCCCTCCTTTTGCCATTTTTCACACCCCATTGATTACACAACATTTGAAAAATGGCAAAAGGAGGGAAAACTCATAAGGTGGGGTTGAGATAGGAAGTTGATGTCTGAGTGGATCGAGGTCACGATAGCTCAAGTGGTAGAGCAGCGGCGTATCTAGCCGAAGATCGTGGGTTCGAATCCCACTCGTGTCATTGACTTTTTTTCATCTCAACTAAAAACCTTAATTAATTGTCATATATTAATTGGTCAAGCGGACCACAAAAGTAGTGAATTAATGAAAGGTTAATTTTCTCTTTTTTCTATCATGAACAATCCATAATCTTGCAAACTCTTAAAACGAAAAGGTCTTAATAAATATTTATAATAAGTATTTCAATTAACTATGAGGCTTTAAAACCCTCAGGGTGCCTGTGTTTTTGAAAAAAAGCTCATTTGTAAGTATATTGGGGAAGAATGCAGGGTTGCTGGATTCAAACTTGGGACCTCTACCTTCCAGTGATGAGCGCTGAGTCAACACCTTAACCGTTGTGGCCACTGACGCCCCAGTATTTTTTTTTTTTTTTTAATACACTGAATTAATATAAAATCACACTGCTGTTTTTAATTGACATGATTGAAATTGGTCATCATGATTAAAATAACATACCGCATACGAGGAGTCGCTCATTGAGATTAGCACAGCCAGCAGCACACTTGACAGACGCCATACTTGCTAGTGCACAATAAGTTGGAGTCCCGGCACCGGGATCTTCTTCATCTTGTGTTGCATCTATTTCCATAAAAGCTTGTTGCCCCCCTCCATCTGTGGGTGGGTTGAGTCTGAGAAGTATAGAGAGCGAAAACACTCTACTTTTCAGAGAGATCAAACCAAGGAAAGTGTGCTCTAAAATTGCAAAACACACATCCATTAAAGAATGATACATTCTAATATAATAAAATTATAAAACAATGAAATTTAAAAGTATAAAAGGGGGTTATACATACAAAATAAATAAGGAAACGGATAATATGACCTCAATAAATTTTTAAACTGAAATTTGAGTAATGACAATTAAGCTCTACAATATTCATCTTACAATATGATTTTTTGTCCCCTCCTTTTATGTATAATTAAAAGAACAGGTGTTCTAACATTGGATAATTAACTAGAGAGTGAATAACTCGATAACAAACAAAAGGAAAATAGTATTTTTTTTACTTATTATTTTTTATATTTACTGCATATAAGATAGTTAAATCTTTCATGTACATTACCTAAAATACCTATTAATCAGATTTGCAACAACAATAAAACTGATGCTTATAAAATGAAATAAGCATAGTATAAATAAATTAAAAATAACGTGAAAGTGGAATAGAAAAAAAATTATAGTAAGATGAATTTCTATCTGTAGATTTTTTACTGACTAGATACGGGCGTTGAGGCGATAACTTTGTCATCATGGCCAACGTCCTCGTCTGACGAGTCCGAAATGTTCCTCGAGTAAACGATTACCCTCGGTTTGGCTGGGGCCACAGCCTTAGCACGTTTCTACATGAAAACTGATATTTTAGAGAAGTCTACAAAAAGAGGAATGAGACAAGAAAAGAGTGCCCACCTTAGTCATGTTTTTTGAAAGTTTCTTGTAATCCTGGACGATCTGAGTGTCACCCATTTCACCGGATGGCAGGTCAACACAATCCTTCAGTGTGTTATCAAGTGCAAGGTATAGCATATGTGTCTTTTCTGTAAGTTGTTCAGCTCCAAGTTCACAAACGCGCAACCAATCGAGCACCAGCCTTGCAGCAGAATCACAATCGACGAGTGACATCTCACTTCTTGTCTGACTTAAAACTTCTACTTGGAGGCAAGGCAATGCCAAAAACACAGGAGATTTGCTGATGTCTGCAAACTAATTGACAAATATGACTGAACGGTTCAAACGATATAAATACTAATTAGTGAAACTTACATTGGTATTGATATAAGCATCAACTTGACTAAGGAAATCCTTTTCCTTAGATATCCCTGGAAGGCCTCTTATTTCTATGCAAGTGTCTACATTGAGGTTTTTAACAAGGTATGAAGCACACTCATTTGCCACTCGCTCCATCTTAAGATGCGTAGCAGCGATGAATACAGATCTAACAGATAAAGCAAATGAAATATATATTTTATATAATAAAAATCATCCACTGTTAAAAATAAAAAGTATTACATCCGTTATCAATGTATAGCCATGATGAATAAATAAATCCAAAATTTTCCTGTTTTATTTATATAAACACATTTTATGTCTCATGATTCAATTAGATGATAATATTACCTAACTTGATGAGGACTCAGTTCAAGCCTAGATGTATAAGCATAATCAACCAGTTTCTCCAAGGCCACCTTCTCAAATATGCCGTTAAGCTTAAAGTTGACAACATTCTGCTTTGGTGACCGTTCATCATCAGCTGTGAATATCTGCATGAGGTGCGGTGAAGCAGCACTTAGAACCGCTTTATGTGCCGGTATTCCTACATGGTCCACATGGAGAACAACATCACAGAAAGTTGTGTTCTTCCTCATCATGTTCAGCGAATGAAGGATGGAGGAAGCATTCTTTGAGTCTTCATAGACAAGGGTGGCCTCCTTGGGGCGGGCTACAGCCTCATCTTCAAGCTCCCCTGAAAATCAATTCAAAAAGATACAAAAATGTTTTATAGTTTGTTTTATAACTACACAATAAATGAACATATTATATTATAACATTGGTCATGTAAAATTATCTTAAAACATCAAATTATTAATCTTTTCATTTGATATTATTATTCCAATAGAAAATGAAACTAGAGAACAAACAACATTTATAAAAGAATCAAGATATCCATTGCAATCATTTTACTCTCAAAGGCATATAAGTTTGTAACATAAGAATTCTCCCTAATTCCCTAAATATTTTTTATTCTTATAAATATTATATAATTAATATATATTAATATAATATATAATACTTCATTCAAAGCCATTTAGTAATACAATAAATTTAACTATTGCCTGATTTTGTTCTTAATAGCATACTAAACGCAATTGGTATGATGTAATACAACGATAATAATTTACACATATACCTAGTTTGAAATAAAAAACAAGATATGAGAGTCCAGTTTATTTGTCTTTGAGTATATTTTATTAAGTCATATTTACATCAAATATAGTCAGAGTTATGGATGACTTTTAACATAATTAGTAATTAATTATTTGTTTTCTAAACTTCAACCATGTTTTATATTTTCAAATATCGATTTGATGGTGTCTTTGTCTGGGCCTAATTAAAAAATCATTTATTTTCAAGAGTTTCAAATATTGGAGTGATAATAAATAAATAATTAATACATAATGTTTCTATAATTAATTATTCGTTATCTAAACTTGAACCGCGTTTTATATTAAACCATATATGTTTATAAGACAAATAGCCCAAGTGGTTAAAGCATCGGCGTATTGAGCTTTTCTTTCTTCTTTTTGGTTCTTTTACAGCACAGATGAAAATTAATTAATTTTCATAAGTTGCAAATATTGGATTGATAATAATTAAATAATTAATACATGACGTTTCTATAATTAGTAATTAATTACTTGTTATCTAAACTTCAGCCATTGTTTTATATTAATCCGTTTATGTTTATATATTAGTCACGATAGCTCAAGTGGTAACAGCGGCGACATATTGGGCCGAAGCCGAAGGTCGCGGGTTCGAATCCCGCTGGCGACATTAACATTTTCATTTTAACCAAGACCTTAGATTTTAAAAAATAAAATTAATTGACATGTTTTATGTTTTAAAATATCTTTTCAATTGTGTCTTTGAGAGCCTGAATAAAAACTAATTATAATTAGTAACTAATTATGTTATCTAAACTTCAGCCGTTTTTTATTTCAAAATATCGATTCTATGGTGTTTTGACGGCATGAAAAAAAAGCTAATTAATTTCCAAGTTTCAGATATTGGTTTGATAATAAATAATTAATACATGACATATCTATAATTAGTAATTATTTGTTTTCTTAACTTCAACCACGTTTTATATTTTAAAACATCGATTCGATGGTGCCTTTGACTGGGACTGGTTAAAAACTAGTTCATTTCAAGAGTTTCAAATATTGGACAGATAATAAGCAAATAATTAATTCAAGTCGTTAACATAATTATTTATCTAACTTCATGCGTATTATATTTTAAAATATCGATTCGACGGTGGGGTTTTATATGATAATCAGTTGTTCATACCACCCAATTTTTTCAAGAAAATTTCCATTACCCACATTCAACCACTTTATCACGTTTTGACTATGCACATTTACAAGAAAAAAAAATAGAAAACACCTTTCTTTACTTTTATATATATTTTTTTTAAATGTATTAAGGCGCAACACGGAATGGTGTGTTACTGAGGGCCGCCCCAAAACATGCAATTGCGGAGGGGCGTCTCCCAAAACAAAATGGCAATTAGGTAATTCCAAGGACGGACAAATTAGCAAAACGACAGAGTAAATGAGTTTTTAAAAGAGAAATTTTGGCTGATACTTGACTGGCTATAATTTAAAACAAATTGGAATGAACAAAATTGGGAAACGGAACAAATCGATTGCCACGAGGGGGAAAAACTGCATTTGTGTTTTATTAATTTGTAATTTAACGAAACGATGACATTATAATCTTTATAATAATAATTAGCGACAATTCTGCATAGCTCCGGACCGTAATCGTAGGATTGAAATCAATTTTAAAAGAAATAAGTGTAAATCAGTTTTAAATCACCTGAGTCGGAATATCCGTTCGTCCCCATGGCCAGTATATTTCTAATTCGACGAAAAGGACATTTCTTTTTTTTAACAGCCGTCGGTCAACAAGTATATGGAAAAACGTTCCAAAATCACTTTACGCCGATAAAACGATTTATAACCGAGGAAAAGTTGAAAACACGAATTCTCGACACCGAAATGGCAAAATACGGCACGGTACGGGCTACAGTCCATCGATCCGGCACATTGATGCCAACTGTTACAATTTCCCAAATAGGACGCTCCTTTTTTCAAAACAATTTATTATCCGTACAAGGAATGGTCAATTTTTTAAATTACAAAAAAATTACCTATTCGTATCATTACTTAAATTTAAGACAACGTTTTACACGACAAGTTTATTTTTATTATGATACATAACATATGGAGAGGCACCCAAGGAATTTGTAGCCTGCTTCTCACAGAAAGAGAGAAATCCTTGGTATAGGTGCCCCAGGCTTTGAGGCCAACTCTTCTCAACAAATATAAATTATCGACGACCCTCATTTTTTTATCACCAAGTATATTTTGTGTTCATGAAAAGTTATTATTTATTGACAAATATGGAAAAATGTAAGTATCAAATATAGTTTAACATAATACAATATTTTGCAAAATAATTCTTTTAATTGGAAGGGATACATGCTTACATATCCATATGTATTAAAAAGTGGGGTTCAGGTGTTTTTCTAACAAAATATTTGAAAGTACATTTATTACATATTATTTGGTATATAAATGTCAGATAGTGGATAAGCAGCCATCAAAGCACAAGTTCAAACATCATTAGCTCAAACACAAGGTGGTGTTGAATTTCCAAACTAAACTAAAGAAATTAATATGTAAAACAAAGTCACCCTCTGCTGAGTGCTGGGTCTCAGGACATGTGAGAGTAGAAGGCAATGAGAGAGCGGACGCCCTTGCAAGGAAGGGCCTACTGCCATACCACTAATAGGATCTGAGCCTTTCTGTTGCATAGGAATTCACCCTTTTGATGAATAACTTAGGCAAAAGGCCAAAATGAAAATGAGGAAACAGTGGAATTCACTCGTTGAACAAACAAGCCAAGAACCTTTTAGCAAGTTTTGTAAAGAAAGAAGTAATAAAATGCATTAAAGGAAGCACGAAAAAATTCAAATCCTAACAGCATTCTTAATAGTACATGCAGAGTAAGTGGGTATTTGAAGATTGGTGTAATCCCACATGGCATGTGCAGTTCTGCAAAGAAGCGAAGAAATGCCAACACATGCTATTTGGCACGATCCAGCGGCCCTGCATTCGAACCCGACATACTTACAAATGGGCTTTTTTTCAAAAACACCGGCACCCGTAGGGTTGATATAACCTCTGTTGGTTAGGGGGGAAAAAAAAGTGCAGTATACCAAACCCTTCCATCTGTATAAATATATAGATATCTGTAAAAATAAAAAAATAAATACAAGAATGCACAATAACAAAAACAATCAATTTTATGAATCAAACATAATATAATATTTCTCAAGATAACGTGTTTCAGGTTATGAGGTTTTTTTTTACACTAAATATCCTTAGTATATTTTATTATTGCAATTATTTTGAAGTTGTGGTTCCTTCTAGCCAAACCTGCTATTTTATTTTAAAGTTTAATTATTTCAATTAATTATTATTTTTATTAAGGTCTTGGTCCATATGAAAAAGTTACAAATACATGTAGGATGTGAAAAAAGTGAATTTATACAATGCTAGAAATTTTAGACACAATCAAAATATTTGTACTCACTCAAAATGTTTGTTTGTTGTGTAGATGTGTCATTATTGGGTGTCTTAATAACACATCTACACAGCAAACAAACATTTTGAGTGAGTACAAATAGTTTGATTGTGTCTAAAATTTCTAGCATTGTATAAATTCACTTTTTTTCACTTCCTACATGTATTTGTATAATTTAAACAATGTTTATAAATCCCAGGCCCTGAAGATGATCTCAATAAAGATCGAAATGTTGGCACGATAAAGAAAATGTTTTTCTAAAATCTACGTCACACCAGGCCGCATCTCACGATCTCCAAATAATCTTAAAAAAATATTAATTTGTTGGATTCGTGAGGATCTAAGAAATTAATAAAAATAGTAATGGAGTCATACTAGCAAAAAGTCTCAGCATGAGTATAGGCTCATTGTTCTCTTTTTAATCTACCTTTCAAATAATATAAATACACTTTCTATTGCGACTGTGGGCATTTATTACCCCACAATTTGTATTTTTGAAAAAATAATCATTAAAATAAATGTTGAAGATCTCTCTGGTTTATTAAATCGTAGAACTTTCCCCTTCCCCTACACAAGAATAAGTAGCAAAACACTTATGATGATGCCGATTATCACTTAGAGAAAAGCAAGAGAATATAGAGAGATTATTTGACCATTACACATTTTTTATTTTTTAATGTCTCAATATTTGACTTCTTTTTAGTCAATCCATTTCTGTTATTTCTATGGCACACAATTTTTACCCTAAATCAGACTAAGGAAGTGTTAATTAACAACATTTAACATGCTAAGAACAGAAGGGGGTGTTCATGATCTTACTGGACATTTTTCTATTCGAGTTAACTTGAGTTAACATCTAACAAACATCGTGAATACACCTATTTATTTTATTTTTTATTTATTTTTTATGTAAAGGTTTTTGCTTGGTCTGCCTATTAGGTGCTTAAGGAGGTATCTGTCTTTGATATATTGATTTTTAGCCTGCCCTGCGCCGTTTTTTAGTTGTTAACAGATAATGTTGATCGAAAATATATTAATTATAGTTTCAATAGTAGATATGTGATCCCATTTTCTTTTCTTATTTGAGTAATTCAAACTTACTACTTTTTCTCTCTATTTTATTCTGTTAAGATTAGAAACGTAAATTTACACCTTGAAAACTTTTATAATTTCTCCTTATTATCATAAAAGAAAACAAAAGTATTACAAAAGCTGTGTATTTTGTAATATTAGTATTTAAACAATTGTTCTTTTGTTTGCACCATTAGTTATTAATAGCTAAACACTTTGTCAAATGGATTTTATTCACGGTTTAACGCACGATTTTTATATTCATGTATACTTTTTTATTGTGAGATTTGTAAATATTTTTGCTTTAAGACAAATAGATGTTCTTTGAATGGGAATTGAATCTGTGAAAACAGACTGGACGGCGGACGGTTGGACTCTTATCCAACAGATGGAGCGTTGAGTCACGCCTCCCCGAGTTCCCACCTTTCTATCCTATACAGTATCCTCTCCCCCTCCAGGTCACCACACGGAATCCGACAGGTGTCACAGAACCTCAAACGTGCCTCGGCCTCCCCCAGAAAACGAAACATCACAGACGATTTTCCAGACGGAGAAAAACAAAGGGGGGAAAGGCTGGAAAATGAGCAGTTGAAAAGACTCGGGGTGGCTCTGCAGTAACGCATTTCCCAAAGTCCCGATACGGGAAAAGCCTCCTGACACGGTTCTCACCTGCGATCGGGCCCCAGGTAAGCCTTCATTTTCTTCATTAGCCCTCCTGTCGTAGCGTTGTTTTTTTACAACGGACTTTACACACGTTCGGCACGCCTTTTTCGGGAAAAAAAGGCACATTTTCAACGAGTTTCGCAATTTTGTTTGCCCAGTTATATTATTTCCTTAACATTTTCTTCCCTGTTTACTCCAATGGTCGGGCTGGGGGAGGGGGGATGACTCTACAGAATTACAGGTCGGTTTTTCAACCATCGTCTTCAACCCCATTCGCAAAAAAAAAAACGAGAAAAACAGTATATATATATATATATTGCCATTTTGGATAGTTTACATCAACTTTTTTTTTTCAATTTAATCCTTGATTTTTTAATTTTTAGAATTTTTCCCAATAAAAAAACATACTCAACATTTGCACGATAAAATGGCCAAACCCCTTTAAAACAAACAATAAACAAAATTTAAATGGACTATTTTAAAATAAAACGACCTTTAAGTTGGTACAGAACACCAAAAGCCATGAATGTTTTAGAATATTATTTTGTAAAACTGGCCTTATTAGCTGACGGTTAAGTATTTGTGAAAAAAATTCTATGCCAGTTAACCGTTGACCGTAATAATTGATAAGAATGTCCCGTAAAAACCAACGTGGTTTTAATGTTTTTAAAGGTTCAACGCTTACCATCTGCAAAGCATGGGAAAGATAATTGAGAAGAAAAAAACTTCGCGGCCCTTAAGTTCGGCTGAATCCTGAACCCATTCTGAATAATTGGGTTCGACTTATCGTAAATTAAAATGCAAATCGGCTAATCCTTTTATTCTTAAAAACCCGTTCAATTGTACAATTTTTATAATCGTACTGTTTATATATACTGTACCTAGCGGTAGTATTATTATATTTGCAGGACTCAAATTGAAACTGATTTTCGACGTATATTTCCCAATTGAAAATACACCTCAAGTGTGACATTATAAAATTGTATACTAATACACGAGGTACATTTTTAATTAATTAAGCAAATAAGATTGATCAAGTGCCATATACTGCCTACATCTTTGAAAGTACAAGATGGCGTTTTGGGTTGGCCTAGTTGATTTACCAATTAAAATAAATTAGAAGTAGAAAATTTTAAAATTAAAGACACAGTAGTGTAATGTAGCAAATACCCGGCACACCTTGGAAATCGAGAAATGGAATAACAGTAAAAAAAAACCGAAGACTTGTCCGACCGCATTTAAATTGCAACGAACAAAACCGGCAAGAATTCTGCTTATTCAACATCCATAAGGACAAGACACAAGTGACAACGCGTAGACATAACCACTGATGTTGTATTAATGGGAGATTTGATAAAAACCGCTTGGCACTATGTATATTTAGTTCCAATCGTGCATAACTAGGGAGCCTGGATTTCTTATTGTGTGTCGATGTTTTGAAAATTTAAAAAAAAAAGAAACGTCTTATATTTTTATAATTAAGAACAACCGTTAAGTAATACAAAAACCATTAAAAACCGTTTTAATTAGTTTTGACTATCAGAATATGCATACTATATGCATAAATTATTTAGTAGGACTAAGTATTGTTATTGCATGTTGAAATAAGTCGCCAATAAAATATTTCTATACTTTTTAACAGTTTAACGTAATAAAGTGTATATGTACTCTACATAGATGTAAATAAAAATCAAACTTATTTGATATTTGAGCTAGTTCAGTTTCCCTGAAAACCGTTCAGACGTCAGTAGAATGTCTATTTTTCTTAACCATACTAAATATAGTAACAAAAATCTACAAATATTTCATGTTCTGCTGGACCTTGATGCGAATTCCGGCTAAATAGAATGGCAGCATAAATGTACAAACCGTTTACGCCTATGCTTTAAGAAACAATAATTCCAATGATGTATTCACGTTTTATTGACTTTCTTACTTTTCGAATAAAATTTTCAACATTCGGACGTACTAGTACCATTTAATTTTCAAAGAAAATGTGTAATTTTATTCAAGAAAAAACTTCTTCAAATATTCGGTTAAATGTATTCTATGGTCTTGTTTCTTCATAGAAATTTGCCGTTTTTAAAAGAACCACATATATTTACATATTGCTTTTATTCACAATGTCGACTTCCCTGATAGACATTTAATTTTGGGATTTTTCTCCCTTAAAACTATTTCTATCACGTGTTAAAATAATTCCGTAGCTACTTTTTTAATGGGGAAATCAAGTCATTTTGGGTGAATAGTTCAATTTTATTTGTTCTCACTGCAAAATATAAAAAGCTTAGTAAAAGAATTTTTGTAATTTCCTAACTAAAAACTAAACAGTTTTTGATATAAACCATATTGATGGTTTATATCAATATATGAAGATTAATTTCCACGTGGGCAAAGTTTGTCCCTACAAACAATGTATGCCATAAAAATCATTTTTGTCCGTCTTATTCAGTTAAAAAAGTAGCACAGAATCAGACTTCATGTCATTTAAAATTATGACGACTAAAAATTCTAAACTCTGCAATAAATTCATCTCCGTAAGGTGGGAAATTAAGAAATACATACAAAAAGCCCCTGATTTTACTTATTGTCTTATTCACTCTGTTCACATATCCCAGAATACAAAGATGCGATTTTATTCCATAATTAACATTTTAAGTGAAATAGTAATAACAACCGTTAGGAGCTCGTGGTAACGTTCAACATACCTGGAAAAAATCACTTTCTAATTTCATACCCGAATAAAAATAGTCTGCAGAGAAAGGGAATTGTGGTAGGATATTAAGAGTTCTTTGCCACCTTGTTTATGTTGAAATCAGAATTATTTAAACATATCTTGTTTCTGTCAACTTTTGCTTTCGGTTTAGCCTACAAAAATATATAATTAATACCAAATTAATTCCAAATATAAAATAAATAATTAGCACCCTCTATAGCCTGTAAACATAACGTTTCACAGAAAAAATCACGATTGGTATAGTTGTAAAGAACGTCAAATACAAGAGATCTACGTGAATAATTTGTTACAAGCAAATAAGAAAAGGAGTATTCTGTGGATTTGTCTTATTTGAACATGGAGGATGTGCTCTAGTTTTTTAAGTCAGTTCTGCTTGTGGTTTATTCAATTTATTGTACAATGAAGACTTGACATCTACTCTGGTCATACCTTTTACTGTTTGAGTTTTACATGTTATTTTCACTATAGCTGTTGTTAGTTTAAGTTTGGATTATTATAGTACAATTTAGTTTTCAGGGTTTCGCTAGGATTAGCAACAGTTTTTATTAATTTTCCTATCGCGACGATCATTGATAAAAGTTGGATTAATACGCCTTATTTCCTAGTTCTTGCAGTTGCCAGGTTTTGACGTTTCACGGTACAATCCATTGGTTTTAAGCCGGCTTTTCTCCTCAGATTTGTTCTGTTTTGTATTGGATAAAGGACATAATACCAATGGGTTTTAAAATAAACTAGTGTTGTAATTGTAATTTGTTTATATCGTTAACGCTAGCATAACGCTAGCCTAGCTCGAGTTTGGTCTCTCGTATATTTGTATTTACATTGATCGAATTTTGTTTTATAAACAACCAGGAACTGTTTTTGGTAGTAAATAACCTAACTTTAACTTTGCAATATTAAACTTCTTAAAGGAATAAAACTTGCCCGTTGAAATCCTGTCTTGTGATTTTCTCAAGATTTTATGGTTTGGGACTTGAAAAGAGTCAGGCGATAAAGAAAAACACATCCAGGCCAAAGGAAGTGCACATTGAGGAATTCGAACCTTATGAAAGTACGTTCAACTTTCCGCTCCAGGGACCTCCTCGACGGTTTTTCGACGGTGAAGTCGGAAAACTAAACCCACGTTCCGGCCGGTGTTTCTTCTGGGTGCCAAAGTTTTGGCATTTACATGCCCTAAAGACTGTCGATTCTGATTCGAAATAAGAATTTCATGTTGTCGAATGAAAAGAGGAAAAAAAATGTGTCACGGTAGCTTTTCCACGCTGTACACGGATAGTGTATTCTCGTCATAACGAGACTAATATACCTTATTGTCATGATTTTTTCTTCGATATCTCACCACCCTGTCATCCTGAATACCCACCAACAGAGGACTCTAGGATAAGAGGATCAGAGGTGATCTATTAAAAAGAAAAATAGTAAAAGAAAACGCTTTCAGGTCACAAAGGAAGTGCAAGCTGAGGTACCTGGAAACACATCATGCGAGCCCAAAGCAGGCACAATATTGTTAAATCAATTTCAAATCAATTTAATATAACTTAATTGCATTTTTACGTTTTCATTATAAAAATTCAACTATGTCGTTAAGTTATTTTAAGTATACAAACGTTTCAAATGTAAAAGTTCAATCGGACTATTATATCTTGTATTAATTGTCCTGTCGGAATTTTAAAAAAATGTTATGCAGGCTACTCGCAACACAAACTTTGTCAGTGAAATTCATACCTCAAATACGACAAAAAAGTTCGTATGAACCATGGTACGATCTCAACCACCAAGCATATATTGAACATTTTTCCAATTATCTATGATTTTCATCATAAACCTATTCGTAGCTCTTGAACTATTCATTTTAGGGAAATCCATCCCCCCTCTCACTCTCTCTCTCTCTCAAAAAAAAAAAAAAAAATTAAAAATGTCTTTTAAGAAAGCACCCTTCTAGAACTTTCGATTTAACTTTAGGTAAAAAAAACTAAATCTTTCCAAAACTACTAAATTTAAAATTGGTTAAAAAATTTAACAAACTCATTGAAAAAATTTACGGTAGAACTTGCCAAATTTCATAACAACTATTTCGTTTTCTAGCGGTATACCCTTTTGTCCAATTATTCGAACCGAAATGCTATTCACACGGTCACCACTTTTTCCCATTTAGCATAAAATTTCTGCATTTTGGTTCGGTGTAAATAAAGAAAAGGATATACGGCTAGAAATCTTATTAAACGAAGAAGTTGTTATGAAATTTGGCAACCTCTTCCTTGAATTTTTCCAATGGGATTGAAAAATTTAATTTTTTTGCTAATTTTAAATTTAGCAGTTTTTGAAAGATTTAGTTTTTTTTACCTAAGTTAAATCGAAAGTTCTAGAAGGGTCTCTTCTTAAAGGAAATTTAATGCTCTTTCCAATCTTGTTTTCGAGTTCTCTACAAAAGAATAATTCAGGAGCTACGAGTAGATTTATGACAAAAACTGTAGACTGTTGGAAGAAAACAATAACATAAAATGTTGATGATATGCGAAATGGTTGAAAAAGTACCATTGTTCATACGAACTTTTTTGTGGCATTTGAGTGTGAAATTCACTGACAAAGTTTGTGACGCGAGTAGCCTAACACCCTGTATATTTTCACTGTAACATTTCAGATCTGGCTTCTTTCAGATTCGTCTTGTGTAAGTATTTAAGTTCAATGTTCATTCATGTGAATGACAATAGGACCGTCATACTGCAAAGTACGTCATAATGAACGGCCATTTTATTAAGAAAGGAATAAATTAGTTTATGCGCAGGCGTTCTTAAGAATGATTGAAAAGCGCTTTTCGCTCGGTTTGGTTTTTCATTTTTTTAATGTTTCCTTTCCAATGATTAATTATTTTTATTGTTATTATTAATTTTTTTTTTTAAATAAATAAACACGGGTGTTTTTGAAGAGGATAGGAAGGACGGTTTGAGAACGGCTTTCCGGCGGACCCCCTATGGAAATAATTCTGATGTCTGAGATCGTGCGAAATCCGTTTTCCTCCCCCGACGGGAATTTCGCGATTTCTTCCAGGTCTCCTCGTTCATCCTTTCCCCCTTTCATAACGGTAAACCCTGCCCCCCATCAGAGGGGGCCCCCTTCAAACCAGTTTCCCAGCCAACCTTTAAGTTCATTCAACTCCCTTTTATATAATCGCCTTCTTTTTTCTTCTTCTTTCCCCTCTCTCTCGTTCTATTCTCCTGGATTTTCAGGATTCGGCCAAAATTCCACCCAAAAACCAGTGGAGTTCCAATAAAACAAAATTTCGACGTACTCGGTGTATAGAGGTTTTTAAATGTGGCCAACCGATAATATTTGTCTTCCTATATCTCCGAGTAAATAAATTCATAGTATAATATATTTCCTTTTAAAAAATACATTTGTAGCCAACTATACAACTTCAAAATATTTTATTTAATGTTAAATTTCCTCATCAGATTTGTACAGTTCTTGGAATCCTACATTATTTCATATATTAGTTAATTACAACCATTTTATTCTTTTAAACATTTTTAATGGTAATAATGATATCATTGTAAAAATTGTTGTATTATAAAAATCGCCAGTTCTTGGCTATACAGGTTAAATATTATATTTATCCAATTCAAAAGGATCAAGAAAAAATACATTGTATGTATTGTGCCTCCTTCCCTATCCAAAACTTTCTTTATTGTTAACGTGCAGTTTAAACTTCCCTCACAGGTCTCATTCACACGACCTCAAATAATAACACAATAGTAATAGTCTGTAATAAAAAACTTCTGTTTATCAATTTTTTCAATAAGAATACAAAATTTTGCAAGTGAATTGTTATAAATTTGGTTTCATCAAGAAAGAGCAGCAAATATCTTTAATTTTTTGTTCTGTGCCATTATTTGATTTTATAATTTAGCATAATTTTGTGATATTTCCAGTTAAAATAAAAAATAAAAAAACATGTTCGAAATGGATATGAAAAGTTTTTACAATATGGTCAATTCATATTAACACTTTTTTATTTCAATTTAAAGAAATTTCCATTTTAAAGAACGCCATCTACCCTTTGGGTGTCGCAGATCAAGGAGTCAAACTACTTAACAATACATGTTTCATACTTTTTCAATTAAAGTTATAAGCTACACTGGAATACGGACCCAAGATCGCTAGCATAGAAATACATGTCTGACAATATATTTCAATTTATGTATTTTGCATTTTGAAAATGGACCTGAATATTGGAAAAAATTAACTATTCTAAACAGGAAGACGTTAGCCTTCTGCAATCGCTCTATAATTCACTTATTCTTTTAATTTTGTAGTTTTATCCTTACAGATCTCTAATTAAAGATTAATTTGAAAGCGTCTTTCATAATTAAATTTTTATTTCATTTCATCAAACAGTAGTCATTTTATTTAATTTTATTCGCTTTTCTTTAACCTCTGGTTTTCCATTACACCATTCCCTAAAAGATGAAATAGAAATTTTAGGAATACATTTTGAACTTTTGGTAATTAATTCGATTAGAGGAGTAATTGACCCTGAATTAAAAAGTACACATAGATACTTAAAAAAACAGTTAAAATAAACAATTCCAAGAGGAAGCAGAGACATAATGCACATCTTGAATTTTGGAAAATCATGTCAAAGGAAACTGTGATGTGGCATTTTGTGCTAAATTCCTAAACTAGAGTACACTTTCTAAGATATATATATATATAATCTCAATTCAAAAATTGCAGCAACATCATGTTAGGTTGCTTGACAAGTCGGTATTTAAGCCCAAGTGGCCCGAAAGTTAAGAAAAAAGTTTTATATCTTTTTAATAATTACATAACACAACATTTTTATAAAATCAATTGTAATGATATGTTATGGATGTTAATAAACTCTCCCTTGTTTGTGTACAAAATATATTCTTGTAGTTTGATCATGCGCATCGTCCTGAGCTGCCTTTTTTCGCTGGTTTTGTCTGTTTCAGTTTGTTTGTTTGTGGTTTATCTCATCTCAGGCTTACAAAATTTCCGTGTTCAAACCCCCTATTTATTATTAACTAATATATAGCATTTTACCATTTTCTGTGAACATAAGTTGTACATTTAAAACTTAAATTATTTCATATTTGTTCTAGGGATGGCTGTCTGTGGATTGTATGTGTCGACATCAGGCCTCCAGGGCTCCTCTCTAGGCTCAGATGAGCACAATATTGTTCTTTTAGGCTATACTGTAATAGATATAAACACAAATCAGGTATAATTCCACTCCACCATAAAATACTTTATTTTTTTAACATTTTCTGTTTATTTTTCATGCAGATACTCGGCGTACAGGAGTATCTGGTGAAACCGACAGACTGTGATCTCAACACTAATTTCCTCTCAGAGTCGGTTAAGCAAGAGACAAGGCTGACAGAGGCCGCAATACGTACGTCAGGTGTTAACCTCCAAAAAGCTATTTCCCTTGTAAGTTTATGTACCAACTGTGGCGGTTTGTGAACTAGTAGAGCATTCATTCTTTTATGAACATTAACATTATAACTTTTTTACAGTTTGAATCTTATTCAAGATCTCTGGGCACAGATCCGGCTTCTCTTGTGCTTACTACAGATGGGCAGGCACCACTGCGTCAGTGCCTCCATCCAGAGGCGACAGATAAAGACATAACCCTCCCTTCACAATACACCTCGTTTTGTGACCTGCGAAAGGATGTTGCACGAGTCTATGGAGCAGGTGACGCAAAATTCTCCTCGATTCCTGAGATGCTCACGTATCTGGACATTCCCAATTCGTGTGATACATCATTTTTCTCCAAAGAGCTAAGAGACATGACTAACATCATCCATAGGCTCATCTCTGATGGTACGTTATTATTATTCTTATTATGTTATTTTTAGTAAAGTTCTAATAATTTTGTTAGGTAAACCAATGAAACAAAAACTGATCTTACTGTCGGATTAATATTAAAGCTTAAACATATTTGGATTAATGTTTCCCCTAAGTTTGCTTTATTTATTTATTATTCTTAAGGTTGTTTTTTAAGATTAGATTTTTGATGTTTTCCCATAAGGTTTTTTCCAAATCTAATTCAAAAGTGTGATGATACTTTGTCACAGAATAATTTATAAAATCATTGTATTGTTAAAATTATAGCTTGATTGTCCCTGATCATTGTGGCCTTCCTTTGTCAGACAAAAACATTTTGGCATTGCTATCATACCTGGATGATCAGGGATGATGGATCCCACAGATTTTCACGATGCTTCATAAATAATTTATACAGGCCAAACTGGGTTTCAGAGAATTGTCTGATCAACATTCATTCTAATTGTCTGTAATTGTTATTCGAATGGAGTGTAATTTCAGAGAATTAGTTACTTTATGAAAACGACTCTGGATTGGACCTTTCCCATTTTGTTGTGACCAGTACCCTGGTTTTGTCATCAGCAGTGCCCTTGTATTCATATATTTTAATTCTCTCGAAAGCGATCATTTTGATGCCTCTAAACCAGCAAAATATAAAAAAAGTAATCTTCTATTTCTGAAAATAAACCTTCACAAAATCGAACAACTGTTAAAAGTTTTTGAGTTTGCCAAAATCAGTTGTTGATCCCCCAGAAAAAAGGGCTGATAAAAGTGAACTATTAGATTAGTTGTAAATGGTTGCAGGGAGGATCATCAAAAGCGGTGACTTAATAAAAGCTAATAAGCTTGGCAGAAGGCATGACGGAATGGACTGATTTGAATTTTGTTATAACTGCAGAGGGGGAATTTGATGCTAGGATTGGTACCTTTTGGCAATAATGGAGATCTGTCATGAGATTCTTAGAAGAAAATATTAGGCACATTTGGGATAGTCACTAAATTAAAAAAAAAGGTTGATTAATTTTGTTATATGAATTGAATTATATTGAATAAGTAACTGAGTAAGGGTATTGAATAAGTAAGGGAGTAACTGTGAAGGACATTTCAATGTGTAGGAGATCGTGATAGCTCTGTAATTGATCTGTTGAAAGAAAATACTTTTTTTAAATAATATAAAAATAGTACAAATGAAGAATAATATAGATAATAATTTAAAATAAAAATAAAAATAAAAAAACTATCCCAACTATGGTAACCATTCAACCTCTCAGTCGACCTCAGCAAAAGTAAGATGTGTCTTGCCCTGCCATTTAATTCTGAATTCTTATAATACTGGGCATAGTGCTATAAAGAGAACTACATTTTCTGTATATTAGACATAAACCTATAAAGTGAACTATATTTTCTGTAGATTAGACATAAACCTATAAAGTGAACTATATTTTCTGTAGATTAGACATAAGCCTATAAAGTAAACAATATTTTCTGTAGATTGGATATAACCTTATGAAGTGAACTATATTCTCTTTAGATTAGGCATAACCCAATAAAGTGAACTATATTTTCAGTAGATTAAACATAAACCTATAAAGTGAACTATATTCTCTGTAATATTGAAGATAACCCTATAAAGTGACATATATTTTCTATAGATGGATATAACCTTCTAAGAATACACATACAGTGTAAATTAAAAGTGAATTCAACATCATTCGGTGTTAATTGCTATTATTTTTTTAAAGGAAAGTGTGGTCTAGTTGAAAAATTTATTAGCAGAACTCGAACCCATGACATCCGGAACCCATCAGTACTCTGGCACTTTACCACTCGAGCTCTAATGACTTCTATGACAGTGTACACAAACTTACATGATGATAAGTCGAACTGTGTTTGTGTTTTTCCCTTTTACATTTGTTTGGGATGTATAAGTTATCCCCTTAAAATTAATTATTCACGTTTAAGCCAATAAATATATCATATGGTATAGACATTATGCACCAAACTAACAAATCGTTATAGAACAAAAGTGATACTGATATATACTGATAAAACTGGCCATCGATGTGACTCATAAGTATATGAATAATGACAATAAACTTCACTTCTGAACTTCTGCCATTCAATTTAGGGAAGAAGGAAGGGAAGGAGGTGGAGGGGGAGAGAGAGAGAGTGAGAGAGAGAGAGGAGAGAGAGAGAGAGAGAGAGAGAGAGAATAATGATTTATTACAATTTACAAAATTATATAAAGTGAATAAAGTGAGTTTTGCTACATATCATTTTCGTCAAAGTTAATTGATGTTGCGATTTGTAGAAAATAAATAAGTATTTAATGAAATATCAATTTAACATGAAGAATTTATTTATTTTCTGTTTCAACTGTTCTTTTAAAAACTAATGGCAAAAGAAAAACAATTGTACAGGCAAATTTGCAGAGAATATCCTAACATAAATTATAAGTTGAATTGGAATTTTTTATTTTGTCCTAGTTGGATATATAATTTACATTTTTTTCAGGATTTAGGATTTTATCTAATTTAAACTATCATCTAATTCTTCAGGAATTTGTAATTCTACAAACAGTTGTTTTCTAAATAAATTGTACGATTTGCAGTGGAGAATTATATGGGTCATCGAATCTTCATGACTTTCGATACTGCCAAGACAATAGGGACCAGGGTATAGTTCAATTTTATAGGATGAATTTGTTAGGTAAAGCCTGGGAAACTTGTTGTTTCCTGTTCTGACTTGGCATAAACTTTTATCATTTCAAATGGGATATTAAGATTAATATATGAGGCTTCAAAGTTGGTGATTATATATNTATACTTATATATATACATATATATATATATGAATCTGCGGATAAACAGTCATACACTTTACTTAAGAAATGGTTTTTCATAGACTATCAATGCATTTTTGTGTTTTGTAAATACTTCAACCTCTTGCCAAAATCCCCATCATGGTCACACTATTAAACAAATTGCACCAATTGTATGTTGTTGTTTTTTTGTGTGTGTGTGTGTGAAAAATCAAATCATTAAACTTCTGATAACATAATTTTGGCAGCCTGGCAAATTTATCCACCGATTAAGGGTTATTTAAATTATTCAGTTCACTATTTTTTGACTAGTTAGTATTCAATTCACTAGTTAGTGAAAAATGGTAAAAAGGAGGGAAAATTTGAAAGGTAGATTGAGATGGGAAGTTAGTGTCCATGTGGATCGAAGTCACTGTAGCTCAGTTGGTAGAGAAGCAGCGTATCTAACCGAAGGTCATGGGTTCGAATCCTGCTTGTGACATTGACTTTTTTTATCTCAACTAAAAACCTTAATTAATTGAAAGATATTTTAAATATTAGGACCTGTGGTGGGTGTGTTTTTGGGGTAACCACAATAAAGTCTAATCAAATCTAATTTGTATTTTTTACAAATTTTTCAAAATGTAAGGGGACTACACTTCTACACGACATAAAAGGAAACTATTTGCTAACAAATCCAAAAGGACCCCCTTTGATTCAGAGAATCTTAGCAAAGTAATAAAGATTTAAAGAAGAATAATGAAAATAAATCTGTACCTTTCCATGCGATGCAGTGTGCCAATATGGTTTTCTATATAATATCTCATTTTTCAAATATTTCTCATCTTCAGTTCACTTCATACTTCAGTATGTACCTGGCAAAAAATTGTCCTTTGGGATGGAATTTCAAAAAATCCTTTCTTAGCAGCTATCCATGCCATTGTAGGAATACTAGATAATTTTAGGATAATAATAATAATATTATGAATAGGAGATATTTTAAAATTAAAATGTGTGAATTGACACTCCAGAAAAAGTCTTGGGTCTACTTAACATTTCTTATTTTACAGACAGTTAGGTAGCAGCCCAGATATGTTTAGCTTAATTACAGGTAATTTGCAAGGCTTGTCTTTCGGTGAGCTTCACTGGCTTTTCAAGATCAGAGGTGATCTTTTATATCTGAATGGTGGCCCCATTCGGACTCTGGGAAATAACGTATTTGCAATTCTGGTGTTAGGAAGGACATTGTTCATTTTTTGGCTGAATGCATCATTTTATCAGAGATCCACCGTTTACGCTTGAATTATTCTGTAATTGCAAAAGGCCAGCTTAGTGTTATATTTAAGTATAATTTTAGGACCGCGGTAGCCGAGTGGTTAGCATGAGAGACTCTCATGCCGCGGTCGTGGGTTCGATTCCCACTGTCGCCTCTGGCCCTTTTTTCCCGATAACCCCCAATTTGAACTTGAGCACACAAGAATTCGTACCATGGCTAATATGCAAGATCATAAGGCCAATAAAAAAAAAAAAAGTATAATTTTAGGAATTTAATTAAATATGCTCGACAGACCTATGTGCTGCATAATACTTTATTTTTTCTTATTTAATTGTGTTTCATTGTTATGTACTATACAAATAATAAAGTATATTATTAATATATATGTAGATAGGGATGGAATTTCAAGAAATTCTTTCTTAGTGACTATCCATGTCATTATAGGAATGCACTGTCGAATTTCAGCCCTTTAGATCCAGTGGTTTGGTCTGTGCGTTGTCTGTCAGTCAGCCACAAACAAACACCACACACACACACACACACACACACACACACACACACACACACACACACACACACACACATAGATAGTGTTCTTTTTTTTTTTTTTTTTTTAATGTATAAATTATTCCATTGTAATTAATTATTCACATTTGTAGCGGATACATCGTATTGTATAGATGTAATGTACCAAACAAACAAGTAGTTCTAGAACCTAAAGAAACACATATTTTAAAAAAACTGATACGTCGATTTGACGAATAAAAAACCGATAAATCGTTCCTTACAAATAATAAAAAATAAATAAGAAAAAAAGGTTATCGCTAATCTCGAATTTCTTATAATGAAAGAGATAAGATGTTCCCCCGAGATTGATTCCTCGGCCACGTCGTATTTGCCTTTCGAAATCTTCGCTCCCCTGGTAGGATAATTGGGTGAGAGAATATTAGAGAAGAAAGCACTGGGTCTACCCCAAAATCCCGGATAGGCGGTTTTTTTTTTCACAGAGGCCAAAACCGCCGATACCCACTCTTTCCCGTTTGCAATTTTTCTAAAAAGGAGCTCGAATTTTCACCGATTCGTCACTTTTCCCAGTTTTCGTCCTGTATCAGCATTTTTCCCCCTTTGGAACCCCTTCCACGCGGCGTTAACGCGGACACGTAGCATAGAGCCTAATAACAATTTGAAACAGACCGACTTATTTCTGCCCTGATTGATAATTGATTATTATTTTTTCCCCCCCAAGGATACAAGTTTACCGAGGTCGAGACGATACAGCTCTACCTGGAACCTGGAATTTGGTAAGTTTAAAACTTACTTAATTTTAAAAAAAATAACTTAATAATAAGGCACAGGTTTTAATTTTTAAGTAATTTTATAGGTATTAATTACACAGATGCTTTATTTTTTGGATTTTGATTTATTAGGCTCAAATCCGCACATGTAAGTAATATACATACACTGCAGAGCTGAGCCTATCACTAATTGCAGTCCACCGACAATTTCAGCTTTTTTAAATTTAGAATAACTTGCTGGCACTCCTTGAGAAACACCTCGGTGTTGGCAGTCTGGGTCAGACCTCGGTCTCATCCATCCAGAATCTAGTCACTAGGTTGTGCTCCGGTGGAGGGTGCTGTGAACAGCTAGGTCGATTCAGCACCCAATGTGTGCAGTTCCAAACCCATTCACACTCACACTCATTCTTAAATTTATTCTCTCCTATTTACCTACCATTCACTCATTCACCTGATATTCCTCAATCACCCTTTAGACATATAACTAACCTAATTGAGGGTCGATGGTGTATTTGATATTGCACCCTCGACCCTCTCACAGTACATAATCATGGAAATACATACATTCATTATTAACAAACACCAGGGACACAAAACTATCAGTACATACAATAAAATAATCAAGTATTGTATATCTAACCTTATGGAGGGTTGATGGTGTACTCAGTATTCCACCATTGGTCCTTTCATACTACACATTCATACTAATAAATGCATTCATTCTCAACAATGCTAAGTACTCAGAATTATGTACAATAAACCAGCCCTGTTTCTTCCAAGAACAGGACTGAGATATTCGCTGCCGTGCTGAAGCACAATTCTCATATCAGGTGGCATTTCACCTCACTCTATATTGAGACAAGGAATTACACCCTTCAATTAAGTTGCTGCATGCCGGGCACAAATGCAGGCTTTGGCCTAAAATAAGTGTCTTTGTGTCAACCTCAGCCTATTGCTCATCGGGTAAGGATGACCCTTCTACTTTGAAACAGATGCTATATTACTGATAATGATAATTACAAAAAATAAATTAACTCTAAACAAAGTATTTATTAAGTACACATTGTGAATAGACAGTTACATAACATTTTAATTATTTTTTTACTACAACGTATTTTATCAATATTTATTATTATAGTAATTACATGTTTAACAGCGAAGATAGTTTACACCCTTACAATAATTTAAAGCCAGCTATTACATAATTTTCTAATTATAAATCGCTTTGACGTGTGTATGTAATTTTATTTATTTAAACTGGCCATTACTCGTCATACAATTACTTCACAAAATAATATTTACTTTTAAATAATTTGCCTAATTTTTTGTCAAAGCAGTCAATTTTATTTTCCGTTCGTTACTGAGAAACCAAAATTGCATTGTTCAGTTAATAAAATATACTTTATTTATGAAAACTTACTAATCACTGATAGATTTATTTAAATAAAATCTATCTTGTAAGAAGTAGGCATTCTTGAACAATGAATAGCCAGATTAGGCCATGTCCATTGGTAGGGCGTCCACTCGATGTAATCTACCAACACTGAAGAGAGCTCACCTAAAAGAGTAAAAAATGTTCTGTAATTAAATATAATTATCTCAATGAACTGGCTGAACATTGTCCATGAATACCTCCACTTCCAGGAATATATACACTGACGGACAAAATAAATGCACTACTCTTAAATTTTATTGTATTTAGGTTTATTCATATCAAAAATAGGTTTGGTTGTAAAAATAAGTCATTTAAAAAGAAAATGTTTATTACCTAATTGTAAAAAAAAAATTAATTTAAAAAAAATATATTAAGTAAAAAAAATAAAAAAAATTCAGAAACAAATGAATTTTTTTAATGTGTTTTACATCTTTGCATTCCTTGAAAAAGATTTCTCAGGAATTTTTTCCCATTCATCAAAAATGACCGTTTCCAACTCTTGTAGGGTGGTCGGACCTGGGTTTTGCCATCGTTCTCGTGTTAACATTCATGTGTTAGATTGGGTTCAAATCTGGACTTCGAGCTGGCCCCAGCTAAACTCTATTACAACCTCAATCAGGTAGTCATCCACAGTACACACTCTATGGGGCCTGGCAATATCCTGCATTAGCAAGGATCTCTCACTGATGTGGTGGGCAAATGGCTCTACATCTTCGATTATGTCTTGTTGAAATGTAGTGAACACTTCTGTGAAGTTAGAGAACTTCCTCACACTGCAACCATTTTGGTGTGGGTGCCCAATGAAATGCCACCCCAGACCATCAATGACCCACCATGGAACTCCACCTGAGGACACATACCGTTCTCCAGAGTATCTCTATATGTAATTACACTCATCTGAAGATTTGAGGCAACTAACAAGTCATCTCTAAAGAGAACTGTTCCCACTCTTCCAATGTATAATTCACATGTTCCCATGCAAATTGAAGCCTGGCCATTTTCTGAACTGTGGTAAGAAGAGGTCCATGAGTCGGGTGCTGAGCCCTACGGTTATTTTCATTGAGCCTTCTTACAGTCCTGGAGGAAATCGAAATATTTTGGACTTATCTTATTAAATTTCTTATGTCATGTAATGCTGCGGTTTTGTAGAGCATGATGACGGATGAATCTACCGAAGAAATTACTGTAGAGTGATTTACATTTGGTCTCCTTGTGACTTTGTGCTGACTATATCCTTCATCTAATAATGTTATGACCCTGACACTGACACATTCACTCAAAAGCCTGACTGGACCCATTGAAGAAGGTTTACAAATAAGAATAATATCAAATGAATTCAACAAAGGAAAAATGTTAGCTGAAAGGGACTTTTAGGCATAGCAAAATGGAGGGGCATAATGCTACTGTTTTGCAAATGAGTTTAATCAGTACAAAATTAAACAAAGCATTTACTTTTTATTTGGACTGTGGTAGCTTCTAATTACCTGTAACTAATGTAAAAAGATAACAGATTTAATTTTAAATTAAATAAATTAGTGCGTTAAATTTGGCCATCAGGGTATTAAAACAATAAGTAATAAATAAGTATTAAAACAAAAAAATAAAAATCATTTGAAAAAGGAGCTATTATATGCGAAGAACCCTAGCTGATGTAGCATTATTCTGATATTTAATTTAATTTGATCGGCCAGGATGTTATGTCATTTTCAGACTCAATGAAAACAAAAATAAAATACTAATAAGCTATAATACTAGTTTAATTCTAAGTGCAGAATAGTGGTGAAGGTATGGTAATACTACTAGACATTATAGGTGTTCTTTGCTCGAGTGAGCATTTATCATCCATTCAATACACTCTCTTTGGATGATACTAAGCTTATTGATTAGTTTTGTCTTGGCTACAATGTTTGCCAAATTTGCATTTGATAGTTAACAAATAAGATTAGTAAATAAGATTCACACGTTGCTTCATTTTGTTAAATTGCAATACGTATTTACTAAATTTGTTGTGGTATATCTTTAAATTATGCATTAAGTATTAGTATTAAGTAAAGAAAAATTACTCCTTTATTTTTCTGAACTATGCCACCAGGTTTTATTTCTTGACAGCTTTTCGGCCAGCATACGACCCCCTCCTCAGCCTTTTTATAATTGGTTGACTTTTTATATTTGACTAGAGTCCATACAACAGCAGTGTTAAATTCTCAGTGGCTATCAAGAAATAAAAACTGGTGGAACAGTTAAAAAAAATAAAGGAATAATGTTATGCAAAATACCGCCATACGTACAGGTTATATAATTATGGCTTAAGTTTATGTAATGTTTTATGTTATGTGTGACAATAAATATGTATATATCGAACATAAAATGTTGTGTAATCAGGATTGGATTCTCAGCGACTTATGAAGTGGCCACGGGGAGCTATTTAGTGAAGTGATACTTATTTTACTTATTAAATATTAATCCATTTAATTTTTCGTGGTCAATTGACCAAGTTACTTCTTTCCATGTAAGGTTCCAGAGAGGATCGAAGTCATGATAGCTCAAGTGGTTAGAGCACTTCATATTGGGCCGAAAGTCGTGGGCTCTGACACTGACTTTTTTATCTTTACCAAGACCTTACATGGAAATAATAATTAATTGAAAGAAGTAACTTGGTCAATTGACCACTAAAACGTAAATGGATAAATTATTATTCCACTTTGCGTGTCTATTTTATTCTGTGCATTTCTTATTATTTTCTGTTCGATATATACATATTTATTGTCATACGTAAAAACTTTATGAAATGTATTATTTATTATATTCCAACTGGAGCTTTATACTATTAGTAGTATAAAGGATAAATGTTTGTATGTTTTCATTTATATTACTGGGAACGATGGTAGCCAAGTGGTTAGGGCCAGACCCCCAGCTCGTAGACCTTAGGTTTTCGGTCTGATTTCCACTATCTCCTTAGGATTCCTGTTCCTATAACTAATACACACTGTCGCTGACTAATATGTAAACCAAGGCCATTAAAAAGTTTTCATTAATCAACTTTTTTATACAGTTCAAAAGATGAGGAAGTGGATAGCAATTGCGTAGTACGAGCACGTGGCCTACCCTGGCAATCCAGCGATCAGGACATTGCTAAATTTTTCCGAGGACTTAATATAGCAAAGTAAGTAAAGTAAATAGTTAGAAAAAGTTGGGAATTTATATACTATATTATACATAATGTAAAAAGAAAGAATATTATTAAATAACAAGTGCAATAAGGTCAGACTTTGTATGCCCTGTTGTATCAATGTTTACAACTGATAATTTCTTTTATCCTTCTATGCTCTTTATTTCCTTATATTATATCTACTTCAGGAGTGTATAATTGGTGAACATTTAATCAGAGTTTTAAACAGAAAATCTTGTATAGTGCATTGTAAAAGTAATCATACCAGAAAAAAATGATTATTTTTATATAATTTTAAGAATTAATTAGATCCTATTCAATATCTGACTCTTCATAATTAAATTTCAGGGGAGGTGTTGCTCTCTGTTTATCTCCAGTTGGTCGTAGAAACGGGGAGGCATTAGTACGCTTTGAATCACCTGAACACAGGGACATGGCACTGAAAAGGCACCGGCACCATATTGGTAATCGCTACATCGAGGTGTACCGAGCACTTGGAGAAGACTTTGTCAATGTGGCTGGAGGTATGAACAAAGTTTATTTTATTTAATTTATTTATTTATTTTTATTTATTTAGTTGTTTTTTTTAATGGTAACAATTCAAAATGGTCATTTCATTAGGAGCAAACAACGAGGCTCAGGCCTTTTTGACCAAAGGTGCCCAGGTCATAATAAGAATGAGAGGCCTACCATATGACTGTACTGCCCGCCAAGTAATGGACTTCTTTGAAAACGGTGAGAATAGTGTAAGTGTTATGGACGGCGAAGAGGGGATACTTTTTGTTCAAAAACCTGATGGGAGGAGTACTGGGGATGCCTTTGTGCTCTTCAAGGAAGAGAAAGACGCACCAAAAGCTCTCTCCAGGCATCGTGAATCTATTGGCGCTCGTTATATCGAACTTTTTCGGAGCACCACTGCCGAAGTTCAGCAGGTATGAAAATTTAATTTATTTTTTTCAAATATAAGTACATAATAATTAATCCAAATCTTTGTTTCATGCTTTCTGTATTTTATTTTATTTTTTTTATAATTAATGTAAATAAGGGATGTCAGTAAGTATTTTAAAATGTTTTACACTATTTGTTGTATAAATGATATAGAATTGTACATTATTGAATATATTTGAAAATATATTATTGACTTTGCATAAATTGAATATATTTATTTGAAAAAATTGATTTTGCATAAATTCTCTTTTAGGTCCTGAATCGAGCGATGATTACTCCTGAACAAATAAAGCCAGTGGCACCGCCAATTCAGCCGATGCCAGCAGTTCCACTTCTACCTCAGCACCTCATCACATCAGGTACTATGAAGGACTGCATACGATTACGTGGACTGCCATACGAAGCACAGGTTGAAAACATACTCGAGTTCCTTGGCGAGCATGCCAAAAATATAATATTTCAAGGCGTGCACATGGTGTATAACAGTCAGGTTTGTTGTTTTATTATATTAATGTAAATTAATGTTTTGATTATGAAATAGACAGCTTCTATAATTTAATGGTTAATTTACTTGATACAAAGATAAAAAATTAATTTTTATGATATATTTTTAATACATTTATTGGAATATGTTTTTGTTATATATGTAGGGTCAGCCAAGTGGTGAAGCTTTTATCCAAATGGACAGCGAAACGTCCGCTTTTAATGCTGCTCAATTACGACATAATCGGTAACATATTTCATAAACAAAGGTTATCCAAATGGTGATTATAATGTTCCCAATTTTTTTTTCTCTCAGGTACATGAATTTTGGAAAGAAACAGCGATACATCGAAGTGTTTCAATGTTCGGGGGATGACATGATGCTTGTGCTCTCTGGAGGACTGCCTCTCCCAGGACAGTTGAGCCCTCCAATGGCACCGGTGGCCGCACCCAAGACAGTAGCAGGGGCCACGGCACAAACAGTAGCAGCCACCTCCGCACTCCTTTCGCCAGGTATTTACGAATACGGCGCACCGGGCGGGGGCCAGCAGGAGTTGCTGTTCCATGGCTTTGGGGCCGGACAGGTGGCACAAGTCCCACTAGCGGTCCCACCGCCCCCCCAGCAGCCCCCGCCAGGCCTATTTGTCCTTCCAAAGTTTGTGGTGCCGCAGCTCAAACGCACCTGGAACCAAGCATTCATTCCGGCTCACTCGCCCCACCACCCTTCCCACCCGGCACATTTGAACCCTTACCAACACTTCGGACCCACTCCGAAATACCCTAGACCCGTCATTTCAACATTTTTCCCTACGATTTAGACTTTACTCAAGCTAAATACACTGTCAACTTCATGATGATTTACAAAAGGAATTAAGCGATTAATTGTTCATTTTACGGGTCAATTACATAGGCTGTACCTTTCACATTTACAAGATGGATTTTCATTAAATTTTAACAATTATTACTACATTAACTTTTTTTTATGAGATGAATCAATGAAACAAAGGGAATGTTTTTCTTTGTTTTATTTTAAGATGTAAATTATTAATCGACTCATTTTTAAAAATTACTTAATAAACTTTCAAGCTGAATCTATGAAATAAAAAGTAATTACAATTTAAAATATGAGCCAATTTAGTTAGATAGACCCATTTCCTTATTAGGAATTAGGATTTTTTTTCAATGATTATAGTAATAAAGATTCCCATTTTTCATAATATGTTATACCAAGACATTTTGGTAGGGGTATCCTACATTTTAAAATTTTAAAAAACAATTTCCAATCAAATTTAAAGATTTATTATTAAATTGTATCGTTTTAATTGTAATTGTTTAAAGCTAGATCGTAATAACCTCTCTCCCAAATTTCCCAGGCTTGTTAAGTTCCCAGAACCGAGTGAGACATTCTCATTCCACAATTAGTTTTTGTATTTCATTTTTAAGATCTTAATTTTTTTCTCTATATTTAAGTTATTCGTTATCACATCGTATCCGTCCATAAAGGCCGGATGCTTTTTTTTAACGTACTTACTTACTCTTTAAGGCATGTTTTTAAATAAGGAGAGTGCAATATGATTATATTTTTAGATTTACAAATAATTAATAAGGTCTTATGTTTTTTAGTTTATAAGCATTCCCTAATTGTTTGAACCGACATTCCATTTGGTTGTGTTTAGTTTCATTTCTTAGAACTTCCTTAAGGTCAAGTACTTAAGCTTCCTTTAGTTCTCATTTTAATTACTATTGAAGTTTAGTAGAATTAAATTTTTAAAAAATCAAATTTTATGTACTTATCAAATGAAAATATATGAAATTTTATTTTATGATATAATATTTTTGTTGTTTCTTTTTTCTTTTTTTTAATTATTAAAATATAGTTCAAAACAGCATGTTTTTTTATTTGGTCATTGTACTTTATTTATTTATTTTTTTAATGGTTTTTAAGTAACCATAGTAGATCTTAATGATATTCTCAATCTGTTTATTTTCTTATTTATTTGTGGCTTGTACATTATTTTAAATCACTTTTTGTATTATTTATACAATTGTACAGAGTACTATGCCAAAAAAGAAATTTTTAAAAAGAAAATATTGATTGGGAATATTGACAAAGATAAATAGATTTTGAAATTCGGAGATTGTGGTTTTTACAGCTCTTTACGGCGTGTGGTCAATTTAAAATAAGAAATTGGAAGTTCCAGAAGATATTTTACGATGCACACTTTCATTATTTGAGAAAATTCCAAGTTCTTTTCAGTGCTGCCCACGCTCAGAGCATTTTTATGAATTTGAACCACCCGACCCCCTTACCCAATATTAAGGACATTTGTATCGTTACACTGTAATTTTGGTGAAGAGGTGAAGGCAGTTGCATTATATAGAAAAAATACTGGAGCCGCAGGAGCTGCGCTAAAGTGGAGTTGGGAAGGAGTGGAGCTTATTTCATCTCATTCCTCTTTTTCTCTTTTTTCCCTCACACACATATACAACATACACAATTTTCTATCTATCTATCTCTCTTTCTCTTTCTCTTAATTTCATTAATTTTTGGTGTATTTATAGAAGGCAACCGTCCTGAAAATACTTGGAAAAGGATGTGGCTTTTGGTGGTGCGGATTATATATATTTTTAATTCACAATTTGCGAAATTATGAAGTGGTTATTTTCATTTTTCTCATTTAAGTTTTTTGCTTCTTTTTATTTTGTATTTTACTGTATTTTCAAGGTTGTATTTTACATTTTGTTCAAAAATTTAACTTTCAATTTTATTACATAAAAACACCCAAACATCAATTATGAAAAAGTATTAAATCAAGTGTGGTAAATGCATGACTTTTAAAGTTTATTACTATTATTATTTTTTAAATAAAAATATACATAATCAAAACTAAAACAAATAATTGATATCACAACAATTTCAAAAACTCATATGTGCACAATTAAATCATTTGAGACAGAAAACTTTTAGGAAGAAAAAGAAAATAAACCACATTTTTTATTTTTAAACTGGGTGAGTTTGTTTTATATATATATAAATACATATAAGTTTTTAATTTTTAAATACAAACTATAATATTATATTTGTGTTTGCTCTTATACCAGTTATTAGCGTATTAACTGCACGATGGTATCACAAGTCATCATTAAAATTTAAAAAAGTTATGGTTTTGATCTAACACTTATTGCAGTTAATGCGTTAAATGGCAGCATGCTTCTTTAATTTTTTTTTAATTAATTAATTTTGAAGTTTGATTTTTGTGACTAACGCACATGGTATTTTTGTCTGTTCTTTTTTTTTTGGTGGTGAAAAATTTTTGGATGTGGTGTACTTTTTTTTATAATATTAATCAGTTTATTGAATCACTATTTTGGGTAATGGAAAAGGAAAACGGGCTGGTTTATGTAGTGGGGATACAATGTAAACATAAGTTTTAGCTTGTCTCCAGGGTTTGAACAGATTTCTGGTAGCTTCTGGTCTTTTGTCGCCTAAACATTTTCAAAAGTAAATAATAAATAATTGTTTAAAAACAATTTATCGCTTTGACTATGATTTACAGTATTTGTCAAATGAATGTGTTAGTAATAAATTGGAATTTATTTTTATTTTACAATGAAAAGTTAATTATTAATACATTCATGATGATTAAGATTTTTTTTAATAGCTTTATTTTTAGTCATTTTCAGGATAATTTTTGGGAAACCGAATGGAATGTTAAAAAAAATAATTCTAAGCGCACATGCTTTTGTAATTAATCATACTATTTTAAACAATTGTTCCTTATATCCTTGTTATCCTGCAATACATCCTCAGTTGAATTATTGTGCACCATTTGCTTATTTTTTTCCTGTTTTAAAGAAGAAAAAAAATCTAATTTAGATCACGGGAAAAAAAATTCCTCCACATCCTCAATTTTTTACTGAGGATTTAAAAAAGAAAGGACAAAAATGAATGTTTTTTTTTTAACAATGTTTAAAATGTTATAATTAAGGATTAATTAAGATAATTAAGGATAAGTATTAATAAAAAAATTCTTTAGGAGGTGGTGTGGGGCAATATTTAATACCACCCCCACGTGGCTATGTCATCTGGACTTACCCCTCGCCACCAGTGTCACCGCCACACCAGTTGCTCATCATGTGCCCAGAAGCTCCGTACCCACCCGTTGAGGTGAGTGACATCCACCCAGTTTCTAGCGTAGCGCACTAAATACGTAAGCTTATTTATAAATACCAATAGATTCTTCTTAAACCTTTCAGTATTTATGTAAACTAATAGAAGAACATTGATTTGATGTCAAACATGAAATTTTTGATGTTATGAACAATTGAACAGTTGTTGGAACACTTTCACAACATTGGCAGTCATGTAATTATTCAAGAACATTGCAATTATTTATATTTAAAATTAATTGACAGCAAGATTGAAGTTAATTGTAGATGGTATATAAAATATTTTAAGCTTTGTAAATGGTTGACATTCTGTTTAATAGTCATGATTTTTTTATTTCTTTTTCAGAGGTGGGGTGGTCTTGACTGCCATGGTAACCTGATGTCACAGATGCCACCACAGGCACAGGCATCGACCTGTGCCACAAACCACGCTTAGCACCAAATACAAAATGACAGATTTAAAAAATAATAATAATAATTTAAAGACTTTAAAATGTGCACTTTTTTATTTAAATAAAAAGAGAAGAGATCTAGTTTTTGAAACCTAGTGCAATATAATAGTCATATGTAGGTATATATACATAAATACATAAAAATGCACTTTTATTTAGCATCCTTATGTGTATTTTATGTAATGTATATATGCAATATATATGCAGATTTATATATATATATATATACATACTAAAGAGAATTTATTTGAGATAAAAGAGATATAAATGAATTAATATATTGTTATTATTGATAGTAGTCATATTTAATTTTGACCTTTCTCCTTGAAGTAAAACGTAAATGCATGTTCTCATCATGTTATTTTATAAAAATATATGTCCAATTTAAAAAGAAAATTATCTTTTGGCTTCGTGCAATATACATTTTTATCAAAATCAGTTTCCAGAGTTTTCTTTCCTTTGACTAGTTGAAATTTCACATTGAATCGGGTATTTTCAGTGAATAAAAAGAAGCAAACTTTCATTTAGAGGCATGGTGAAATAAAAATTGGATTGTTTGTTTTTTCCAGGAACTAGACAACCATCAAACTCATTTTCTTCTTTGATGGTTGTCTTGTTCCTAAAAAATAAACCAAGAAATATAAAAAGTCAACAACCGTACAAGAAGAGTAAAAAAAATGGGTTTTGTCAAATTAATTGCCAGAATAAAAGCATGTTAAATTGGGTGTGTGCTAATATGACATACATATAGAGAGAATTGATATATATATATAAATTTTCAATTTGAGAGACATTACTTATGTGAGTGAATGAGATATGTAGCCAGGTTACAGAATGACTTTTATGAAATGAGATAGCTAAATAGCATCAATTTTCTAATAGTACAAAACAACTATTTTAAAACATTTTTTCTAATGCTATAAAAAAAATTCAATCATAACATTATATTTTCGGGATGGACATACATCAGAAAAGGTATTATCATCAAATTTCAAAAACAAATCAACAAGTAATGTACACTTTAATCTATTACATCAACAATTTGGAGAGAAATTAAAAGTATCTAATGACATAATTGTGTTTTATGTACTTTTTGAGAACTCCTTCTCCCACATGCGGACGAATTCTTCCTTCCTTTTTTCCCTCGTAGCAAAATACTCTGGATATTGAGCCTTTTCAAGTGGATGCCAGTGGTCAAGTACTACATCGGGTATGTGAGCCTCACGACCATAGGCATTACCTCTAACACTGTTAGCAACTGCACACAAAAAAATTAATAGGCAGATAGGGAAAAATTTTACTTGCAAAATTTTTTTTTTTTAAATTAAACTATAAAAATTCTTACGATAAGCAAATGAAGTAAATTTCTCAATTATGTGACTAACAGAACGACCTTATAAAATATTAGGTATTCAACTGAACCATACTAGACCTTTCAGGATAGTCAGTTCCCATATGAAGTACTGAAAAGTGTGATACCCTTACCTCTACTCATTTACTGAAAGTATAAATTTCAGAGGCAGTTTTGGGAATCCCTGCCTCTACTCATGTACTGAGAGTGTGATATCACACATCCCAGCCTCTACTCATGTACTGAGAGTGTGATATCACATTTATCCCTGCCTCTACTCATGTACTGAGAGTGTGATATCACATTTATCCCTGCCTCTACTCGTGTACTGAGAGTGTGATATCACACATCCCAGCCTCTACTCATGTACTGAGAGTGTGATATCACATTTATCCCAGCCTCTACTCATGTACTGAGAGTGTGATATCACATTTATCCCAGCCTCTACTCATGTACTGAGAGTGTGATATCGTGCTCATCTCTGCCCTACTCATGTACTAAGAGTGTGATATCGTACTCATCCCTGCCCCTACTCATGTACTGAGAGTGTGATATCACGCTTATCCCAGCCTCTACTCATGTACTGAAAGTGTGATATCACGCTCATCGCAGCCTCTACTCATGTACTGAGAGTGTGACATCGCAGCCTCTACTCATGTACTGAGAGTGTGAGCGCCCTCATCCCTGCCTCTACTCATGTACTGAGAGTGTGATATCGTGCTCATCCCTGCCTCTACTCATGTACTGAGAGTGTGATATCACGCTCATCGCAGCCTCTACTCATGTACTCAGAGTGTGATATCATGCTTATCCCTATGCACTACTCTCATCACTTTTAGATTCAAGTAGAAGTGGGAATAGGGGTGAGCTTGACGACAGGCTCTCAGTACAGAAGCAAGACCACGAAATCATGCTTAAAATGGTTAATAGTTACATATACAGTTTATATAGGATAATGCAGGAATATAATAAACACTATTGACTCATACTTAGGATATTTATAGTTTGTGTACAGGGAGATATCTAGACATATAGATTATAGAAATATTGTTTTTGTTTTGAACACCCATTGAGTAGTGAACGATATTTTGGTAGATGGAGGGGTCAGAAATTTCAGAGGCATTTTTGGGAATCAAATGTCTGACACTAACCACTCAGCTACCAAGGTCCCTGTGAAAAAATGAAGAAAGAGGCCAAATATCTGTACATTACTACTATTTGCTATTTACTATTTGTACTAGAGAAAACACTGGCATTTAAAAAACATATCAGCTCAACTATCAAGATAGCAGCATGAGCTTTAATGGTGTGCAGAAGAATAGCAGGAAAAACTGGGGATGTAGACCAAATAACCTCCTTTCGATGTACACAATGATAGTGAAAAATGAAATACAGTCTTGCATGCACCTGTATAATGGGAGCGATAAGAATATGCCCTATAGCTGGTATGAAGATGCTGGGATTAATCCCTCTCTTCCATATGATAATGAAGACAACACAGAAAACTATCATTAGTATATCAAAGAGAAACCTCCAATAAGGATAAAACAAAAATGGAGATAAAAACAGTATAGTGAAGACCATCTGATACTCATGGCCCCAAGTGGTAACATGAAGAGGAAGTTAATCAAAATTTCCAAATAAACTTATATACAAAAAAGAATGGGGAAAAGAGAAAAACAGCAACAATTACACCATCTTCTGGATCTAGAACACAAGAAGGTACGGGGCAGGTGTATTCGGTCCCCAAACCAAATATTCAGAACCCAAGAAAATAAAAATACAGAAAATACACTGGTATCTTCAATCTGAGATCTTCACAATCAAGAGATGTACCCAAAGAAGAATGGGTACCAAAACAAGACTATAGCTATCATAAAAGCCAAGCAGCCTTCAAAGGGCTAAGTTCAAACATCATTAACTCAAAAATGGTGGTGAATTTCCAATCTAAACTAAACAAATTAGTACGCAAAACAATGTCACCCTCTGCTTGGTCTGAGGACGTGAGGGAGTAGAAGGCAACGATAAAGCAGATGCCCTTGCAAGAAAAGGGGCTGTTAGGACCCGAGCCCTTCTGGGGCATAGATATCAATGAGCACCTCAGACAGAAGGATAAAAAGAAAATGAGGGAACAAAGAAAAGTAACAATCCAAGAACTTCCTAACAAACTTCGGAAGGAAAGAGGTAACAGAATGCATTACAGGAAGCAGAGAAAAACTACAAATCCTAATAGGATTCTAGATAGGACACTGCAGAATAAATGGGCATTTGAAGAAGAATGACATAATGCAACATGGCAAGTACAGATTCTGCAAAGAAGCAGAGGAGACACCAACACACCTATTAACAAACTGTGGTGCTACACTTGCCCACAGGAAGAAGTGTTTTGGGACGTACAATGTAACCGTAGAAGAGATAAAACTTGAATCTGGGCTTACTAGTCAAGTTCCTTGAACTAGAACCAGTGTGCTATAAATACAGAGCAGGGGATACAACAGCTCCTAAAGGGCGCAGTATAATACACACCATGAACATTATATCTACCAAGGTACCAATACCACTAGCTGAAAAGGTTGGTACTACTCACAATCTGGTTTTGCATTGATCCAGACACAATCTTCTGAGCTGATCTGAAAATCTCCAGATTTCGAGCATTAAATGCTTATCATCAGACTAGAAGAACATTTTCCATACAGATTGTGGATAGTAACTGTCGCAAAATGCTAAAATGTGAGAAGTTAGTCGTATTTCAACTAACCACAGGCCAACCAACTTCACAGTAACAGTTTTAAAGTAAATTCAGTGACAAATTATTGATGATCCACCAACTGTTGTAATTATGTAGTGAGCGAGATGGTGGTCAAGGTTGGGGGGTACTTCTTTATCCAAAAACTGTTCTGCCAAGCTTTCGACCACACCCTTGATCATAATATCATTATAAATTCAGAGCATCGCTTACACATTTTTGGCTGGTAGTGTTGCGTCAAAAAGAGTTCCTCTTCGACATCACTAATTACTTTTGTTAACTTCTCCGGGTCGTTGATTTTCATGTACTGATCGAATTTATCACGAGCTAAGACTGCCTGGTATCTGTAGTCCAACCTACATTAAAAAAAGCTTTACTACATTTTTACATCTTTCATTTACAATTTCAAAACAAAGGTTCTAACAATGAAGAAAAATATGGGACAAATGGTAAATTGACGTCGGAAAGTTAAAAATGAAATTGGTACCTCTTAGTATGCCAAGACTCCAGATTCCTCAAATATTCTTTGTAGAGGTTGCACAGCTTTTGCTGGTGAGTAAGATATCTCAGAGGCACGTGAGAGGCCATCTCCCTTTTTTTATTAATTAATAAAACGAGTTTTATTACGGGGAACAATTAATTAATGAAAGAGAAAAATCAACAAAAGCCAATTATTGCAACCTCCCTGCAGTTAAACTTGTCAGCTGTGATCCCTGATCAGGCATTTCAACTTTTAAACCATTTTCACTTTGTTGATTCATAGCTGTGTTATTAAATTTGTGTTTATTTATAATAAATTAATTATATAACAAAAACGCCAGTATTGAATTATTTTGAACAAGGAAGGACTGTTATATCTTTAAAATCACTGATCTACCTTGTTTATTTTCCAGACAGACTATTAAAATTATACAATAGTTACAAATTTACTTAGGAGATCTAATAAAGAGATTCATCATAAAATATAAATAGTTAATTAGAGAAACAACAGAATTACAATTTCCAAACAATAACAAGTAATTGGAAGTATTTATTTATTTAAATAAAACATAACAATAAATAATTGAGTTTACCCTCACTTTTCAGTTTATATAATGCAGAAATATTTGCCATTTTAAATGCTTTAGATGATCTCTCTATCAGTCACCACAAAATAATTATATTTTCTGATTCTTATTGTGCACTTCAAACAATTCAGAACCCGTACTCTAAAAATCCATTGGTTCAGAACATTTGGCAAAACTTAAAAAATATCCCTGAATGGTCTTCTGTTTCCTTCATACCAAGTCATGTCGGGATTAAGGGAAATGAGCTAGCTGACGATGCAGCAAAAGCTACATAGGACAATCCCAACATCTCAACCTCAAATATCTTCAATATCAAATATCCTTCCAAATTTCCAGGTGTGATGAAATCGTACTATGTCGATTACGTATAGGGCACACAAATATGACCATCAGGCACCTCATGAAAAAATCTATACAACCAACATGCCTTTGTGGTGATCAATTAGATGTATTACACATACTTGCGTCCCTTCCCTTTTGTGTGAGGCCGGCTCATTACCCCAAAATCCCCTGGACTATAAAGAAATGTTAGGGAATAAACAGAAAAAAAATGATCAAGTGTTTGAAAGTCTAAAATTGAGAAATTTCTATAAACTTATATAAATTTTCATAATTTCCAAGAAACCACTGATAGTACAAAAGCGATGAAACCTTGGATATTTTTCACCTATACAAAAAATAAGTAATTGATATCAACTAGAAACAAACTTTATAAAAAATATACATAATATGTAAGTAAGAATCAAAACATTAAGAGAAACATGTATAAATGAAAGTGTAACAAAAATAAAAATATAATAATATAATCCTTGAAATGATACTATTAAGTAGATGAAAATTGTTTAAAGGCTAAATTAATGAATACGTTTCTAAAGTTCAGATTTGATATTTCAGTTGTTTTAGTTTAAAATTGGGACCTTGTCATTTTTAATTATCCCTTAGACAATCCTTGATTGATTATCTTAAAACAACATTTGCTCCATTTTAAAGGATTAGAGATAAATAAAACACAGATAAAATCTCCCACTTAAGTTTACAATTGAATTTTGAAAATAATCTTTTAATCTATTTTTGTTGGTTTTTCTGTAAAAATTCTTTCTAATGTTCTGTTGGTTTGATTTTTTTAGTTTCAAATTAGTCCGAGTGATGGTTTTAACTGATACAAATTCTATTAAATCATAGCAGTGTTGGAAGATGGAAGAAGGCAAGTGTATGTAGCCAAAGTGCTTAATATTCCCAACAAAACTGTCCGAACTGTCGCTACCAAGATATTAGAAGTCACTCAAGAAGGCATGGCTCAGGTCGCCATCATATCACTCTTGCAGAGATGATTGTTTTATTGTTTGTAATGTACTCTGTATCGACATTCTACAACTGTTGTGATCTAGCAACGACTTAACAAGCTAGAAATGTAACTGTCAGTTTATGCACTATGAGAAAAGACTTTCAGAAGCTGGATTACGTGCAACTTGACAGAACTGCTTGGTTCAGTTTCACAAGAAATCATATCAATTGGCATGACCAAGATTGGGTTAAAATCTTGTTTTCAGATGAGTCAAGTCTGAAGTCTTCTGAGAAAGGGTTTGGAGAAGAACAGGAGAGTGATGTATCCCTGCAAAATTTTCTCTCCAGAGAAGCTAAGTGGTGTTGTTATGGTTTGGGCAGGTATTTCTATGAAAGGTTGCACAAACTTGATCTTCATCGAGGGTTCCCTAACTGCTGTGTGGTACATTTAACATATGTTATCAGAAGAAGTTGTTACTTTTATGTCACTAACTGGCAATAATAATAATTATTAATTTATTTTTTAAATGCATGACAATGCAAGCCCTCACATAGCTAGGGGGTGGTACTACCACCAAGTAGTTGGTGACTACTTGGAACTGGCTTCAATTCAACATTTAGACTGGCCAGCATGAAACCCCCCCCCTATCAAACACCTTTGGGACTAGTCAAAGAGAGAAAAAAGTTGCCCAATAACAATGCCAAAGAATTTGCAAGAATTAACACTGTTGGAGGAGTATAAAAATATTCCACAGCACTATTATTCAAAACCTCATAAAATTGATGTGGTGATCAACACAAGAGGAATTATTCCTTACTTAATCGAATATTTTCTTTATTGTTTCCATAGCAACATTTTTCTTAAAATTCTTTTACCCTGTTTAAATTTTATTTTGTTTTGTTTAGCAACTTTTTTTGCCTCAGTGTGGTAATAGATAATTGTAAAAATTAAACAATGCTATATGTTTACTGATCTAAACATACATACCTTGAAGCAGAAATTAATTGATTTTTAAAAATGCTAGCATTACTTGGTATAAGAGATGTGGATAAGCATTTACCTACTGAAGGGACCTTCTTTTATTAGACTTATGAATATTTTTTGTTTCCGGGAAGAGAGCTGGAGAACATTAAAGTTTAATTTGTAAAGTAAATAAAGAGACAGTAAAAAAATCCTCATAAGATCAGTTTGCCAAGCTGTATGATAGCTCAAGAGGTAGAAGTGGTACTCCGTACTACCTCTGGTACTGACCTGGGGGGGGTCATAGGATCAAGTCCTGCTCGTGACACTGTTTCAATTATAATAATTAATTACTCTGATTAATAGGACCAACTGAGAACACACAATAGATTAACTAATAATAAACTGTTTTACCTGGGGGTTAATATGACTTCATAGTTGAAATATGCGCATAAAAAAATGAGTGTTACAACTGCGCTAGGGGTTCAAATGCCATAGTTGTTGATAACCCTTTGAGCTTAACTTCAACAGTGGTTTAAGACAAGTCTGACTCTGAATATAATAATAGTAGGTGAGTTGTCATCCAAGTTAGACGTCTGGTTCTGAACATACATATCTGCATAATCGAACCTGTATAAATCAATCAATCAATAAAATTGGTTCTTTTGATCCAGCTAGAGCAATAAGACAGATGCTCCATGTATAAATTATGAGTGTATTTATATCAGTGGGCTACTGAAAAATGTCTGTCCTGCCATAATTTCCATAGTGTTAAAGTAATATACTTTCAAATTATAGATTACTGTTTATAACTTTTTTCCACAAGTGAAGCAGTGTGAAAATAAAAAATAATAATAAACATCGTGTCTATGGTCTAGAGTCCGACTGTCAAAATGTACCTAGAAACTATTGTGCCAAGAACAATGTATTCATAAAGCGGTAAGCGTACAAGCCTACTTACTCTATATATAGAGTATATAGAGCCATGACTTGACACTCTTGGGTTATGTTTCAGCCCCAGTAAGTGTAAAAAAAAAAAAAAATCACAGTCTTGATCATCCAGGGATGGAAATGAGCGCATAAGCTGATATAATTTGAATGGAAAGGCTGTTTTACAGTAAATTTGCTATCGATGAAAGACAATTTGGGAATGAAAATGCATTGTGTGAGAAAAACAAAATCATTTTCTTAAAAAATAACTTTTATTTCTTTTGACCAAAAATAATGTTTGAGAGAAAAAGAAAAATGAAGTCTTGATTGCTTTTTATTTAATTATTTAAATGTCTTATTTTGGTGGAGATGTTATATTTATATTCTAGTGCACGAGTTTTGATTTGATTTTTTTTAATTAATTTTTTTTAGTACGAGGTAGACATTTTTATACATTGTCTTAACTTTTTGTAAACATTTTATTTTTCACTATATAAATACATCAACTCCTCATTTTTCCTGGTCAAATATATCATGTACCACATTTTACAGTTACATCAAGTCAATTAACTTACCTATACATTCATAATAATAATATTTATCATTATTATTAATAANATAATAATAATATAATGATGATGACAAAATTAGAAAAAAGACAAAAATTCCCCCTGAAAATGAGAAAAGAAACAGGTCTCGATCTTTTAGTCTATGGTTGTTCCCTTTTGATCCCGTGAGGCGCTTCCGCAAGTCCTTTCACTTTCAAGCGGTCTGCCGTTTTCAGGAACGTCGAGAGTTGATCCTGTGAAACGTTCACTTCCCCTGCGTACATAAACTCGAGTATCGACTGAAGGTGGTCAAATGGAACATCCTTCAGGATTATGATCGGGTGTTTCGATGGGTTTTCCTAAAAGTAATACAACATTGATTATTGGTTTTTTTATTATTGTCATCATTATTAATAAATATATTTTATAGAAAACATTTCTTACCTCAAGCAAGGATTTGAAATACGGACTGCAAGCGGATAGGACCATTTTGTGGGCTTTGCACGTCTTCCCGTCGCAGGCGAGCGTAACATCTGTAAAGCTCTTCTCATTTCGCAGGTGCCTGAATGATGTGACCATGTTTGACTGAAAGTCATTCCATTTAAGGAAATATTGCTGTTGGTCCCCTCCAGCCATACTAAACACAAGAGAAAACATAAAATATTAAAAATAGTTTTTATTTAATATCTCAGTATCCCCGGAGGCACACATTAAGTCCAATTTTTTTTAAATTCCCTTTTTTAATGTTCCTAATATAACTTTTTCCAATTTAGCCAGTTGTACATAGCCCTATGCCGTCTTTTTAATAATTACCGAGATATAAACTTAGAAGATAAAAACACAATATGTCACTAATCGTACTGAGGTAAACAACTTTCATTTGCTATCCTGTAAAAAAAGTAATAATGTGACAGTGTCATGTTCGTATACCTAAGTACTGATCTATGAAAGATGAAGTAAGTAACATTAGACTTTGATCATATTTGGTTATTTCATTTAACTTTTGAAAGCATATGATTTTTTCCCTTTCCTAGACATTCTCCGGCCTTTGATTGTGAATGAGCCGAGGGCTTGTTGTGGAAGATAAAGGGCATCCTTCCATTTACATACTAACTTATCCTCAAATCGTTCCTAATATCCTAACAAACCTATTCTTCCAAGTAACCCGAGACACCTTTTCCTCTTTTATTTTTCTCATTTTAGCCGGTGTCCCCCAGGGAATTATTTATAACCCTACATGGAAAGGAGTTAAAAAGAAAAATATCAATATACTCCCGTACAGCCAGGCAGCCATAAAAGCACTAAATACATATGCTTTCAACGCCACATTTTTCTGGAGTGCCTAAACAGCCTAATGACTCTAGGAAACCAAAACAAGATTACCTTAATGTGGGTTTTCAGACAAGAAAGCATAGATGGAAATGAACAGGCTAACGATTTTTTTGAGATTCGGTGTACTTTTTTTGGTGGAACTCCATCATCAAAGGTTGAATATCGATGTATCCTTTAGTTCCAACTGATCTTAAAAATTCTTTCTCAGGGCGTCGGTGACTGCAACAGTTTAGGCGTTAACACAGCGCTCATCACTGTAAGGGAAAAGTCCTGGGTTCGAATCCAGCAGCCCTGCATTTGAACCAAACATAGCAAATGTGTAAAATATGTATATATATATATATATATATATATATATATATATATATAAAACCTGAGGGCTGTTATGACCTTTGATGTTGATGAAAAAAAATCTTTCTTTAAATCTTTTAAGAAGAATCTTTAAATCTTTAAGAAAATTAAAGAATTGATCAAAGGTTCTTAAAAAATAGTTGGAAGTAAAGATCTCATTGATATTCATGAACTGGCTGACTAGCAAAAAAAAGATGGCAACCCTCTCACCAATGGGACTAGAACGAAAACTAAGTACACCAGAGTGTGTGTTTAAGTTGGAACTGGAAAAATGGATTGAGAAAGAAAAACTAGACAAATGCACCAGGTATGAGGCAAGCTAAGAGATATATAAATCTCTCAAAACGGAAGACGAAAGCACTCCCCTTTCTCAGCAGGCAGGATTTGAAGAGAATTGTAGGCCTCTATACTGGCCACGGCCCTATCAGCTATCACTTTAAGAAGATGGGCAAGGTTGAAATAGAAACATGCCGGCTGTCAGGAGGAACCATTGACATCAGTACATATCCTCTGTGAATGTAAAGCGTTAGCCCATTTATGGTACTGCCACTTATGACAAATCTCATACCCAAGGAGATCCACGTAAAGACACCACGATATGGCTTTATGTTACAGGGGTTTCAGAACCTGGAGGAAAGAATAAAAAGGAAAGAAGAAAAAAATATAGAGGAAAGAAAGAAGAAAAACTCTCCTCCTAATATATAGGAAAGAAATTGAAGATATATTCTACTTTTTGGGGCGTTGTCCAATATTAAAGAGCACCAGTAAGTTTTTTTTTGTTTTAGTTCTTATCACCTATCGATGTAGCTGTAGTTAATCTTTTAAACGGAACTCATTAGCTAAATTTAATCAATTATTTAAAGAAAGCTACACTTTACAGGAATTTTTTGTTGAAAATTGTTATTACTATTTAGTTATTTTATAATCATCCCTTTTTCTTTTTCTATTTTTAAATCCTGGAAATGTAAACACTGCGTGCACTGATGGCACTGTGATCTATGCTACTAAAAAGACCTCAAACAAGGTCAAATCAGCTCATATTACTCAGACTGGAGACTCCACATTAACCCCAGTAAATGTAAAAGTAAGATGTTATAATACAAAGAACCTCCAAACCCTCCTGAGCTCAATATCGAAGGAACAAAAATCCCTTGGAGCCCCATGTACCTGGGAGTTTACTTGGACCAAAAGCTGAGCTGAATATGCATATAAACAAAAAGGTAAATAAAGGATATGTCAACTAGTTATGTTTTTCACTATGATCAACCAGAAATCTAAACAGAGGCCTGCAGTGATTTTATATCAGGCAACTAGTATGGGGTCTACCTCTACCTTCAAAATAAGGGGACTCCAGGTAACATAAGGTGCTGATAATTGCTGTCAACGCTGAGTGGTATGTACATAGATTAGTTTAGGTAGAAGTTGGCCTTTTTACAACCTGTGCACCGTGACCAGTATTGATGTATTGTGTATCTAGACCTCTTTGTTAAGCTTGAGGCTTTTTATCAGACCCCAAAGCCTTTTCAAGAGCTCCCGTGTGTATCCTTCAGGCCATGGCTTTTCCTCTCTCATGATTAGGAATCTCAGCCTACACAGGCCCTCATACAACAGAGGATGTGCTTTGCTGTTTCTTCTTCTTCTTGGCAATATCTGCACAGGCTTGTTTCTGTGATGTCCAGATAGCAGTTCAACTATTATTCCAGTTCTAGCACATCCTAGGTTTAGTAGTTCTGCCATTGGTCTCTGCGATGGTCCTTTTATAAACTCTTTTGCATGCCTCCGTCCCGGGCTGCATTCCCATTGAGTGGAGGACTTATTAATCAATTGTATAATGGATCCGCGTTTTTGACAGTTTGGTAAGCCACAAAAGGGTTCAGGGCCAATATGTCATTGAACTTTCCTCAGCCAATTCATTGGCTCTCTGACTTGTGTGCCTTGCACCCAGACAAGAGTAATTATGTTAGTTTCACAATGTCTGACAAGGCTCTAATGCAGTCCCAAACTCTGTTACATTGGGACTATACCTACCATTAGGGAAATTATTGAAGAAAGATTCTTCAAGTTCCTCCCTTTGTTGAAAGCATCACATTTACACCTTGGAAAAACTGCCAACACGTCTCAAACCAACAGCAGGATAAGCCGTATATTGGTTTAAGTAATCACAGTGATAGTGTAAATTGTTTGCACAATGATAAAAACTACTTTATTGTAAATAGCTTTTGTGATTCATCATTTACTTATTAAAGCCTCTGCGATAATAATCTTAATAGTATTGTGATTTTAATATGTAAAGCCAAACGTGATATATTCACATTATATTAAATCAGCCATTCGAGCCAGTTAAAAATGTGAAATGTGTCTGTATGAAATGCACTAGTGGACAACTTTGTAGTAGTTGGGCTAGTGAATTAACAAAAAAAAATTGTGTTCGTGTAAAAGTTAAAATGTATTGCCCCTCCATTCTTTTCTCAAATGGATGTTAACTGACACGACGATCTCGGCTATTGTAATTTTTGATACTTTTATTACTATTATTACTTTTCTATTTGTTTATAAAATTGTAAACAAGAGTAACTATGTTTACTTTCATAAATAACGTTTGTCAGTAAGTAATTTATCTTGAAAATTATCAAGACGCTTACTTGTTATGGCAAAACACGAACTGAGATAAAATGAGAGGTGAAATGATTTTTTTAAAAACTTTTATCTAAAGATTTGACAAGTAAAGTTAATTGGAATAAAAATAGTCATGTTTTTACTATTTTTTATAACTGATAATAACCCAAATTTCAAATTCAAAGTCTTGTCATCGAATGTTGAAAGTGAACGCAAGCCGTTAGTGACAGCGTTTAAATGGTGGATTCTTATCGGTAAAACGTGGATGAAGGCCAAAATATCCCAAGTGAAAGTACCACCGGTGCCGAACTCCAAATGCATGTTATATAGAACTTTAATAATAAAAAGTAATGAAATAAACCCGAGTTAAAGCATAATTTAATTAATTAAGAAATAAAACAAGTCAATCTACAAACAGCTTTTAGGTTATAGACTATAAAAACCGGCGGCGTTTTGTTTTCCCTATATTTTCCCGGACATTTTATTATTCTTTTATAATATTACAACGCTCGTTATTTTATTAGATGCTTAATTAATGTAAGGTCAGTTAGAAGGGATTAGATAATACTTACTTTGGATCGTCCAGGTTGAATCGTAATTGGGAAGAAAAGCACTAGAAAAACGTCCCCTCTTAAGGAGTGATGAGTTTATTTGTTTATAATTAAAAATTAATTATTTCACGAATTGCAGGGCAAGACACAACGTCAGTCTCGGCAATAACAGCAGTATTTCGCGCACAACACTCGAACCGTAAATTAAATGACTCTATCGAATAACGCGGAATCCGTCAGTGTGAATAATTGTCGGGATGCCGATATTTGCCAGGATTTTGTCAGATCCAGTCGTTTATTTGTTGGAGACACTTGTTTTCCTCCTCGAATACGGGAAAAACAGCAAAAACGCCCGACGGGGGGGACGGAGTCAGAATCGAAGCTGGACGGGAGTCGGCACTAGGCACTGGTACAATCGATCGTATCGAATCGGTTTCATTATCCTCCTCCTGGGTGATAAAAATCGATATATACAATTTTATTGTATTGCCTGATGCAATAAAAATCGAAATGATTAATAAAGTAAAAAGATAAAGTTTTTTATGAACAAAAAAGAAAATTTTACGTTTTTAAATCAAGTACCAGCCGCTTAACTTGGTGCATGATGGTTGTCCATTGTTTAAAAAAGTGCATATTTACATGTTTATTGCATCATATTGCGTTTTTCTGGTTTATTATAGGAAAATGTTGAATTCCAAAATTATAGTTAATAATATACATAATTAAAAAAAGGGAAGAGAAATAAATTAATATAGTGAAAACGAGAAAAGCGAAACAAAATAGAAATTACTTTAAATGCAAAGAACAAAAAAAGAGGGGAACAACTTTAAGAGAGAAAAGGGGAAAGGAAATAAAAATTCTTACCATTTCGACATGAGAAATAATATGAGGGCACCTGGTCCAGACCCAAGAAGGAAAGCTTTTAAAATCGTAGTTTTCTGATCCAGACTCTCCCAAACAGCTATGAAGCAAAGTTCATCGAAAATGAAGAGGTAACATGTCAAGAGGGCAAGATTGTGAAGAAGAAGGTTGGCCGGAGTACCGTAAAAAAAAGTTTTTGGATAGCTGGTCAATGGTTGCGGGGTGACTGAACGAGATTTAGCGGAAAAAAAGGGATGGGCAGAGCAGGATGCACAAGGCTTAGCATAAATTCGTGCACAAACATTAATGAAATATATGCACATTTTTTACTACTCCATGAAAAATAAGCCAAAGAAAATGAACATGCAGAAAATTTAATTGTACAAAAGTGGCATAAAAGGCACCCACTATGTACAACCATTTGGACAGTTGGATATTATTTATAATTTGTGATCAAATATAAAATAGCAACAGCTTAATTATANACTGAAGGACAAAAACGACACTTTTTTTTTTTTTCAAACTATATGTATTTTTTATTGTTATATTAATTGAAACATACTTATTTTAAGTTTGGGTGATGAGATCGTTAGAGGTCATATGGAGCAAAAACAACTTTTTGGGCCGTGCCAAACTTTCGGTGGTTTTGGATGATGAACCACCGAAAGCTTGGCACACACAAAAAGTTGTTTTTGCACCACAAGACCTCAAAAGATCTTATCACCCAAACTTAATTTGCTGAGTGTCGATATACATTGAAAACAATATTTATTTTAGCGCAAACCAAATTTTAAAAAAAGTTATAAATTCGTGAATTTTAATAAAATTTTATTGTTATGACGGTTTGAAAGAAAATTCACCAAAAACCCAAAAAATATTTAGCGATAGAAAAAATTGTTACTTAAATTTTGGTCTATCACTAAATGATTTTCCGGTGTTTTCGTTAATTTTCTTTCAAACTATCATAATTAAATAATTTTGATTAAAACTAATGAATTTCTGATCTCGCTTAATTCGATTTTTCATATTGTAATTAATATAATGTTAAAAATACATACATAGTTTGAAATAAATATTTTTTTTAGAATTTCACACTGGATGTTAGGTTAACGATCACATAATTCAATATAAACTGTAATATATATATATATATTTATTATTTACAAATCGATGACATATATTTATATATTTGATATACATAATAACATGCTTTATACTTTTTCAATACTTTATTACTGAAATGTAAAATGTTACAAGGCACTAATACTTTTTTCTTAATCATTTATTAAGTTGTAACAAATTGGACGGTGATTAAATTCGATAATTGTTTTAAAAGTCATAAAAAGTAATAAAATTATAATACTTAATAATAATACTTGAAAATAAAATAAATTGAAAACAGGAATGTAACAAATTGGGAATGATTTCTTTAACAATCTCTACTTCTTTTTTTCTTTTTTTTATTAGGGACTTCGACAATCAGGATGCACTCTGTACCAAACCGGTGGTGTGGTCGAGAACGGTGTCACCTGCACCGCCAGAGGCACCCCCCGATTCATTTGAGCTGGAAGACTCCCGGATGACAGAATTGCGAGTCCACTCGTCCTGCGCCTGTACAGGATGCTGTGTGAGTCCAGCTGAAGAGGTCGCTCTCTGATTGGCCGGCCGCACGGTCATTATCAAATTCCAAGAATTGGCGACCATCATGTCTGTCACCTAATTAAATCATTATCAAAAACTGTTTGAACTGATTTAAAATCGAGAACTTACCTGGTCAAGGCTTTTCCCAGCAACTTCGATCCCATTGACTTCTAGAACTTCATCGTTGACAGCAAGCAACCCAGTAGACTCGGCAAGGCCACCTGGTACAAGTCTTGAAATGAATATTCCAGGGACCTTTTGAACACCGCCTAGTGTTACTCGAAAACTCGTTCCATCTCTTATGTAAAATCCTAAAAAAATAAATAAATACTTATATAAATAAACAATAAAATTAATACTTTTTGTTGTTGGTTGCTTTTTGCTTAGATGTTAGATTCAGACAAAATAAATAATAAATCAATTTGTTGAAGAAATTCACTATTCATTTTGTCTGAATCTAACATCTAAAACAACAAAAAATATACAAAATGTCCAAGCATTTAAGTACGTAATTTTAGTACATCTAACTTGTCTAAACATTGCACTATAATTAATCCATATATGTTTAGCGGTCATAATTTACTATATTAATTATTTCAATTAATTGTTCTTTTTATCTAAGGTCTTGGTTGAGATGACAAAGCGAGTGTCCCGAACGTGATTTGAACCCATGACCTTTGTCTCAATACACCGCTGTTCTAACCACTTGATCTGAAGTCACAATAGCTCAAGTGGTTAGAGCAGCTGCGTAGTAAGCCGAAGGTCGTGGGTTTGAATCCCGCGTGTGACACTAGCTTTTTCATCTATTGACCTAATAGATAAAAAGAATGATAATTGAAATAACTTTATAATATTAAAATTTAAGTTCAAATGTGAAAACATTTTCTATTTTATTCTTCTATATAATGTATAAGAAATTATTGTTGTAAATCATAATTAGACAAGAAAGACTTTTTGTTCCCCTTCACTACATTACCCTTGCAATGAAGCTGTTTATTCCACAAGTGTCCATACATTGATGATTAGCATTCACTATTATAATTGACAATTTATAAATAATTAGTAATTTTACATAAAATTTAAAAATACATAAAATATAAAAACTATTTTTATATCAGTTATTATTTAACTAAAGCAAATTAACTCTAATTTTATTCATTTAACTTCGAGAAATTACTAATCGCTTTAAAAGTTTAAACAAATCAATTTTGTGCAGAAGAAATAACTGGTCTATTTCCCGAGATATAACTTATTTCAAAAGGTAGCATTGATCACTTTATTTTATATGCTAGCTTCACTTGAGTAATTTAAATGTGTAATATACTGTTTTCCACCTCCAGTAAGTAAAGTAACTGTGATTTCAGATGAAGCAACTGCTAAAGCCATTATTACAGATTTTTTTTTTTTTTCTGTTATGCACTATGCATATTAGCCATGGTGACAATTCTTATATGTGTGTTCAAATTGGGGGGTTTCGTGAAAAAAGGGCCAGAGGCGACGGTGGAAATCGAACCCACGACCGCGGCGTGAGTGTCTCTAATGCTAACCACTCGGCTACCGCAGTCCCCAAATTACATATACATTATTACAGATTGACTATTTTTGCTAATACTAAATTTGTCAAGAACGTTTTCCTGTTCCACCAGGAGCTTTAATTTTTTTTCTTTTTTCTCTTACCAATGCTATCTATTTTTGAATCATATACTGTTGTTGGTCAAGTACAAAATTTGAAAGATATAGACATTAAGTTCGGCAATGTTATAAGGATGAATTTTAAAGGATTGCTTGAATTTATGTTACTCCGATTTGGTGATGGAAGATTCAAGTCACCACAGCTCAGAAAACGGCCATGCTTCAATTTTCATAGGAACATGTGAATTGGACATTGGAAGAATGAAGGACGAGTTCTCTTTACAGATGAGGTTGGCCTCAAATCTTCAGATGGGCGTAATTTCATACAGAGATGTTCAGGAGAAATGTATGCTGTATGGGTTCCTCAGGGGCAGTTCACATTGGGCCACTATGTTCTGGGGCAGCATTTCCTTGAACGCCTGCACCAAATTGGTTGAAGTGTGAGGAAGATCTCGTGGTAAAGGTACTTACAAGGCATATTCGAAGAGCATGTAGTGCCATTTGCTCACGACATCACTGAGAAATTCTTGCTAATGCAGGGTATGCCAGACCCCAGAGAAACATACTGTGGATGACTACCTGAATGAGGTTGGAATAGAATGCTTGGAGTGGCCAACTCGAAGTCCAGACCCAATCAAACAAATTTGGGACCAACTTAAGCGACAAGAACAATGGCGAAACCACCCAGGTCCTACCACCCTAAAAGAGTTGGAATTGGCTGTTCTTGACGAATAGGAAAGAATTCCTCAGGATTTTAGCAGAACTTTTTTCCTTGGAATGCAAAGGGGTTTAATGGAAGTGATTTGTGAGAGAGGAGGAAATACACCGTATTAAAAGAGGCAAAAAAGTATTTTCATTTGTTTTTGATTTTGTACTCGATAATTTTTTTTAGAATTAGGTAATAAACCTAAAATACTCAATAATTTTTTTTTTTTAAAGCCTCATTTTTACAATCAAACCTATTTTTTGTAAGCAAAATATGAATAACTATTAATACATTAAAATTTAAGGGTGGTGCATTAATTTTGTTCATCTGTGTAATTTATATTCATGTAGGGACAAATGATGATTGTCAAAATTTTGGTTCAAGTTCAGTCAATGAGTATCTCCAAAGAATGAGGGAGAAAATGACAGTAATTTGATTTAAAAACTCATTTTAAGCAGGAAAGCATTTTTAAACATGCAGACTTTTTTGTAATGTAACTTACCTAGAGGTCGTTCCGAACCATGCTTTACTAAACGTACCCTCCGACATGTCTCGGGTACGATGTCTACATCTATAATCGAAGAGACTTGGCGGAAATCATGAGGATTGGATATAGCTAGTCCCTTTCCTTTTCCAGGAGTACCAAGAATTGACGATATGATGTTCTTTGGACGGAATGTTCCATAACCGTTCAACTCTTCTAGACTTTCACCTTGAATAATTTCAGTTATAATCACGGTATAGGAGAAATATAGTAAAACAGTGTGAATCTATTAAAATACCTTTACGTTGTATGATTACACGGAGAAGAGGCTTAGCGGTCTGTAAAGCCCTCGATAGATTGTCGTCATTGTTGATTGGAAGAAGGTCTCCATCGCGAGGGTCTGTGTAAGAAATGAGGAAAGCCGTGTCCGAGAGGCGGTGGAGCTTTTCCAAAAGGGTCTTCAGGTCTTCGTACTTCGTCGTCGCGTCCCTCGACAGCGAGAAACGACGAAATTCGGCGTCAAACTTAACATAAAAAAGTTACGAGACAACTTAAAATTTACACTTTTACAAATGAATTTTTACGGTTCAAAGCAAATTGTAACGTGGTTTATGTGGTTAACCTGTTGATTCCACTCCAAAAGGTGGAGTCTGAGATTTAAAAATGCACCTTTTTGAGATTCACATAAAAATTACTTATTTAATTTCTAACATAGATTTAAAAAAAAAATAATTAAATTTAAAAAACTGGACCCACCTTGCTTTTAATCTCTACAAGGCCGGAATCTATCCTATGTTCCTTCTTGGAATGTCTTGACATGTTCCTTTACCTAACGTTCAAAACGCTTAAAGCCAAAATTTAAAAATAATGTTAAAACAAATTTGAGGTAAATTATAATAGCTTTAAGTAACAATTAAGAAGTACGACGTGAAAAAAAAACACTTCACATCTCGGTTCTAAGGCTTTGATTAAACTACATTGAATCCATATACTTCAAATATTCATAAAAGACTGACTGGGGATTAATTATTTTGTAAAATAAGCTACGTCTTTTAAGATTTTTTAATAATACTGAAATAAGTAAATAATAGGGAGAAAAATAAAAAAAACAGGGCTTGGAGTCATCGGTCGGCCATGATTGTATCTTATCTATCATTAGGTTACTCGTTAGCGAATATCGATACAATTTCTATCGTCGCTATCGATATGTACCTATAGAAATTGTTGAGAACACAAAACACAGACAACAATAATAATTTTTTTTCCTAAATTCTTATACATTTGAATGTATGTCTGACAGTGTTTGAATGAGATTTCTTCGAGCAAGATTTTTTTTTCAGTAACTTTTGAGGCTGTCGGAACAGAAAAATGAAATAAAAGAAAAATACAAATTGTGGGGTAATAAATGCCCACAGTCTCAATAGAAAGTGTATTTATATTATTTGAATGGAAGATTAAAAAGAGAACAAACCTACTTTTTGCTAGTATGCCTCCATTATTATTTTTATTAATTCTTGGATTCTCATAAATCCAACAAATTAATATTTTTTTTTTAAGATTATTTGGAGTTCATGAGATGCGTCTTGTGAGATGTAGATTTTAGAAAAACATTTTCTTTAGCGTGCCAACGTTTTGATATTTATTGAGATCATCTTCAGGGCCTGGGATTTATAAACATTGTTTAAATTTTGCAAATACATGTAGGATGTGAAAAAAAGTTAATTTCTAGGTTGTATACATTTTTTTCATATGCTACACATTTCTAGCACTGTATAAATTCAATTTTTTCACATGCTACACATATTTGTATAATTTAAACAATGTTTATAAATCTCAGGCCCTGAAGATGATCTCAATAAAGATAGAAACGTTGGCACGATAAAGAAAATGTTTTTCTAAAATCTACGTCACACCAGACCGCATCTCACGATCCCCAAATAATCATTAACTAATGGTCACTAAACACCACACATTTTTTTAAGGGACAAGAACCACCAAGGTTCATTTTCGCCCCGAAAGTGTGGACTATGGCTCCATTTATTTATCTAGACAAAATGAATTTAAAATGACAGGACAAACAAAGAAACCAGTATATAGTTACATTTTTTTTCATTGGTCTGAGCCATAGCCAGCATACAAATACTTGAAATGGTATACTTATCACTGAGCCGAGGGGTAGTTTTATGTAGACTAGTAACAAACTTCACTTGCTATCGTCCATTGATGTGGCCCTCGATGTGCAAAGCTGAGACACCTATTTTGATGAATGAACGAGTGAACTTTTAAAATAAAAATGGGAGAGACCACCTAAATGTGTATAGCCATGTTATGGATTTTTTTTAAACCATAATATGGACTGTTGTACAACTGAATTAAAAACAAATTATTTTGCAGTTGCTTTTATTTTTAATTTTTATTTTTTTATTTTTACTATTATATACATTTTTTTATTGCCAGAACAGGGCATTTAAAAAAAAAGAAATCAAATGGTACAATTTATACATTTTGGGCTTTTGACTTATTAAAAAAGCTAAAAATCGCATATTTCCTATACAAATGCAAAATAAAAAAAAGAAAAAAAGAAAAGAAAAAACAACGAAAAAGACTTATTTACAAAAATTGAAGTTATTTGTACAGTTTAATAATTTTTAAATAAATATAAATACATTTTGCCTTATTTTTGTATTTACTAATTTTTAATTATTTTAAAATAATTTTCTCAAATTTAGGAACTTTAAAATCTCAAGATTCCTCACAATATATTTGACTTAGTACATTTTCCTTTGTTTATGTACTTTTAACATTAAAAAAAAAAAAAAAAAAAAGAAAACTAGAAAGAAGACTCGTTTTAGTTTTTTTCAACAACAATTAGAAAATACGTTGTTTTTGTCTAAAAAATACATTACATACATTACATTGTATATAAGACTCTGTACATTAAAAACAAAACAAAAACAAAAGCTGTACACAAAGTCCAAGAGGAAGAGTTTTAAAAAGATCTGTCGATCAAATTGTTTTTTCTGAAACTCTCATTCAATTTTTTCTTCTTTGCTGAGCGTTTTTGTCGTGGAGGATACTGCCGGCGCCAGAGGAACTGTTAAATTGCCGCTTGAATCCTGTTTGGCTGGAATAGAGTTTTGTCGGGCGGTGAGTCGATCCGGAAGGCGTTCCTGCTGCGCTTCCGTTCCCAGTTGCGATTCCCCCATGGCCTCTGGATCCTCCATGACCTCTTGAAGTACCTGCAAAGAGTTTGTCATGGAACATTCTTCCATTCGTCGCAGAAGGTCGGATAACAAAAAATGTTATTGTTTACACAATGACCAATTCTTGTACCACTTATATCTGCACAAAGCTCATAATATTAACAGGTTTAAAACGTACCTGGTGACTTATATGGCCTGTTTGTCATTCTTGCCCTGTGGAAAAGTTTCTCAAGTAGAGCACTCCCAGTAGGTGTGATGGTATCACTCCCATCCCCCTCCTTAACAAATTAAAAAAATAAAAATAAAATAAAAACTTTCTTTTCACCCTTTCAAAAGATTATTTACAGAATCATCACTAGAACCAAAGGACGAAACACTGAGATGGCTTGAAGACGAGGAAGAAGCCCCACAAGATTTTACAGGGAAGGTTTGCCTCACCCATTCTCTGTAGGTAACGACACGGTCCCTGATTCGTATTATCCGGCCCAATATGCTGTAAATAAACGGAAAAATATATTTGCCTGGAAAAATTAATATTGTCCGATTTTATACCTCTCTCCCTCATTAAGGAAACAGCCATTTAGGGGGTTCATGACTTGTGTGAGTGTGATGTAGGCATACTCAAATGTCTGTTTGACCTGAAGTGCACCATAGGAACCACGGCCGATGTCATTTCCAGGTGTGAGAGGGTCCTCAATACACAATATTGATGGACGGTGACCACCTTTTAAATCTTTCTGAATCTACACACAATAATATATAAATGATACAAAACTTCATTATTTAAAATAATTATTTAGAAATCGTGAGATGCGGTCTGGTGTGATGTAGGTTTCAGAAAAACATTTTCTTTATCGTGCCAACGTTTCGATCTTTATTGAGATCATCTTCAGGGCCTGGGATTTACAAACATTGTTTACATTTAACAAATACATTTAGCATGTGGAAAAGAGAATTTATACAATGCAAAATATATATTTTTTAAATATTCAATCAGTATTTCTACTCACTCAAAGTGTTTGTCTTCTGTGAAATTGTGCCATTCTTGCATGTCGTGGAAGTTGGATACGGTCATACCACAACTTAGTAAACTCAGTCGCAGCTACGCCAATATCATTAATCCAATTCAATATACATAACATACATATATCATCAAATATTTTTCACATAGTCTAATTGTCCAACAATTTAGCTTTCCTTTTCCTATTTATCCCTTTCTATATAATCCTGAAAGGATAATCTGGCTGTACCATTACCAACACATTTTTTCCCTTTGTCAGCTCCTTTCACCTCAAAGAAGCCGACGCCTTATACAAAAATGTCTTTTCTATACCGACTTCCTTCCCCACCCCTTCAAAATCCAACGTATATAAACATAAAACAGCAAAATCTCACTGGCACTCTCAACACGACACGCAAGAATGGCACAATTACACAGAAGACAAACACTTTGAGCCCTGAAGATGATCTCAATAAAGGTTGAAACGTTGGCACGATAAAGAAAATGTTTTTCTGAAACCTACATCACACCAGACCGCATCTCACGATTTCTGAATAATTATCGATTAACAGTCACTAATCACCACACATTTAAAATAATATATCATAATTGACCATATTAATTATTCTTTTTATCTAAGGTCTTGTTGATATGAAAAAGTTAGTATCATGAGCTGGAATTAAATGCATTTGAAAAATGGTAAAAAGAGATAACAATTGATACGTTGTTGGTTGAGATGAGGAGTTGGTGTCCAAGTGGATCTAAGTCACGATAGCTCAACTTGTTAGAACAACAGTGTACTGAGCCGAAGGTTGCGGGTTCAAATCCCGTTCGTGTCATTAACTTTTTCATCTCAACCAAGACCTTAGATAAAAATAATAATTAATTTAAAATAATTTCTAACTCTACCTCCTCTTTTGACACGTAAGTGCCTCCATTCTTTATGCGTATTGCAGTCATAATATAATTGAAACGGCGACCATACAGCTCAAAGAATTCAATCAACAGCACCCCAAGGTTGCAGTCGGGTTGGAGTACATCAGTACGAGGATGTAACTGTAAATCACAGGATAATAATGAAAATTATAAGTTAATAAATGAACATAGTAGAAAATAAATAAATAATGAATTATATAAATAATAAAGTAAATAGACTTAAATTTAAATCTACAAATGGGAGCCAGATGTCCAAACCCCTTCATCACAGTTGTGCCTGGAAAATAGCTGAATTGAATTGCCACAAAACACAGAATCACACAACTGCAGCTAATCCAAGAAGGAATCTTTTTTAATGGGGTTATATGAACTCTTGGGGTGCCGGTGTTTTTGAAAAGAAGCCCATTTGTAACATCTTTATAGATCTTTATCTAACAGTGATGAGCACTGTGTCAACGCCTAAACTGTTGTGACCACCGACACCCCCTAATCATAGGAAGTATAGTAGAGCAGAACACCTGATACCTCACTCCTTCAACGCTAGCTACAAGAGTGTCTAGCTTTCCTTTAATGTGAGGAGACTAGAAGAACTGGGCAGCCACAGCCACAGTGACAGAACCACACCAAAAATATGAATAAAATCCATTCTAATAGTAGCAAAATAAAACTATAATTTGGAAATACTAGTTTCATTGTGAGTTCCAGATTATGAGGGAATTTCAGGTAACGAGCAGACATTCTAACTAAAAAGGGATGGTTAGGGAACTAAAAAGGGAACTTTGGAACAACACAGGCCTAAATCCTTGACACAAATAAAAGCCAAAGAAAAAAAGAACTTGTCATAAATTACGAAAAAACACACTAGGAACGTATTCCAGGCATGAATCAAACAAAAGGACTACTTGCAAAAACAAAGCAATGGGAGAAAGAGGACTTCCTATTCAATAGAATAATATTCCTAGCTGATATATTTAGGACAACAGGTTGTGCTACAGTAAAATACTCCTTCAACAAATGGTACTGGTAATTAACAGATGATCTGCAAGAGATAGAGACAACAGAGTATATCCTATGTAAATTCCATCTACGATACTGCCATACCTAGGGCAACAGTATTATAGATCTCAATACTATTGGGTTGTCCGGAAAATAATGCAGGATTTTAAGTTTTCATTAAAAAAAATCTATATAAAATATTCTGTTTACGTTTACAGGATTACTCATTTGATGTCAACACTTATTAATCCTCTTCCAAATGATATTGTTTGTTTACCTCTGTAGCATTCCGCTACTTGGAAATAATTCAGTCATCCTTATAATGTCAAAGCGAGAATTTCGTACGATTTTCTTTTACGAGTTTAAACTCGGCCGAAGCGGAGCCCAAACGGCTAGAAACATTAACCAAGTCTGGGGCGAGGGTTGTGTTAATGAGTGCACTGTGCAAAGGTGGTTTAAAAAATTTCGGGAGGGAGATTTCAGCCTTGAAGATGAAGAAGGTCGTGGAAGGCCTTCCTCTCTTAATGATGATGTTCTGCGATCAGTGGTGGAAGAAAACCCCAAAACAACTGTTCGAGAACTTGCAGAGCAACTCAAAGTCAGTAAAACGACCGTCGCTGACCACCTCAAGGCGATTGGAAAAGTGAAAAAACTCGAAAATTGGGTTCCACACTCATTAAACGATCGCCAAAAAATCAGCGCTTTGATGTTTGTGCATCACTTCTTTGTCGAAACAAAAATGACCCATTTCTGTTACATGTGACGAAAAGTGGATTCTCTACGATAACACTAGACGTTCTGGACAGTGGCTCGACAAAGGAGAAGCTCCAAAGCCCCCAACTCATCAAAAAAAGGTAATGGTTACGGTATGGTGGGCTTCATTTGGTTTAATACACTACAGCTTCTTAAATCCTGGCGAAACCATCAATGCTGAATCATACTGTAACCAAATTAATACCATGCATCAGAAATTGGCAGTAATGAAGCCCTCTTTGGTCAATCGGAAAGGGCCCATTTTGTTGCATGACAACGCTCGACCACATGTGTCACGTGTAACGTCACAAAAATTATTGGAGCTTGGCTATGAAACTTTGCCTCACCCACCCTACTCTCCGGACCTCTCGCCTACTGACTACCATTTTTTTAGACACCTGGACCACTACTTACAACACATAATATTCAAAAATCAAACGGAACTGGAAAATGCATTTATTGACTTTATCAATTCTAAAAATTCTGAATTCTACTCAGACGGAATTAATAAGTTACCAACACGTTGGGAGAAATGTATTGAGAGTATGGGAAATTATTTTGATTAAAGAACATTGCTTTAAAGTAACTAGTTTCTTTTTTTTTGTTTAATACCAAAATCCTGCATTATTTTCCGGACAACCCAATATAACCCTGAGAAAAATTCTATTCTTTATTAAAGAAACGGAAATTTTCAGGAAAACCAGAGGTCAGGCACAGTGGAAGAAAGTTCAAATGTAAAAGGAGACAATTCCTACAACTTCTTAAAATAAAAATACATAAAACTACTAATAAAATAATATAAACTCAATTATTCTGATATAACAACTTATGATAACATTCAATTATTCTGACATAGCACAAAATATGGTTAATTATAACTTCTCCATGAACATTTTAATTTAAAAAATGCCTAAGTAATTAAAGAAAACTTTTGTACTATCATTAAATAATACAATAATTAGAATAAAATATTTTAAAAAATTACTCACTTGCAGAAAGCTTATACACATGAGTATAAGGCTATAAGATGATATTCCACCATAAAACACTTCATTAAGGTCACGTTGTAACAGAAACTGCTTCAGAATGAGTACAAGCTTGGAGAGTGCAGGGTATTTCGCCTTGAATTCTTTAATTAGTTCTGCAGAACGTACACCATTTGACATGTTAAATGAAATATCAATTTTAACACAGGACGACTTATCCGTAAGCTTAACAATCGGGACAGTAGCTTTATCAAGGACTTTGACATTCTCAGGGGTGCAGATGTTTTTCTCGAGAAGTGTTTTCTCAAGCGTCCGAAATGGAAGCGTCTCCCAGTCGCCGATTACAACAAGGTCGATGTCCGACGTCGGTAAATAGAGGCCAGAGCGGAAAGAGCCGAAAACTTCAACTCGAGCACTAGGCCACAGCTCAAGAACCAAAGATTCGATGTTGCTCACCACCTGACTTCGCATATTGTGCTCTTCAGGGGTTGGGGAGATGTACTCATAAAAATCAAGGATCTCCTCGTGCAATCTAATACATCAAAACTGATTAAAACCAATGAAAAATTTAAAATACAATAAAAATTGTGTTAATATAACAATTACAATTAAATAAATATACACAATTTCAACAGTTAATTTTTTTTATAAATTACTTTACTGTTATTCATAGCTCAAAATGACATCTGATCATTGACAAATTCAATCATTATTGATGGGCCTACCAAAGAAGATAGCAAAGAAAGTAGTTTCACAAAACAGTCATTACTTCGCATACCTCACCACCATGTAAATAATAATAATAAATGTGTGGTGTTTAGTTACTGTTAGTTAATGATTATTTGGAGATTGTGAGGTACGGTCTCTCCAGACTGCATCTCACGATCTCCAAATAATCAATAATAATAAAACTGAAATTATTAAGTGTTAGTCAAATTGTTTAAAGAGACTATTTATTATTTCATCAGTGATTCTTTAACTGAAAGATACATTGCCTATCACAAATCAATTTAGAAAAAAAAGATTTTCTGCAAACTAAACTATAAGATATTATGAGGGGTAATAAACTAAGAAAAAATGTTATCAGCTGCTAATTTTGGCACAATAGTTTCTAGCTTTAAAATTGTCAAACATAACTTAATAATGGTGCATTAACATCGCATTGTCAAAATTTAAGAATGCCCAAAGTATAAACTCAAGGAAATGGTACTAAGCGTAATATATTTTTTATGCTGAACCAGCATTGCATCACTTATTGTATCTGTCTTCACTCGCGGGTTTGTTAAAGTGATCAAACGCATTTCCGCATTCTGCCATATTCACTGTGGAAGGACCTAATAAGTGACCCAATGCCAGTTCAGAATGAATTCACCTACTCACAGACCAACACCCAGCATCAACTGTAATACATTATTAATAAGAAAAGCAAGACTGTATCTTTAAAAAAATAATTTAGGTCCAGGACATAGATATTTAGGATTCCAGCATAACTAGAATAAATGAATTATATTTAAAAAATTTTTAAATGTGATATGTTAATATGTATTATAATAACATTTTCTAGTAAAGATCTGTATGTAGTTTTATAGTAATAATAAAATAGGCATGATAATATACTGAAAAATTATGACAAACAATAACTTTGTTTAATGTGTTTAAAATAGTAGTAGTTATTTAACAATGCTTTAAAATTTGAACAATTAATGTTATAACTGATAAAAAAAAGTATATTCTAGCATCAAATTTATATCAAGCAGTATATTCTAGCATTGCCTTTGTTTCTGCCAGGGTTCATTTAGAAATTAATATATAAATTGATAATAAATCCTTTGTTAAGTTCGTCAATCTACAAACATCAAATCCCTGTGTCTACCAACTATAGATTTAATGAGATTTTATTGGATCTATTTTGCATCGAACATACTTAACATATTGCCTGTAGAGCCAAAATTGGTCATAGTGCCAGATGACTGTTTAAATTTTTATCTATATCTAAACAACATGGTATCGTTTTACTTTTAATCCATTTATACTTTCAGGAAATTAAATTTCATTTTTCTCTTTACATGTGGGAGTAGTAATTGTTTATATTTGTTGTTAATTAATTATTGTTTTATGACAACCAAATAATCTTTCTATCTTAGAATCTGGATAATCTATAAGCCCCGGAGTACTGTTGGCATGGATGCAAAACAGTAAACAACTATTACTCCTTATAATATGTAATTACAAAATATAATTACATTCAATTAAGGAAATTTTTTTAAAACTTAATATCTAGTAAAAGAAGACCTATAAAATGGATAAAAATGATTTTATGAGTAAAGAGATTTAAAAAAAAAAAAAAAAAAAAAAAAAAAAAAAAAAAAAAAAAAAAAAAAAAAACCTAGAACTTACTAAAGCTAGAGGGCAAGCATAAACCTGTAGAATAAATGGTCAAGTGGGAGTGGTTGAAATGAAATGTGGAATGCGACTTACAGATGCAAGCAGTTCACTCAATGTGACAAGAAATGTGAAGAAAAGAGCAAGTTGGTACATACCAATAGCTCCAGATATTGGGCTAATTTTATGATCTATTAACATGACAGACACATAGTAAATAAAAAACAATTTTGCATGTGAATACCAACAGAACTCAATTTTTGAAATTCAGAATGATAAGGCAATGAACATGATATTATCATTGCACTTATTTTCAGCATTTCAGGCAAAGCAAACAACCAACAAGCTGTATTGTCATGGATGATCAAGCTATTACTTAAGTTATTAACAACAAAATCAGTGATGCTGCTTTAACATCTAAAATTATGAGATTTCCTGATGGATGATGAACTAACTTTAACTGTATGACCGATTTGGTCTGTCTGGGTTAACTGTTTTGGTTGAAAGAAGTGTTGGCGTTAGCTTTGATTTTTGGTGTCTCACATTTCACGGAAAAAGTCTAAAAGGATTTCAACTAAAAAAAAAAATCACACAAAGACTGAAACAGATCAACAAACAAAAACAAATTCATGTTAGTATCATACTACTTTGTTATCGGACTAAAACCCAAAACGGATACAAATTGACTGCATGATTTTTGGTAATGGTGAAATACAAACGAAGTCAGCATTATTTTATTATGATTGGTATGGAATTCACCCTTTTAAAACCGAAAATTGTACAGCATCAAATTAGATTGTGGTTTCTTTTCTAGACCGAAATCTTTGGTAGTGTCCATCCAATGACTTTGTACCATTGTCGAAATGAAACAAAAAAATAAAAAGTAAATATTTTCCCAAATAATTAAAGAAGGCGGTATAATTGGTAACGCCGTCATAATTGATGAGAAGTACCTCACAAGCGGCCTCTCGTCATAAACCTTGCCTTCTGGCATCCACGGACAGCCGCCGTACTGTCCTATCAGGGATTCCCTGTTGTAAGACAGGCCGTATGTCGATGCCCAATTCTGATTCCAGAAGTTCTTGCTGTTCTTGTTGTTCTCCTGCTGTTCGCTGCTGTTGTTATTGTTGTTGTTGTTATTGTTCTTTGATGCTAGGGCCTTGAAGGCGGCCCATATTCTCATCCAGTCTTTCATCGCCGGGCCTTCCTGTTCCGGCATGAACCAGGATATCCTCTGATCCATGTGTGAGTTTAATATTTACAAATAAATAACGCACTGGAATAATTTCAAATTCACTTTTTATAATTGAAACTTATAATCAAATTGTACATATAAAAAATGTTAAAGTCTCCGGAGGCATCTCCTTATCCGGCTACGGATTGTTCAAGAGGAAAATAAGACAGAACAACACACGCGGGGCGCACGTTTGAGAATTGAACGATTAATTTATTCTATCGCGATTTTTCAAGTGGTAACTCTAGTTTAACTATTCTCGCCGGTTGAAAATTTGAAACTAGAAAGCTGAAAGCACTCCCTTATTCTCGACTTTATCCTATTTAACTATCCCGTTTTTCTTGTATTCCAAGGGGCCGGTTGCAGTGTTGCGAAGAAGGTTACAACAAATGAAATTTCCTGCCTATTTGGTTTTTCATTCAATTTTTAAAAATTACGATAATTGAAAAATTTACAATTTCATTCTTAGCATGTCACAACAAGAGAAACGCAAGAGGAAATACAAAGAAAAAATCGACCAGAGAAAACAAACTTCGTTAACCAGAGCTCACATGCCGCCTCAACAACCTTATTTGAACTATCCACCGAAACCTAAACAAGGGATAAAACAACATTATACACTAATTACACAATTGACGTTGGATCCAAACATAATTTAAAAAAAAAATTAAAATTATATGTATACTAGTATATATATGTTTATCATTCGGCACAATAGACGAAAGGGCAAATTTAAGTTATTGTTAAAAAGGAGAAATCTGTAGACTCCACATGGGGAAAATATCTATAGCATTTTAAAGCTAACATAATAAACAATTTTAAAAAAAAGAAGAAGAAGAAAAAGAAAGGGTTATCCCTTTCCCTAGTACCTTCAAAGACAAAAGTTTACAAACAATTATGACACTGCATTTCAACAGAATTACAATTTTTTAATTTTTATTTTTATTATAAAACAGTGTTTTATTTAAAACTATTTTTTTATTTGTTGGCACACTAAAGAATCTTACTCAGGCAGATTATTAAACTGACTCTCAAATTATATTTAAAAAATCGAATAAATAGAGCTCTGTCTTTCTTACACAGATTATTAAAAATATTTAAAAATAGTTTATTTTAAATCTCACATTAAATTGCTATTATTATAATACTATAAAAGAATTGTGATATAGAAATATTCAAAATACACACGCCTTCAATTTATTTAGTTTAAAATTAAATCCATTATCTTTCTACAATAGTTATAGGTAATTAGGAGCTATCGTAGTCAAAAACGAACAGAAAATGATGCTTTGTTTACATTTGTACTGATTAATCCTGTTAAGACAAAAAGTAGCATTATGCCTTTTCATGCTGCTACGCATAAAGATCGCTTTCAGTTAATCTTTTTCCTTCATTGATTTCATTTGGTATTAGTTTTATTCTTAAATCACTCTACAATAGGAAGGGTTGATCGGCGCTTTTTTTTCTTTTTTTAAGGGACAGGAACCACCAAGGATCAATCTTGGGCGCTTAAGACAAACAGATCAGGGTCGACTTAGGTTTACAGAAGAAATGCTTAGGGATGGTTAGGGGTTCTTTACAGAAGAAAGAGACGATAGATTCTTCTGTCATCAGATTTGACGAAACAACCCTCCCACCCTCCCCCCAAAAAATTCAATGTGCGCCACTTTTTTAAACAGTGTATGTTTTATTTGATGTATGATAGTTTTTTTTAAATAATATAGATGCCGCTTTCAAGGGTTTTGAGGGAAAAAATGGTGGTTGATGGAAACACGTAGAGCTCCTCCTCGAATTGAGCAATATGTTTATAAAAGAGTAAGGCCTGTTTTAATTGTTGAAAACATTCAATTTATGTTTTTAGTTGTTTAATTTTGGGTGAAATGACGAGGTTAAACGATATCGAAGAAAATCCGGATTTGGCCATCCCGTGGCGACACTGTTCACGAACACCATCGGCCATTTTCCTCCAGCTTCCAAACCGTGGAAAACCGCTCTCTCGATTTCAGGCAGTACGCAGAATTGTTCGCAACGGATTTTTTCTCGGAATTCAAATTCATTTGTACGATTAACGACGTATTTTACAGTTTTTACCATTACCTGGCAGGCGTTTTTTTATGAAGAAAACTTTTTTTTTAGCATTTTGTAAACGTGTCTGTCGTTGAACGTTACCGAAATGGCGACTTCTAAAGAGAGAAATATACACTTGTCTTTAGGTAAGCAATAATTTAATCCAAATTGGTCAAATGAATGAGTTATATTAGGTAAAATAAATATATAAAAAATCATATTAATTGTTCCATAAAGAAATGTAGCAGCACACTTTAACTGAGTAGATCCTTCAGCTTTCTTGACTTGTACGGTATTTTTCACCAACACACCCGTAAAACAGTTTAAAAAAATTTAGATTTTTCCTTACTTTTGTTAAATAATTAATAACAGAAATCTGTACTATTAGCATACAATCCTTACGTAGCGTCGTCCAGATTGTTTCCCCCCGTTACAATTATACACCTGTCCTAATGATGGCATCTTCTGCCATATATCATTACTTATCTTATCCATACGTATACTACTTTTATTTTATAGACTTAATGTTTACTAGGGAGTAAGGACTGAGGACAGTTTTGGATGAAAACTAAAAAAAACAGCGTGCTTGATAGATGAGTCAGTCCTTAATATGGTACCCTCATAGGTTGATGGTTTTCACACAGTTGAGGTTGGAATTGACAGCATTATTTACAATTAATAAATTATTTGAAGATCGTGAGATGTGGTCTGGTGTGACATAAGTTTAGATAAACATTTTGTTTGTTGTGCCAATGTTTCAATCTTACATCATACCAGACTGCATTTCACGATCTCCAAATAATCATTAACTAGCGGTCACTAAATACCACACAATTAATGAATGTAATACAGTCACCTATCAATCTATACAATCAGATATATTTATATTACACTACAGTCCTTAGATATTTTCCTATTTCAATTTTTTGTAAAACATGACATCAGGGAAAGAGAAAGATGAAATAATACAAGCCATTTACATTGTAATAGTCAAAAATGGTGCACAAACATAATAAAATAGCTTGACGATTAATTTACTAACTACATAACGGTGTTGCCCGGAGGAGGGTCATTGGCAGTTGTTGGCTGGGCCTGCTGGTTAGGGGGGCACAAGGGAACCCAGGACAGAATAACTCCACCTCTGGGGGATGTGGAATTTTTCATAGGTAAATGGTTTTTATCTACATCCCCGAATTGGGAATCAGCTAACAAGCACAGTATGGCTAGAGAGCCCCCTGGTATGTTTGTTCGGCTGGCCGGCTGTTTGTGTGCCTCCCCTTGGGTAGACATACCCCTCATCAATTTTGAGACAAAGCCAAAAATAATAATTAAAAAAATAAAATCAATATTTATTTGGTTTTATTAAAATTAAAATATCAAAAAATCAATAAGAGGAAAATATAATGTAATTTTTAAATGCCAAAAGAGGTTTAGTGCATCACCTAGTTGAAACAATAAAAAAAAATTCTGAGCTCAAGCAATCTTGTTTGTTCAGATTTTAGTCTTTGTTTACTTTAATTTGGAAAAAAAATTAGCAGTCATTCTCCGGCTCTTGGAGCCTAGTTTTTCTTTTGTTCCTCGGAGAGGAAAAACTAATTTTCAATAGCACCCAGTGCGTACAAAAAAACACAACAGGGACAAAATCAAAAGAACTTGCAGATAAATCACGATGATTATCGTGTACCACCGAATTAGCAAATCTAATTGGGAAATTTGCGCATCTTAAGTCTGCATTTTATTGTACTGATGGGGTGAGTTCGACTTAAGTTTATTTCTGAACTGATTTATAGCAAGTATAGACAGTCAAAAGTGACTAGAAACTACCAAGCTACTGATTATTTTAACTCCCCCCTTTAAATGTGTAATAATCTATATTTCTATTTGCTTCAGGTTTTTTGCATTCTGGCATTGTATACTCAACTATTTTGAATCCCCAATGCATTTAATTTAATTTACACCTTATACTCAATGCAATTTTCAGTTGACAACAGTTTTTTTACATCCAGAGCAGGGTTCTCAAGCAAATGCTGCCGAGATTTGCAAGTGTATTGTTAAAATTGAGTCCTTTATTTTTTTTATACCTAGATATATTTTTAACTCAGTGTTTGTATGTATTCATTATGATTTGGTTCAAGTAGGTCATTGGTTTAGTCAGATAGATTTAGTGCATACACCTACTATACTGCAATTATATCATATTTCTTTTTACGTTATGTCAGAGATAGTTTCATTAAATTATCCAACACAATCAACTTTAAGTGAACTTTTAAAAGAAAAAATATATGCATATTTTTTTTAAAGATGAGATCATTGAAATGGAACGGAAAAAAGAGAAAGTTGTGCAGGAGGAAGCTAACAACTCAGAACAGGCCGTCTCACTAGATCTTGACTCTCTTATCTGTCCTGATAGCAAAACAGATGAAGAGATGCCATGTGTTTCTTCACCCAGTCAAGAACCTTATTCAAACAATTTCTTCCGCCGAAGGCAGCCGAGGAATAATTCATCGATGCTCTTTTACTCAGGACGTCAGCCTTCAAGTGCTAGAATGAACCAACGTGATTGGCAGTATTTCCTTAGTCGTCGATTTGCAACTTTACAGAGATATGGTGTAAGCTCAATTGCATTTCTGTTTTATTTATTTTAATAATTGGTCTATTCATTGAGACGTTGTCTTACAAATGTTTAATTATCTTCTATATTTTTACAATTTAGTTTCGTAATCAAGGGTTTCATTATGGGAACATTCCTAATGTAAGGAAGAGACTTCAAAGGAAGACTAAAAAAAACGTATGTTATGTTCTTTATATTTTTTTTCAATTTAGTTTTTACTTATTATTTTTATTAAAGTAATTAATAAATTATCTATTATACTCATTTTCTACTGGTTTAACTGATATTATAAGTAGCTATTCTCCAGTCATTGCCAGTATGTATCTATGAACAATACTAGGTTTTGCTCTCTGAAATGTCAAATACCATATCTGTAAAATTGTAATTTTGTTAATTGGAGAATAAAAAAATATATATATACATAAATGTCAGTAGGTGTGCCATACGGCTCTATGTTGGGTCCTGTTTTGTTTTTGCTATTTGTGTAATGAAATGTTTTGCAGTTGACATAAATGCATTGTAATTTTTTTTCTTTTTCGGTTGTTGACTTTTATATTTCTTTGGTTTCTTTTCAGGAACTAGACAACCATCAAACTCATTTTCTTATTATTGATATCGATTTTTGGGTCAACAGCATCCCCTCATCAGTCTCGTTTTCTTTTTGGAAACCAGTTTTTCCCATCAAAATCATCATGGGTTTATATATGTATATGGATCCCTTTCTAAACTGGGCACTGTGATAATGTAGTAAGAAGCTTGCCACTCTTGTGTTTCTCATTCGGTATCTATCATCTGAAGTAGATAAGGACTCGCTTCTAAATCTATATCCTGCATCTTTCATTCATGTTGAAGATATTCGGTGTTGGCCTGGGGCACTCACACACTGAAAGAGTTCCTACTCACATTAAGTATTTATGATTATTAATTTGCTAGTCAAAACAGTAATGGATTATAACAATCAATAACATTACCTCCACTTATTTAAAATCTGCTAATAAACAAGTACTTTAAACTCTTTATTATAAATTGAGACTTTCATGCTCAAAAATTAACAAATCAATCTGGTTCAATTGCCAATGTTTGAAATTAAATCTAACCCCAAAATTCGTTCTTGCTAAATTAAATATTAAGAACTGTGTTCAACTCTCTTACAATGTAAATGCCAAAAAACCATTTTAAATAATGAATTACATAAATTGTACAGTCAAAGAGATACAAAACGTTTTTATCAATATATTGTACACATTAGACTTGCGTCATTATTGTCTCCAGTAGAATGGGACGAATTCGATTATGATACGCGATCAAAAATTAAATTTATCATTGATAAAAAACAAAGTATATTAGATAAAAAATTAAAAACTTAAAATACGGTACACTTAAAAATAAAAAATACCCATAAAGACCCAAAAACTCTAGTTAAATTTTACCCAAGGGTTATAAACTTAACAAACATGGTACTATATAAAGAAGAAAACAATTTATTAAACAAAGGCTTAAAATTTGTCCCTCAAACAGAATTGGATAAAAAAAAGACTATCCCTTGATTCATACATAGATTGTTGTAACATAAATACAAATATAAACTATAAATGTGCTGAAATAATTAAACAAAATTGATAAATCTAAACGTAAAAAAGTTAAATAACCCACATACAATTAGGTCTATTGATAAAAAGTAACGTTATTTTAAAAGCCGATAAAGGAAATAGTATAGTTATCCTTGAACATCAAAATTACATTTCTAAAGTTGAGGAATTCCTGAATAATAACGAGTGTAAAGAAATACAAAAGATCCCACCTTAAAATTAAAAACTAGAGTTCAAACAGCCATAAAAATTAGTGATTTTTTATTCTCAGATGACCAATATTAATTTAAAAAACTAATACCAATGAACCCAAAACCCCAATGTTATACAGTACATTAAAAATTCACAAGGAAAACAAATCTATATAAAACTTAATGTGAGTAGGAACCATCTTTTTAAAAAAAGGATTGAACTCCACACTCACTCCATCTTTAATAATTTCTCAGAAAGAGTTTTTAGCATGCAAAGGCAGGTCATAAGTAATGCCTGGATTTGTATACAATTGCATATTTTTTTTGCTAACACTCATGGTCATGGTGAACAGATATTTTCTGAGTCGTCATACCTGTGTGGTTAAAATTTTATACTGCATATTTGAAGGATATTGCACATTTGAAACATTTTTGATTACTTAAGACCCCATGGACATTTTTATTTTTATTGGAATAATGGAACAAAAATAAAACTAGTTTATAATAACATGAAAAAATGTCCTAAGGAAATAAAAGAATACAACAACACTGAATTGTATCCCAACTTCTTAATATTAAATTCTTGAAACTTTTAAATTAATTCATTGTTAAAGACCGGATTTTCATGCAGTGAAACCTTCAAAATGTGCAAAAGTATAATAAAGATGAAAACTCTCCCATTTAACAAATAAAAGCTGGGAGAGCAAAAATGTTTGCCTGACTGAAGGCATATTTGCAAATGATAAATATTGTATCATATTACATAATGTATATATTTGTACAGATGGTAATAAACAATTTAAAAAAATATTTACCCTAATAAAATAAGTTATTGTCTTAACATTGTTTATAATTGATTGTTTATTTTATAGTCAATTTTTATATCCATTTTAAAACCCAATATTTACAAATATACAATTAAATTCTATAATTAAAAAATATACACCTTGATTAAAAAAAAATAACAGTGGAATTTTCTATAAATTTAAAATATATTTTGTTCTCAATTTTCTTATTAAAATTAAGTTTTGTTTTCAAAATATTTTGTAGTATGAAATAAAATTGAAAACAATCATTTGGCAGTAAACAGAAAAAAACATGAAATTTTGTACACAATAAGAATACTGTCAAAAGTATGTGCTTTCTGTGATTCAAATTTATGTCGTGGTTTCATTGCAATCGTACTGAGCAATAAAAAGATGCAATTGCACGGGAATTCAGCCTTTATTCATCACATATGCAATTTGTGTTTTGTACTTACTTTTTAAAATTTATAATTTTTTTTATCTAAACATCATATTAAATAAATATTAACATTTTAAATATTTCATATATGTGAAATTAATAGATGTTCTCTTTATAGAATAAGTACAAGAGGCGCTGGAACAGTTCAAGTTGTAATTCATGGTAATATTCTTTCCCCTGGATTGCCTTGTTTAATAATATATAATAATTTTATTTTTCAGTGGTTCTTTCATACCAAGCCAGAGGCCGCCAAGCCGCAATAGCCTTCGTAGGTCTACTTCGATGAATTCAGTTGCATCATTCAAATCTGATTGGTATGCATTTTTAAAAAATTCCTTTTTTTACTTCAGTCAGGGTGCCCACTGAGCTGTGTTTATTTATTATTGTGATGCAACATGAGGAGATCTTTCATCGTCTGATACGATTTATTGGCGCAACACTTGTGCCCACTGGAGCAAAGTGACAAGCGATACGATTTATAATGCAGTACCTTTTTACACAGTTTTAATCATGAGCTCTTTAAAGGAGGATGCTATTATTGCTTACCTGTTTTTTTTGCACTGCAGCTGAGCTGTGCAGCTTATTGTACTTTATCCCTGGCTCCATATTTTGGGGGAGGTCTTGCAACACAAATGTGAACTTGAGCCCCCGTTGTACCGGTGTTCTTCCATTGAAAAAATTCATTTTTGAAGGGGGTTAGGACCAAATTCAGGGTCACTGAGATCCGAGAGATACCCTTCCATTGATGAGTGCTGTGTCAATTTCTTTCGATTGCGGCCACCGTCCCCTTAGGTGTCAGAAAAAGTCCAGAGGCGACGGTGGGGATCGAACCCACAACCACGGGATCTACTAGCCAAGAGGCTGACGCTTTAACCACTCGGCTACCCCCTACCTGTGCTTAATCAGCAGTAAGAAACGAGAAAATATTGGGTTACACAATATATTGTTAACACCAATATAATGTTAACAATATTTTCAGCTTCAGCTTATCTGTTATTTTCTTCCATGCTATGTTTGTTAAATCAGTTCTTGAATAACTTTTCAAAGAATAGTTACATAAACATAGGTTCTATTCAATTATTTTGACAAAAGAAATAGTGGCAGAGATGTCCTCCTATTGAGGATGATACAGTAAGCATCCGGTGTCAAATTGCTTATCACATCGCTTGTATTGCATGTTGCATCATTCTAGTGGGCACCCCCACCTTATAGTTGAAGCTGAGTGTTGCTCTTATTTATTTTTAATTACTTTATACTTACTTTTCCTGTATAGTTCATTTAGGTCGAACAGATCACGGGCATCAAACAATTCTTGGAAGTCAACGCACAACGGTGCTTTAACATCTGAACGAAAGCCCCTACTGGATCCTGGTTTGCAGAGCGAAATACGCCATATTCAGGCTGCCGCTGTCGTCGCAAAGATAAACTCTTCGACTCAGCTCAATGACATACCTGAAGAGTGTATTCCCGACCCTCAGCACACATTTGTTTCAATCAGCGCTCGCTTTGGTTTATATTATAAATAAACATATTTTATTTAATGAAAATATTTTAGTTTTTCCTTGCCTATTTCCACAGGCTATGACTAATTTAGTTAAAGATTTTTCTGCATTTTTAATTGTTACTTTTTATTACATATGAATAATTAATTGCATGTGTATATATATTTTTTACTTTCATCATTTGCTTGTTAAACCTTTATGAGTACTTAAAAATAATAATTCACATTCAGGATTTAATGTGGGTATATAAAATAAATTTGGTTTTCAAAAATACCAAAATATGTATTTTACTTTTCTTTTTTGTAATTATATACGTACAGCAGAAAAACAATACAGGTACTGATTTCTTTATATTCTTATTCCTAGTTATTACAGGCTATGTAATATACATTTATCTTTGTTTATATAGGTTTTATAACAAAAAATAAAGCTTAATTCTTATATAAATTTAATATATATATATATATATAAATATATATGTATAGATACATACATAATTTGAATCCTCCAACTTTATAATTTATTAGTTTTTCAATACACACCTTATATCTATAATATATATTATTTCTATACGTATGTATGTATTATCACAGATAGTTCTTAACAGTAATTATAATTGAATAATATAGGAGGTAATAAAATGGTAACTCCTAATTTTTCTCTCAGGATATTACAATTAAAAATTAAAACATAATTAAAACAAAAAATCTGACAAATGGTAATCTATGGAAATAAAATTGTTCATATACCACTTATAACTCCACAACATATATGTAAACAATAAAATCTTATCTGTTATTATGTATAATATAAAAGTTACAACTTGAGGTAGATAATCGGTTGGAATGCAGATTTATATATGTTACACTTACACAAAATTTAAGTACTGCGATTGTAAAAATGTCATGTAACTAATTTTTTTATCATTATATTATTTATAATGGGACTAGTTTTTGAGAAGGAAAAACCAAATGAAAAACAATTTAGAGTAAATAAGGAACACCGATTAGGATAAAACAATGGATTTATAGACAGCGTCCATTTTTAAAAATTACTTTCTAATACGTGTTTTTTTGTCTGACTTTCTATGCCAATGAAGATGTACTGGATTACAAAAGAAGACAAGTGTATAATTGTCATCTATTTAATTATTGCTGGATATTCCTAACCTTGCTGGTTTTTCTCAGTTCTACTTGAAATTGGCAGTTAATAGCATATTTTATAAAGTAATAACAACTCAATAGATGGTTATTATTGAAGGTCATAAAGGTTTTATTAAGATACGCAATCAAAACTTGCATACGTATTCAATGCATTTCTGAAAAATTCATCATTCCTGTGAGGCAAAGATCTTTAGTAAGGTGTAATACATGAAAATCACTGACCAGAAATTGTGTAAAAAAACAAAATATTAAAATAAGCGATTTACAAATTAAAGTTGTAAACTATTTAAATTAAAATTGACTGAAAAGAAAAAATATGGTAAAAAGCTTATTTTCAAACAACATATTAGTTGTATCTATGGAACATTCTTAATTAGGAAATGTAAATTGGTAGATATTTAAGAAATGTTCCATCTAACTTTCCTTGATAAGACTGAATAATATTAATTAGGACTGAAAAGCATCTTTGAAATTTGGTAGTAATCCCGTTTTAGGTGGTGTCTCTTCTGGCACGGGGGATTGTCGTGCGGGCCTTTCTGCTTCACTGTGCCTCTTTCTGATGTGACGGAGTAGATGGTCGTGACGCCTGTAAGCTTGAGGGCAGAATTGACAAAGGAAATCCCTTCTGCCTGTGTGCACTACGGTGTGACGCCACATTTCTTTCTTCATGAAAAAGGAACGGCCGCAGGCGGGGCAAGTGTGTTTTCGTTCCTGTGCACGTGAACCCCTCGAGCCAGAATGGCGAGCCTTGAGATGGTGCAGGATCGAGTCTTTGTCTTGCGCCTCATATCTGCAAAGCTCACACTTGAGATGTCCACCTTGCGCCGAGTGGAAAGCTCGGTGGCGCCTGAAACTTGCCGAACTCGTGTATGATTTACCACAGTCGGCACAGTCTAGTCGTGTTTGACGTCCATGGGTTTTGGCGTGTGTTTTCAAGTGGTCCTTTCTGTGGAAGTTCTTGGCACATATCGAGCAGGCATATTTTGGTGAATCCGAGTGAATGAGGACATGTCGGACAAGGCGGAATTTGCTCGAGAAACCCTTTCCACATGTGGCACAGACAAAAGGCTTCTCTCCGGTGTGAACATACCTTGCAAAATAAATAGCACACATAACTAAGACTGATTAATCCATTGTAGGCATTAACAATTTTTATCACTGAATATACAATTTTTAATGTAAAAAATGTATCTATTCGTGCTCTACAGCTACTTATTGTTTTAAAACTGCAATATTTTATTTAAAAATAAATAAAACTCTGACATGAAAAGTTGTTTGGTGCTCTTCCATAACTCTTCATTCAGTCCAAACACATATTTAACACAAGTCTGACGACTTTCCAAATGCCAACCTTTATCTTTTTATCAAGTTAAAAATCACAATTCAAACAATACCCAACACATTCGTCAGATGGTGACAATTGATTCCTTGATTAATATACATGAGCATGAACATTTTGTTTGTCAATGTTGTTTAATTAGAAATAAAATAAATGCCCTGTTAGTCTGGTGACAGATTCAATTGAGGGAACAATAAAACACTACAATTGACTCTTCGCACTTTCACTCATCCGCAGTTGGTCCCCTAGTCAAATTTTAGAAGAGATCGACCACAGAAGAGGATGAAGACGAGTATCAAATAGAAGAAAAACGAGCTTGGACACTTTTTTTAAAGAAATCTTTCGGTTAGCTCAAAAGTTGAAAGATTAAATCATATAATATGATCCAATAGTGTAAAAAAGCTTCAACAAATCACGACTGCTAACTCAAGCAATAGACCCTCTCTAACAAAATTTTCAGCAGTTGAAAACCAGAAAGAAGTAGCCTCCTTTAACCTTTAATTAAATTAATTTTTTAAATGATAAATTTTATCTTTTTTAAACAACTAATAATTTTTTCTCATTTGTTTCGATGTTGTGCATAGGTGTATATCTGTTGACGTTTGTATAAATATGTTGTTTCCCTGCATGGAATAAACTTTTGTATGTTACAGTTTTCTTATTGAAAAAACCAAGAATATGTGTACATAATAATTTCTTACATAACACTGTGGCCACTTCATAAATCATTGAGAATCGATTCCAGATTACATGACATTTGAAAAATGGTAAAAAGAAAGCAACTGAAAAGTTGTAGCTTGAGATGAGTAGTTTGTGTCTGAGTGGATCGAAGTCACGATAGCTCAAGCAGCAGTGTATTGAGCCGAAGGTCGTGGGTTCGAATCCTGCTTGTGACACTAACTTTTTATCTCAACCAAGACTTCAGATGAAAAGTATAATTAATCAAAATAATTAAATAGGTCAATTATGACTAATAAACATGTATGGATTAATTCATACATAACATTGATATAGGGACATGTGACACAGAAAGTTTTGATTGGTATCTGCTTGGTATGGCAATAATGATAGAATAGAATACAAAAGAAGTGTTTTTGTCCATTCAAGGGGGGTTTAACAATAAATTATTTTTAAATCAAGATAAATTTTATGCTGTACATAATGCAAAATCTTTTATGTATTTCAATGAATCTTATAAATAAATATAACCTTCAGTCTTAATTATTAATTTCTTCTCCATGGTAAAAATTTTTTTGATAGTCCTTATTTTTACAATACTCAAGCATCTAAAATAGCTATTTTAATTTTATATAAGTGAATGAAGAGGGGTAACACAAAATACAGTAGAGATTACCCTTTTGGGCAACAATAAGGTAGCAATCCTAGTGTCCTCCGATGAGAGACAACCATGTTATAGTAGAGGGACAAGAATTTTTTTTTTTACGAAAGAGAAGCTTTTGAAGAAGAAACAGAACCGTATGAAGACTGTAGTTTCTAGGACAAAAAAAAGCCATCAAATGCCTGAACAATTTATTCCTCCATGAAAGAGAAGCTTTCGAAGGAGGTACAAATCTTATGAAGAAAATGCACCCATGTACTTCCCAAAAATAGATGATGAGGACGGGAACTGAAAAACAAAGAAAAAAGTTTAAAAGGAAGTAAAGGAAAATTAGTTTATCAGTAAAATATTATGTGCCATACCTTCCTTCTTCCTTTTGATATTAACAAAAATTTAAAATGATTGTAACAAATATTTCTTTATATGTACACTATGTACTCTGATGGGAACTAACAACAGTATCTGCGACCAGTATGGTGGGGTTTAAAATGTCCATTAAGAAGGTAGTAAAAATAATATTACTTTATTTATCACAGTTAGTATAAAACAATTATACAACACAAGCACCTGACAGCATGTAAAATTCTATCTGCTAAAAGTAAACTACTACTTTTGTTTTGCACCAAATAATACTTGTGGTACATACGTTGAAAAGAAGCAAACTCTTTTTTGTTAACCTTTAATTATTTTTCTCAGTCAATAAACTAATTATTATTATTATTATTTTAAATTGAGTAATTGAGCCACAATCGTGAAGCGCAATAAGTTACATAGATAACAAGATAATACAAAGGAAAAGGGGGAAAAAATGAAAAGACATTGAGTGGAAAAGCTATCCAGAGATAGCACTCCTAATCAGAAATCATCATTTAATGACTCACACTCTCTGAGAGCAGGTCACGGGACGACTACCTTTTTAGACAGGAGGATTGTGAAGAAATTGAGAGGAACATTGTACATGGGATTAGAGGTTAGTGTGGAAATTGTTTGTAGCTGGATTTTGCAACTTCATTCAAAGGGAATATTTATATAATTTTGGATGATGCCTTTGGAAACATTGAAAATGGATTTAAGGTTCATGATCATAAGATCTGGCTTGATGGATTGATTGAATTGTTTGAAGAAGCCCAATTTTAAAGTTTACTCTTTGGCTGAGCTGTTGGCTTTTTAAAATGTGCTGCTAGGTTCTTCAGCTGAACTCAGCTATGTGAAATAGGGTGAGCAGGGCGTCTGGTCTGTTCGCTTTGCAATTTACATGAACTTGAATCTGTTTTTCATTTCTCGGCAGAGTATTCAATTTTGAGTGGGATCCATTTGCTTGGTCTAGGCTGTTTCACTCTGTCAAGGGGTGAACTTCAGGGTTTTTTAGAGGGTTCAAGATCCAGGCCTTGTGAGGCAGGCTTGGCACTACAGATACGAGCTGACAGAAGAATTTAATTTTTGATTTTATTACTGAAGTTATATAGTTATTTACTTTAACATGGCGATCTATGGCAGACGGATTTTTCGATCTATTGTTTATTTACTGTTGTTTTTTTAGTTAAGAGACCATGGTAGGCTGAGGACACCCTGAGGAACTCCCACATCCAGACTGTGCAAAGGAAAGTGTGAGAGTCCGACCCATTACTCTAATGCCCCTGCCAGTCATGTAGGATTTAAGGATGAGGGTATTTTTAAGTGTTAGATGTACTGACCACTTTTCTACTGATGGTACAGTCACACACAATTTCAAATTTTTTTGAAGACCGACTCAGTCAACATTGGCAAAGGATATAATGTCGCTAATGATGATGTTAAATAGGTTGACACTAATAAGTAAGTGAATTTGCTTTTTCATTGAGTCCATACCATAATCCAGAGTATTCGTGAGAGTATTTTTCTCATTTTATAAGCTGAAAACATAAATTTAAGCAAGAGGAGGCATGAAGTGGTGCCAGAGCCCTTGATTCTTAGGTATATTACTACCTCAATTAAATTCTATCTAGTCTATACAGAAATTAATAAATCTATATATTTGTTTAACAAAACAAAATGTCATTCACTTTTACCCCCTCAATATACTTACAACTTTAAATTCACTAATTTCGTGGTCCGCTTGACCAATTAAATCATTACAATTAATTAAGGTTTTTAGTTGAGATGAATACTTACAACATTAATGTACACTGATGGACCAAATTAACGCACCACCCTTGGAATACCAAACCAAAAGCAGGTTTGGTCATAAAAATAAGTCATAAAAAATTTAAAAAAAAGTTTACCTAATTTAAAAAAAAAAAAAAAAAAAAAAAAAAACAGCCGTTACCAACTCTTCTAGGGTTCTAGGGTGTTAGGACCTGGGTTTCGCCATCATCATCGTAATCGTTCTGTAAGTTTGTCCCAAATGTGTTCAATTGAGTTCAAATCTGGACTTTAAGCTGGTCACACCAAGCACTCCATTTTAACTTCATTTAGGTAGTCATCCACAACACATCCACATCTCTATAGGGCCTGGTGTTAGCAAGAATCTCTCACGGATGTGGGGGCAAATGACACTACATGTTCTTTGATTATGCCTTGTAAGTTCTCTGTGATGTTGGAGATCTTCCTTGCACAACCAATTTGGTACAGTGTCCAAGGAAAGGCCACCCCCAGAACAATAATGACCCACCGTGGAATGCCATCTGAGGAACCATATGAAATTCACCCATCAAAAATTTTTAGGCCAACTCACCTAATCTATAAAGAGAACGTCCCCAATCTTACAATGTCCAATACATATGTTTCCATGCGAATTGAAATCTCGCCATTTTTTGAACTGTGGTAAGAATAAATCTACGACCTGGGTGCCGGGTTCTGAGGTTTTCATTGAGCATTTCATTTTGTAGAGCCTTCCTCTAATAATGTTATGAACCTGATGCTGTCATACTCCCTCATATGCCTGACTGGATCCATTGAAAAAGGTTTAAAAATAAGAATAATATCAAATGAAATTAAGGAAGGAAAAAGATGAACTGAATCTTTAGACGTAGCAGAATGGAATGGCATTATATTACTTTATGTGCAAATGCAATTAACCAGTACACAAGAAAAATAAAGGAAATAAATAAAGTATTATTTACTGTTTATTTTGACTACGATAGCACCTAACTACCTGTAACGAATGTTGAAAGATAATTGCTTTAATTTTAAACTAAATAAAGTGAGTTGTGTGTTAAATTTGTCCATCATTGTATTTCTAATGGCATACGCATAACTTGTTTACCGATGCTGGATGAGTTTGGCTTTTGAGTTGAATGACTTTTTGCACGTTTCGCACTCGAAGACGTTCGGAGTACTGCGAGCACGTTTCCGCCTCAGCTGTGGCGGCTTCTCAGCCAGCACCTCTGTGTGCTCAGGGGTGCGGGGGCCACAGGGGCCTGTGTGCACCTCCCCGCATTTCCCGCACTCGTCTGAAAATAAAAGTCATTGTAATAAATTTTTTTTACGTTTTGTGGATAATTTCAGACGTCCTTTGTGAGTTTCCATTTTAAAAAAAATGTTATATAGTGGTGTAGAGGATGTGAGGACCCGACGATTTTAAAAAAGGGTCACTTTTGAGTATCATTTGCACCGTTTCTGTCCGTCAGTTCTTATTAAAATTAGGGCCTAGTTTAAAGTAGGCGATAGGGAAAACAAGTAGGGCTCACCTTGGACTGAAATTCCTTCCATTCCTCCTTCATATTAAATTATGTGTTTTGTTATTTTCCTTCGAGCCGAGACGCTTTCCCTTTCGCTCACTCGTCCCCTGCTCTAAAATAAAGACAACCGATTAAAACGGCCCCCCGATCTTTGAACACACTGGACACAAATCAGTCTGAAAACTGGTAAAACCCCCCTGTCCGAATCTAGGGCATGTTGACTTTCTCACTACAGGCACTACCGGGTTATAAAAGGGTAAGATTATTCTACAATCGATCATGACATAGAGGTCGATCCAAGCCTCGGAAACATTTAATTAAAACTTTTTCCTATTTCAATAAGGGCGACTGGAGAATGGAAAAAAATCAATTTTATCTCATTACGGAGACAAATTCGATTTAAAATACCACAAAAAAATTTGTTTAAACGAGGTCGGACCTCTTTGTTTGAATAGAACCTTGTTTTGAAGAGGTTGTAAACGCTGTTACAAAGTCCTTCCTGTTATGGTATTCAAGTTCAAAGTTGAACTTCTTCAACTGGACAGTATTTCTCGTTATACAGTTTGCCAATTATTCCATGAATAACTCGTGTTCAACTTTTATCGAAACAGCGTGCCTTCTGTTTATGAGCGTGTGCGTGTCATATGTCGGATCGTGAGGAGTCGGACGATGAGAAAGATTATCTCCTACGTGGTATAAGCGCGGAGTTCACCCTAGAAGAGAGAAACACAAAAGAGAAGAAAGTGAAGAAGAAAAGGAGGAGGAAAAAAGAAATGGGAAAGATCGGACGTTTCTTCAATTACGCCTTTGGCAGGTGAGTCATCTTTTAATATTCGGAGAGGGGGCATTCTCTACGTCGAAAAAAAGGCAACAAAATAATCTTTCAATAAATTTAAGAATTTAAGGAAAGATAAAATTAAATAATTTTCGTGTTTTTATACAATTTACAACCCCATTTTTATACTTGACCATTTATTTGCAGGATGAAGTTTAAAGAGATGTTTTATAGTTCTAAATTATTATTCCGTTTATAATTCTTAACTTTATGGTCATAAAATATGTACGAAACTGAGTAAAGTGGGGATAGATATGTAAATTATTTGTATCCTTGGTATTCTAATGATTTGCGTTTGTTACACGTTTCGACTTGTTTTCTTGTTCCCAATTATTTTCTAAATTATAAATTAACGTTATCTAGATAATGTCTTAAAAATAAATAAAACAAAGTTGATAGAAATATTATTTTTATACTTGGTATTCCATTGATTTGCGTTTGTTACAAGTTTCCACTTGCTTTCTCGTTCCTAATTATTTTCTAATTTTTAAATTAATGTTAATAATTTCTTAAAAAGAAATAACCATCTCTAAAAAGAAATAAAGCAAAGTTGACACATATATTATTTTTATACTTGGTATTCCATTGATTTGAATTTACTACATACTTCGACTTGTTTTTTTTTTGTTCCAAATTATTTTTCTATTTTGAAACTAATGTTATATAGCTAACAATAAAAAATAAATTAAGAAAAATTGACAGATGAAATTATTTTATCCTTGGTATTCCATTGATTTGCATTTGCTACACGTTTCGACTTGTTTTCTTATTCCCAATTATTTTTTCTATTTTGAAACTAATTTTATCTTAATAATTTTTTCAAAGGGAATTGAGCAAAGTTGGTAGATAAATTATTTTATACTTGCCTTTCTATAGGTTTTCAGGATGGAGTTTCGACATGTTGAAATTAATTTATTCTGTAATTTATAATTTTTAAATGTACTGTCATTTTGGCAGTACTTAAAAAATTAAGAAGGATAAGTTTAAATAATTTGCTGTTTTCAAATAACCAACCTTTTCTTCATTTAATTTTTATATTCGGTATTCAGTTGATTTGTACACGTTTTTCAGTACCTACAAGTGTCATTTGGTTTTTACTTCTTATTTTTAACCAATAACACCATAATTTTTAACCATAGTTTAAAGTTAGTGTTATTAAATGGTTCTCTGAGCATTTTGCCCTGTTGGATTTCTCTGTAATTTATAAATTTCAACAGTAAAGTTAACTGGCATGTGTTTTGTTTTATTATATTTTATATATTTGTTTTTATTTTATTATCTTTATTTATATTTGTTTATCCTTGGCATCCCATTAAGTCCAGAACGAAACACCATTTGAGATTTAATAGATCCCCCCAATGTCTCGACGTGTCACATTCTAATTTATTCTAAAATAATGAATTAATCAGTCAACTGTCCCAATTAGAAGAATGTTTAAAGTTTAAAACATATTTGTCTCTTTGATAAGATAAACTATGTGTCATAATTTTTTTCCATAAGTGATTAAAAAAAAATTGGCTTGCCAAAAAAATGTATTGATTAATTTGGAAACTTGCAACTGTCTTACTTTAAGTTGTATTTAATATTAAAAAATTGGCTTTTAATGGTTTCCCTAAACAAAAATTTTGATTTTCAAATTTTTTTTTAACATTTCGTATATGGAACAATAGTGAATATCGATTTGTTTGCTCGATCTATGACTCGATGTATGTGGTTATCGTTAGTTTACGCAATGCTCATTGACTACCAGAAAGGGAAGAGGGAGAAAAATCGATGGAGACCCGGACTTGAGCCGAATAAAAATTTCATCACAGTATTATTATCGTAATTTTTTTTAAATTTAATATCGGTAATTTCGTCGTTAAATAGATAAATAGAACTAAAGTTAAAGTAATAAAGTTTGGCGGAGATGGCAGCCTCCTCTCTCTGCCTCGTCGAGATGTCATCGACGACAAACCTTGTCAGGGAGGACGACCCTCTTATAAGAAAACGCTCCAATAAAAATTGGTTCCTAAGGTAAAGCGAGTGTGATTTATACAAAATATAAAATGATATTTATATATTGTTTTGATTTTGAGCGTCCCCTGACAAAATAACTAGTAAAAATTGTCAATTCTGCAGACACTGTTATTGAATGTATGGAATACAAATTTGTACAAAGATAACAGTTGATTATATTTATGGACGCTTTATCTAAAAATCTATCATCATTTGAAGAAAACATTCCCGATTTTATTCTTAGGGACTTTCATTACGTTTATTTTCTACTGTTTCACAGCTTGTTTACATTTTTGAATTAGTATTGATCACGATGATAGACCATTTCTGTTATACAGTTGACTCATCCGTGGGGGATATGTACCAAGCATCACCGTGAATAATTGAAAACACCTCGAATTTCAGTCTTAGTTTTCGTCCATCAACAGACTAATCATAGACTTTCTGTAACGCTTGTGTCTGTTGTAAATTTTAAGTGTTAAGGTGTTTACTTCCTGCATTCCCTCAAACCACTGTATTTGCATGCATAGAATTGTCCGTAGAGCTACTCCAAACTGCGAGATGTGTTATGAACCAGAAAACATAAAGCATATAAGTGTGGTGTTTAGTGATCATTAGTTTATAATTATTGGGAGATCGTGTGATGCAGTCACACCATAATGATACATCTGCACAGAAAACAAACACTGAGAGAGTACATATACTTTGAGTTTAAAATTGCTATCATTGTATAAATTCATATTTTCACATCCTACATGTAGTGGTATAATTTAAACAATAATTATTCAGATGGTCACTAATCACCACACAAATTTAAACAATGTTTATAAATCCCAGACCCTGAAGATGATCTCAATAAAGTTTGAAACATTGGATCGATAAAGAAAATGTTATTCTAAACCTACGTCACTCCAGACCGCATCTCACATCTCCAAATAATAATAAAGCATATGATTATGACGTGCCCAGAATACAAAGAGGCAAGACAGAAATTTGTCGATGGGGTGTATATGCTGAGAAATTTTAAGCGACCATTTTGATGAGAAAGCTTGCTTTAAGCTGGAAATGTGGATATGTTTAAATTGATGTATGCATTTTTGAAAGAGTGGCATTGATGTGTTAATGTGATATAGACTTCATTGTCATTGTTTGTTAACCTCCAACAGGAATAAAACTAAAATGGAGAGATAGCAATGAAGACCACCATGAATTCATGGTTGCAAGGGATGTTTGAATTTAATCAAAATTTCCAAGTAAACTTAGGTACAAAAAAAGAATGGGAACGAGAGGAAAACACCTTTAAGAATGGCACCATCTTTTGGTATACAGACGGATCTAGAACACAAGAATGTGTAGGAGTGTTCAGTCCTGGAACCGAACACTCCGAACCCATGTGAAAATACACTAGTATTGTACTCAATTTAACTTGAATGAACTATAATATGTACAGAAACGATCGCACATCCCAAGGTGGGGGAGTCACAATTCTAATAAAGACCGACTGCAAACACGAGCCAATACCACTTCCACCGCTCCACTCCTTAGAAGCTGTAGGAGTGATTATTACATTAAATAATAATAAAAAAATAGCTATTATCAGCTGTTACAAGCCCCCTAGAAAACGCTTAATACTATCAGACATTGTAGTGCTTTTGATTATTCAGTCGTTAGTAATACTTCTAGGAGATTTCAACGCCAAGCATATTGCAAGGAACTGTGCTTACAACAATTCAGATGGCAACAACCTATATCATTACACTATACTAAATAATGTCATTTTGGCCTGCCCAGACGCCCCTACCTTCTTTCCACCCTCACCTAGAATCCCCAGTGTCATTGATTTCTTCATAATAAAAAACCTGCAGGGTACTTGACCCCTTACAGTCTTTCCTTCCTAAACTCCGACCATAACCCTGTCCTTCTAAAGCTATCTTTCCAATACAAAACCAATCTTAAGAAAGCCAGATTTTGCTATGATAAAGCCAACTGGAAAAAGTTTCATAACATACTTAATAATAAAATCAACCTCCCCCCAACAGTGTCAACCACAGAATCACTTGAATCCGAACTATCAAACTTCACGAACACCCTTATATCCGCAGTCAAACAAAGTATACCACAAAAAGTGCCCACACACCCAATCGGAGAGCTTCCATTAGGAATTAAAAAAAAAATAAACTATAAAAAATAGAGTGCGTTGTCTGTATCAAAGGCACAGAACAAATCAACTGAAAAGGCTGTTGTACAAAATGCAAAACATAGTTCAAAAGCTAGTTGACAGGTGGAGAAACAAAAGTTGGACCAATTATCTCAAGTCCAATAATAACTCACTCTGGACAGTAGTGAAGCATGCTAGGTCAAAGAAAGAGTCAGTACAATTACCACTAATATCCAATGGAAATGCGAGTGTCTCAGATAAAGACAAGGTAAACACTTTGGGTGCGTATTTTGAATCTGTACATAAACTGACGATCCAACAAGGTTCTAAATACGTGTCCAGGCATGTACATGAGACAGTTACCAAATATGTTAATGAATTGCATATTACCTCCATAGACTGTAAGCTAATCTCACCCACGGAGATACTGCAAGTAATCAAAACAAGACAAAACAGAACAGCCCCAGGCCTGGATGGAATCTCCAACCGGATCCTAAAAATTCTCCCGAGAAAAGCCACAGTAATGCCAATGTACCTGTTCAACAGTATGCTCTTACTGGGCCACTTCCCAAAGAAATGGAAGGTAGCCAAGCTCATATTTATTAAAAAACCAGGCAATCCGCATGATATGCGTACTAGCTACAGGCCCATAAGCTTACTAAGTTCGGTCAGAAAAATTTTTGAACTTCTCATACTTATCAGATTGGAGAGGCACATCAAAGACATGTGCGTAAGGAAAGAAGGGCAGTTCGGTTTTCGCCCGAGGCTCTCGACTACTGCATAGCTGGCTAGGGTGATCGACTTTATTAATGGGGAGTTCAATAAAAAAAAACATACCGGCATGGTTCTTCTTGATATGGAATGGCTTTTGACACCGTCTGGCAAGGCGGCATAGTGTACTGGCTGATAAGATACAAATTTCCATGATACCTCGTCAAGATAGTGCACTCATACCTTAGCAATCGGTCTTTGAGTCACGCTCAATGAAGCGATTTCTCCCCCTTTTAGCATAGCAGCAGGCGTGCCACAGGGATCAATCTTGGGACCATGTCTTTTTACCATCTTCCTAAATGCCATGCCCACAATTGTGTCTTGCAGCACTTTACGCAGATGACATAGCGCTTCTATCATCTTCCTGGAGAACAAGCGCCATTACAAACAGGCTGAACAGCGAAAAAAAAAAAAAAGTCGCTTCTGTCTAAGGTGGAAACTATTGATTAATGTTCCTAAATGTGAAGCGATCCTATTCACAAAGAGCACCCCACAATAAGTGCAACAGTTAACATTAATGGAACTGTCATCCCATGGTCAGAAAAGGTAACCCACCTAGGCTTAATTTTGGATAAAAGACTTCATTTTGGCCCTCATATAATGAATAGAATCGCAAAAGCCAAATTAGCCATCAGAATTCTATTCCCACTATTGGCTAATGAATCAGGATTGTCAATGCACAACAAGCGACTTATTTACAAGACGGTTGTCCTCTGCAGATCAATTGGAAATTATGACACCCTGAAAAATACATGTACATTTGAACATACACATGTCCACACGTTACATTTACTTATTTATTTATTCTTAGAGTATGGGTACACGTGAGTTCATGTACATATGTATGCAATCACCTATTTATCTGTGAATGTATGTACATATTTATTTATTATCTAATTAATTATTTATTATATTCATTTATGCAATTTATTTATACTGTTTATTCATCCTATTTATTTATTTTACTTTTTAAATTATACATATAATGTTTATACTTAATTTATAAATATGTACATATAAGTTATTTAAATTTTGTTATCTGTCAAAAAGGTGATTCACACTCAAAGTAGTTATAAATTGTTCACATAATTTAAAATATTACCATGAATCAAAAGTGACAGTGGGTTTTTTTATAATCAGTTTTCTCCGCTATACACAGTAATAGGCTAAACAATACAAAATGATTACAATATTATGGTTGTAGAAGGTTATAAAGCCCAGTGTCTTTTGCACTTCTAACGCAAATGTAAAAAGAGTCAGGTTGCAATCTGTACATTTGTAAATATTTAGTCAAATATACTAGTTTTTCTTCTCTTCGGGTATAAAAACAAGAACATAGCTATCATGTCAGATAGTGAAGCAGCCATCAAAGCTCTAAGTTCAAACATCATTAGTTCAACGATGGTGTTGAACTGCAAACCAAATTATACATATTAGGTATGCAGAACAAAGTCAGCCTCTGTTGGGTCCCAGGACATGTGGGTGTAGAAGGGAATGAGAAAGCGGACACCCTTGCGAGAAAAGGGGCTGCTATACTGCTGGTAGGACCTTTCTGTGGCATAGGAACCCACACTATCAATGCAGGCCTCAGACAGAAGGATAAAAAGAAAATGAGGGTACAATAAAACTCACTCATTGTACACAAACAATCCAATTATCCAACAAATTTCGTAAGAAAAGATCAAATATCAAAAGAAGCAGGATATTGATCTGTGTAGTGGCTACAAACTCAATCACAGGCTACCATTGCCCCATCTTATTTTGATCCGTTTCCATAGATTGACAACCTTGTTCCAATTTTTGTGATTCAAGTGAAGTGTTCAAATTATTGGTTCAGCTTGGTACAGATCGAAGAACTCCAGGATTGTTATGTTGGCCCAATCCATACCTAACCAACAGAAACAAATTAATTCATTAATACATCTATACTAGTTAGGAATCATTTATTATTGAAAAATAAATAACAGTAAATGGGCTTCGGATATATCATTTTGCAATGTCCCAAGTATGACATGGAGAGGAAGCAATTCCTTGGTACCTGATATATTCTACTGAAATGTTGGCTCTTCTGTTCAATTCAGAGGTGTTATTGATTTTAGTAGAAATAAAAGTGAACAAAAGCAAAAACATTTTTGCAAAACATTAAAAATATTAATTTAACTGAAATATAAAACAAATAATATTGCTTTCCTTCATTCTGGATTCCCCTGTCTGAAGATGGCGTAAATTCCACATAAATTTCAACAGGAATCCACTGCTTGATTTCCAAGGTGGAACTCGTAGAGGAAGCCTCAATTGAATTTTATCTACTTACCTGTCTTGCGTGTTGCAGTTTACTGACTTTTACTACTGACTTTTAGGTTCACCTACCATTTTCCTAACAATCTCTTTCAACAGGGCTTTTTCCACCGTAAAGCTAATGGGGTAGGCAGGTAATAATGGATTGCTTTGTAAGGATGAAAGCGAATTAAAAAGCTTATGCCCATACCTACATATATATACTTATGATATATTATGTTTAATTTATTGATGGCAATAGTTGACATTTTATCTATTTCGTCAAAATATCATAAGTTCGCCTTAATAATCATCACTGCTGTTTATTTTTCTCAACAGGTGCTGTGCTTCAATGTGGCGGCGATGTTGCTGCGTCAATCGGGAATTGAAACCCCGTACTATCTACATTAGTGAACCGTCGGCTGAGAAGTTTCCAGCAAACGTCATTAGAAACCAAAAGTACAACATAATCACTTTTTTGCCAATGGTAAGCGATATTGATCAGTTTTTTAATCAAAAATATTTTTATTGTTAATATTTTTTTTATCTTTCAGGTACTTTTCCAGCAATTTAAATTCTTTCTCAACCTATACTTCCTTCTGATGGCTCTCTCTCAGCTCATACCAAGCCTTCGACTTGGATATCTGTACACTTATTGGGTGCCTCTTGTAAGTTTATTTTTATATTGTACACATACTTATGTTAGTCCTGTGTGAAATCTTGCTGTGGAATTCATCTCCGAAATTTAAACATTTACAAGGTATGGTCCAGTTAAGAAATATTAGAAGAACCTGTGAAGTTTAATTTTGCAATAAGCTTTAACTTTTACATTTAGAAAGTGTGAGATTTTTCCATGTTGCCTGTGGAGTGATGAATCTGAAATTTGCTTGTTTCCGATCATTTGGTCCTTCTACAATGAAGATGATGACACTTTTGACGTGAGGATGGCCAAAATGGTCGGTAACAACCAAATTTCTGATTTAGTTAGTGAGTAGAAAAATGTCAAGTTGGGTCTTGTTGCTTTTATTTCAGCACTGAACTTTGTGGGTTTGTTAAATTTTATTTTTATCTTTTATGATTTAGAAAAACAAAAATTATATATAAATAGTAGGCATATAACTAATTTAAATATGGCATGCGTGAAGGTGCAGCCCCCTCCCTCCATAGTAAGGAAAAGGTCCTGGGTTCAAATTCAGGGCTGCTGGGCATACATACAAATATGTTTTTTTTTTAAACATATCGATATTATTTTCAACTTGTAATTGTATAATACTGGAAATGTCTCAACTTCTCACTCAAATTTTAAATTGGACACTTGTTCATTGATTACGATGTGCTATGAGAGGCTGGAAGACTGAGACTAACATGTCGGATTGCCTAGGCTGTCTCGGTGACACCACCCAATAATGCAAGACAGGACTCTTGGTCGACAAGTATCTCAGTCGCTCAAAGACTAGCGTATTCCCCTCTGAGTAGGGTCCTATCAATTACAAACATCTCTATGGTGTTTAATTAAGCTATCTATTGAATGTAAAAATTTGTTTAAAAAATGTTCTTTATAAGTTTTAAGTTAGTTTAACATTTGTTAAGGGATTTGTTCTGACCGTGACAATTATAAGAGAGGCGGTAGATGATCTTAGGCGACATCAGAGAGACAAGGAAGTCAATTCACAGAGGTACAAATGTTTAGTGAGGCACCAGAACGGTTCTATTGTGATGGAGAGTGTGCCTTCTTCTAAACTGAGGGTTGGAGATCTTGTAAGTCAATAAGTTTAAGGTAATAAAGCCAACATGTTACGTGTTAATTTTTGTTTGTTGTAGGTGTTTATTGAAAAGGACCAACGAGTCCCAGCGGATCTTGTACTCCTTCGTACGACTGAGAAGACTGGGTCGTGCTTTATACGTACTGACCAGCTTGACGGAGAAACCGACTGGAAGCTCCGGGTGGCCGTTCCACACACACAAAAGCTTGAAAGTGATAAAGACCTGTTTGACGTGCGTTCTTCTCTTCATGTTGAAAAACCATGCCATGACATTCACTCATTCATTGGGACATATACAGTAAGTTCCTTTAAAATTTTCAGATAGAACTGCATCTTTCATAAGAGTTTGAGTTTGTAAAATGTAGCTTAAATTTGAAAATAATTAATTTCACTAATTTCGTGGTCCGCTTGACCAATTATTTGAAAATTATTGTTAGGTTGTCACTGTGGCTTAGTTCGATTAATTATTCTTTTTATCTAAGGTCTTGGTTGAGATGAAAAAGTTAGTGTCACTAACAGGATTCGAACTCACAACTGTCAGCTGATTGCACATTTGAAAAATGGAAAAAAGAAGAAAAATTCAAAAGGTTTAGATTGACATAAGGAGTTGGTGTCTGAGTGGATTGAAGTCACGATAGCTCAAGCGGTTAGAGCAACGGTATATTTAGCCTGGGTTTGAATCACACTTGTGACACTTACTTTTCATTTTAACCACAACCTTAGATAAAACAAATAATTAATTGAAATAATTAATATGGTAAATTATGACTGCTAAATATATATGGGTTGTGGCTTAGTTTAATACATTCATGTTACCTCCATGCATGATGTAATATGAAGCAATCTTTCATTGCCCAATACGATTTGTGTTCACTCGAGCAAAGTGACAAGTGATACAAACAATACATATCATAGTACATTTTTACGCTTTTTAATCATTGCTCTTCTTTACTTACTGGTTACATTAGCAGAAATACAAAAGAGAAACTATTGCATACGCAATATAATGTTAACAATCTTTTCAACTTCAGCTTTTCTGGTATTTTCTTCCATGCTACACTTGTTAAATCAGTTCTTGAATAACTTTTCAAAGAATAGTTCTGTAAACATGGGTTCTATATTGACAGGGAAGATGGTGCACTGTGGAAAAACATTTTAATAATTAATAAAAAAAAAACAAAAAAAAAACGCGAATGTAGACAAGTGAGAGACAAGTAAGACCATGTGCTGGTTCAACATGAATTCACTGACACACAGACCAAAACCCAACATCAGCTCAGATAAAATATTGCATATACAGTTTTCCTTCCTGATTTGGACAATTTCATGAACAGGCGTCTTGACTATTTTTTGGTTTTATGAATTTTGGAATGGATATTGGGTTGAACCACCCAAAGCTAATCGATGAAAATCTGGACAGTGGGGAATTTGGTTGCTACATTGCGTAGCGTAGAGTAGTGCTCATCAAATCAGGAAAATGCATATGGTAATGATTCTCATGTAAAATTGGATTGGTGTGGGGGGAGTGCTACATCACATTGTATTGTGTTGCATCATTTTTTAAAATATACTTTTCTCCTTTCATTGGATTCATTCTATTTTGTTGATTAACCCATTCGATGTGGGACCGAAATCTGTGGCCATCACCCAGGTACAGATTTTTTTTTCTGGGAAACGATAGGTTAATTGTTTATGTTCTAATTAATAGAAAATAATGTTTTATGACTTAAAAGTGCATTTTTGTAGGGTTTTAGACCATGACTCCACACTGAAGTCAACCATATGCGGCAAAAGTCTTAGTATGCAAATTTATTTAGAAATCGTGAGATGCAGCCTGTCAGAAAAACATTTTCTTTAACGTGCCAACGTTTCGATCTTTATTGAGATCATCTTCAGGGCCTGGGATTTACAAACGTTGTTTACATATTACAATTACATTTTGGATGTGGAAAAATGAATTTATACAATGCAAAATATATTTTATATATTCAATCAAAGTATTTCTACTCACCCAAAGTGTTTGTCTTCTGTGTAATCATGTCATTCTTGTGTGTTGTGTCGAGAGTGCCAGTGAGATTTTGCTATTTTGCACCAGACCGCATCTCACGATTTCTAAATAAATATCGATTAACGGTCACTAATCACCTGGATATTAGTATTCAAACCTGCAACTCAACGAATTTTGTCCAATCCCATGGCGGGATTTAACTTTTCAGTCATAAATTATGTAGAATTTTCATATTCTAAACCATTTGGACGACTTTTTCTTCACCTTTGTGTGAATGAGGTAAAATATACCCATGAACAAAAAAGAAGAAAAAACTATTTTTAGATAATAACAATTTATTTTTTCTCTGATATTTACAGTTGTTATTATTCATGTTTTTAATTTTTACAAAATGAATTAAAAAAGAAACAACAAAAATGTTTATAAAATAACATATTTAAAGCAATAAAATTATATATTTACAAATTTTCACTCATTTTAATTGTTTAAAATTAAAAAAATTAAAGAGTAAAGTTAAAAAAAAGATATAAATAAAATAAAATAAAATTAAATTAAAAAGAAACTATTTACAATAAAAATATTAACATATTTTTTATTATTTGAATGATTAAAAATATTTTTTTTGTGAAATTCCAAAAACCATGTTGGGTTTGTTGTTGTTGCTGTACCACATGCAATAAATTTTTACATCCAAATGGACCCGGCTGTGATGATTCTGGAAAAGATATTACAGTTGTTGCACAATATAGGAAAATAAAAATATAAATTATAATTTCATAAAACTGAGACGCAGTTGATAAATTTTGTTAAAAGGTACTTACCTGGGGGGTCATCCTGACTTCCTTCTATTATGTGAAAACAAAGGTAAAATAATTAGTCATGTATAATATATATATTGCTTCCATAATTACATACTTCGTTACTGTTGGTATCAAACAAAACTGGAGACAAAATTTAATTAAAAAGTTAAAAAAAAAATTTTCATGTTGAATAGAATCAACAAAATATTTTTTTTTCTAGCTACTAAAGCATAAAAAAGTTTTACATATTACTTTCAGAACATATTATTTTATTTATATTAGCAGCATATTTAGAAGAAAGGTTAAACTTACCGAAAAAGAATGGTGTAGAATGTAGATATGCGTTTGTAGAGCTATCTAGTAATTTAAAGGTAGAGACTTGGAAATGATGCTCACAATAAGATAATCCAGGCAGTTCTGAACCGTTCAGGCCCTACGGGGCATTATACGACTTTTCTAACTAAAATGCGATAAAAACAAACTTTGATGTCTCAATGAGAGGGTCTTGACTCCATTGTGGGATACCTTGAATTTGGCTAGAGTCCGGCTTGGCCCCATTGTGGAGTCACCCGCATCGAAAGTGTTAAGGTGACGTATTTCTCTACTGTAAATCATCATAGGAAACGTATTTACATCCGTCCATCAATCAGTGCAAGAACTTCAAATTACGACAAAACCTGTTTTTCCCTCAATCCTGTCTAGTTATCATGATGTTCGAAATTGAGATGGCTTCTATCTAATGGAACACGTGTGTATTATAACTGATTTTTTGTTTGTTTTAAAGACTGAAGAGGGATTCATCGAAGGGTTGAATATAGAAAACACACTGTGGGCAAATACAGCTCTTGCATCTGGTAGTGCTCTTGGTGCAGTACTTTACACGGGAAGAGAGACTCGGTCAGTCATGAATAACTCGGCTCCACGCTCAAAAACAGGCCTACTTGATATGGAGATAAATCAACTCACAAAAGTCTTATTTGTTGCTGTTCTTTCTCTTGCACTTGTCATGATGATACTCAAAGGTATGTTTTTAAAATTTAACTATATAAAAGTAAAACTGTGAAAACTAATTGTTTATTTTTATTTTCGGCAGGGTTTGCAGGACCATGGTACAAGTACATGTTTAGGTTCACTCTCCTCTTTTCGTACATAATCCCATTAAGTCTTCGTGTCAACCTAGATATGTCAAAAGCATTTTATTCTTGGCGTATGCAAAGAGACCCCAATATGCCCGGTTGCGTCGTTCGATGCACGACAATACCCGAGGAGTTGGGACGCATATCTTACTTGCTGTCAGACAAGACGGGGACTCTAACTCAGAATTCTATGGTATTCAAAAAACTACACTTGCGTGATCCTTATGGCGAGGAGAAATTCCAAGATGTATGTTTTTGTTTTTTAATTTTTTTTTAAATTGAGGCACATCACATTTTATGCCATTTTATTAAACAATTGTTTTTGTAGATCAAAGAGGAACTGCTTGATCATTACAAGTCTAACAAGGGTGTGAATTCGAGAAGAAAAGAGCCGGCAATAAAAAATTTGGGACAAATAAATGTCTATGTAAGTAAAATTATATATAATTATAATTATATATAATTTAAAAAAAAGTATTATTAAAAATTTAATTTTCTTTTCAGGACTGTGTTCATGCAATAGCTCTTTGCCACAACGTGACTCCTGTTTTTGACAACGGAGATTCAGATGTGCCGAAGTCACCCCTCGAGTCTCAGTCCGAGGCCGATAAAGCATATTGGGAAATGCGCAACCCTTGTGTAAGCTATCAGGCATCATCTCCAGATGAGGTAAAGAGTGAAAAAAAGAAACAAAAAACAAGATAGATTATTGAATACAATTTTTCCTTTTATAAGATCGCTTTAGTAAAATGGACAGAAGAAGTGGGACTGGCAGTCACAAAAAGAGATATTTCAAGCATTACGCTCCGTACACCACTCAATACATTCAAGGTTTATACTATATTACAATTATTCCCATTTACCTCGGAGTCAAAAAGGATGGGGATTATAGTAAAGGTAAGGGATATTATATTCTTTCGGTCTTTCAGGCTCATAAAAACATTCATTTTTTCCATAGGACAATGAAACAGAAGAGATAACTTTTTACATGAAGGGAGCTGATGTTGTGATGAACAAGATTATAATCCATCAGGATTGGCTTGAGGAAGGGGTGTCAAATATGGCCATGGAGGGATTACGCACGCTCGTAGTCGCTAGGAAATCACTCTCGCAAAAGGAATACGACGATTTTGAATTAAAATACAAACAAGCATCGGCTGCGGCGACCGACAGGCAGATGGCCGTTTCTTCAATTGTGGCACAGCTAGAGCATGATATGGAACTAGTCTGCGTCACTGGCGTCGAGGACAAACTTCAACACGAAGTCCGTACAACGGTTGAAGTTTTACACAATGCTGGAATTAAAATTTGGATGCTGACCGGTGACAAGCAAGAGACAGCGATCTGTATCGCTAAATCTTCCCTCCTCGTGTCTTCAAAAGATCAAATGTATGTATTCAAGGAAGTGGAAACACGTACAGATATCTATGAAGAAATTAAGGCTGCTACAAAAAAACCAAATTGCGTTCTTGTACTAACAGGAACAACTCTTGAGGTAAGTTTTAAAATTGTTTTTCTGTTTTTGTTTTTTTGAAATACTTATTTTATTTTCATAATTCCAGCATTGTCTGACATACTATAAGACAGAGTTTCTTCAGATAGCTTGTAGATCACCGACTGTTGTCTGTTGTCGTTGTTCACCCACTCAGAAAGCACAAGTTGTTCAGCTCATCCAAGAGCACACAGGTAAAAGAACAGCTGCCGTCGGAGACGGAGGGAACGACGTAAGCATGATACAAGCAGCTGACACTGGTAAGAAAATTGTGACAATATTATTATGTAGAATACAGTAATTTGATCTAATCTTATTCATCTGCTCTTGCTGTTCGTATTTATCTGTATTACGTCCATTAAATGATCATCCGACAAAACTATCTAGTCGGCCAGTTTGTCTGGATTTAGTTGGTCATATGCATATAAGCATTCAGAGGTCGGCCTGCAATTTTTTTTGTCAAATTCACACTTCCTATTTTATTTATTAGATTTAGAAAGATGTATATTTTTTTATTTTTAAATATGAATTAAGCTAGCCAAAGTCAAAATGATAAAATGAGTTGGACAGATTATAAGAGTTGATTAAGTTAAAGTTTCTTTACTTCAATGATTGACAAATTTTCATTTTTATTGTAGGCATAGGAATCGCAGGCAAGGAAGGAAAACAGGCTTCGCTCGCAGCGGATTTTTCTATAACGAGTTTTTCCCAACTTCAGCGTCTGCTTCTTGTACATGGCCGGAATTCGTACAAACGTAGTGCTGCCCTTTCCCAGTTTGTCATCCACAGAGGGCTTATCATATCCACGATGCAGGCCATATTCTCAGCTGTGTTTTATTTCTCCAGCGTATCTCTCTTTCCTGGTTTCTTTATGGTCGGGTGAGTAAATGTCAATGCATTTTTAAAATATTAGTTATGGCATTGATTTGTAAAGATTAAAGACTGGCTTTTCGTGCAATAAAAAACTTGCTTTAAAAAGCTTGAATTCGGCAAAAATGTGTAATAAAAATACAATACCTATTTAATGGAGTAAAATTAATTATTGTCTTAAACACTACATAGCATGCAGAATTACAGTTTAGACCCTTACCTGAGGAGGGTTTACAAAAAAAAAGAACATGGACATCGGCCTTTAGTAGTCCTCTAGGGCCACCACTTTGAATATTTGATATGACGACCTTAACAGACTTTATTTTTTAAGTGGTTCTGCTTTGCTCTCAAGTGGAAGAAAGATTGACAAATGCAAAGTAGAATTACGTAAGTGATGGAACAGATCAGATTGTTGGTGGGTGTCGTGCATAATTTTCTTTTGTTGGAAGATTTTAGGAATTAGAAGTTAAAAATTTCGACAGTTTTTTTTATAAAAAAGGTTTTACCCTCAATTCTTTTACTAAATATAGTAACCCATAAAAATAATTTATTTTCACATTGTTTTTATGCATGAAAAAATTATATATATTAATAAAATAGGGAAAAATATAATTTTGAGCAGTAAACTGTCACAATGTGAAATTTCATGCATAATAAGAATACTGTCAAAAGGTCATCCCTTTCCATGATTCAAATTTCTGCTTTGGTTTCATTGCAATCAGACTGAGCAATAAAAAGGTACTTGTTAGACCAGAGGAGGGTTAGACCAAAGGCCTTTGCTAAGGGTGAAGTTCAGCCCTTTTATCCCTACGCCTCTATCGTCTGTGTTGACTTGGAAGGGCCTGTCAAAGTTGAGCTTCTCTTTCAGGCACTGTCATTGCCATCTCATTTGTTTTAATTCTTTTTAGAATGTGGAGTATTTAGGATCGTTAATTGATAATTATTTAGAGATTGTGAGATGCAGTCTGGTGTGACGTAGGTTTAGAAAAACATTTTCTTTATCGTGCCTATGTTTTGATCTTTATTGAGATCATTTTCAGGGCTCAAAGTGTTCATTTTCTGTGTAGATGTGTCATTACAGTTTCGTGTTGAGCCCCCCCCCCACAACACAGTTGCCTGTGTTTTCCCCGTTTGAGCCTTTGGTTAAAGGGTTATACAAAAGTACTTTATTTCTTTAGAGAAATGGAAGGCTTTTATGGTGGGTGCCTTTTTTTTTAGCTTCCTTCTTTTTGTGAAGGGTATGAGATAAGTTTTTTTAGAGTTATATTTAAACCCTTTTTCTCCCATCATCTTCCTATAATATTTAGGGCGAGCATAAAGTTTACATAATTGAATTTTATCTTCAAATTATTTACACAACATTTTAGTTTTTGTAACTTCCTAGTCCCTGATCATACTTGCTGTTTTAGTCATCAAATCTGATCTATACACCAGGATGACAATAGACAAGCAATGTACAAATGCAGCAATTCATAAACCTAACAACTTTTCACAATTGTTTTTGTACATGTGTATTTTTAAAATTATTTTTAATTTTTCCCCCCCACAGATATGCTACCATTTACACGATGTTTCCTGTCTTTTCGCTGGTCCTTGACAAAGACCTTGACGATCATTTCCTCCTAATGTATCCCGACCTTTATAAGGATCTTGCGAAAGGCCGTTCGCTCTCGTTTAAAACTTTCTTCCAGTGGGTACTGATAAGCGTAATTCAAGGCGGTGCTATCATGTACGGTGCGCTTGTACTATTTGTCGACGAGTTCATTCACATTGTGGCGATTAGTTTCACTGCACTCATTCTCACCGAGCTGATAATGGTCGCACTCACCGTTCGCACTTGGCACTACTTGATGGTCTGCGCCCAACTTTTTTCCCTTGCTACATACGTACTTACGCTTGTCGTACTCAGAGAATACTTCGGTAAGTAATGATTATTTTTATTAGATTTGTTTTCCTCGTTAATAAAAAGAATATTTTGCGCAGATCCAACATTCCTCCAGACTGTGGATTTTGTGTTGAAAGTCGTCGGTGTCACTGCTATCTCTTGTATCCCGCTCGCCATCGTTAAATTCCTACGCAAAAAGTATTCACCTCCAAGCTATTGCAAATTGACTGGTTAAACAACCGATCGGTTAAAACTGATCAATTCAGATACATATTTTAATAAAAGGGTGGTTTTATTTATTGTTTTACTTTTAATCTAGTGATACATATTTTTTGTTGTAATTGGGCTTTAAAAAAATCGTTTCATTTGACGATGCTCATGTGATATATTTAAATAATTTATATAATTCTAAAAAAAAAAGATATATTAAATAATTGAAAAATAATGTATATTTAAAAAATAAAATTGTGGTAAATAATGCTTATTTTTTCACCTTTTTTTAGCTACCTGGATTTTTAATATAAAAACAAAAATAAGGGTGATATAATTTTGGAATGTCTGATAATGCGACATAAAAAGTAACTTTTGATTGCATGAAGTAGTGTGAAGGCTGGATTAATTTTCTTTTGTAAGTGTTTACTAATCAATTTTGAAGGAATGAATTAATGCAGTACAAATACTCTGGACCTTGGTATGGTCTGGATCTAAAAACAAATTCTGTTATCTGCCAAGCTTTTGACCTTTTTTAATGTCATCATCAGGGCAGAACAATTTTAAATATGTCTAAAAATTGCAGATATTGTTATAATACTACATCCTCAGCAATATTGGGACTGAGTAGGCTATATTCATTTCAATATTCTTTCAGAACGGGACATTTTCTTAGAAAATGGACTGTATCTTCTATTTTTCCATGATTTTATATTGTTTACGTAGGTACTTGTTTATTGTTATTATTATTTTTTCTTTTCTTCGAACAGCAAGGTCATAGTCTGTTCTCATTTATATTCTTAGACCTGATACTTCACTTGCACCCTTTACATATTGTCACATCAATTTTTGCATCAATATATTATTCATACAAAAAACATGCATACTGCATGACGGGCTATCATGGTACTCTATATTCTGATGGTAAACAATTATCATTCACATGAAAACCTATAGGCTAAAACACTATGATGCATATCCATACCAACATTGATTGTCATTCTTGCAGATAAATCAGTTTTTTATCAATCTTTCATGCTAATATGTACATACTAAACTATTTACAATTGAAACTTATATGAGACCATTGGGGTACTCAATATTCTGCAAATGCTCTTCCGAAACGTAGGTAACAGGCGGTATTTGGGTAATTTGTCGAGAAGCCTGTTTCATTCAAACTCATTTAACCAACATTCTTGCTAATAAATGCATATAACCATAATTACAAGACATGAATATGTGGGCTACTTGTTGGTTCTGTATTTAATATTTGGTGTAGCTTGTGGCGTTTACTTTTCTGGGCCTTAATTAACATTTTATTTTCTGTTTCTTTTATTAAATACTCTGTCAAATTTTTTAAAGTTTTCTGTGTTTATTTCAATTTCAAATTTTCTGCCTAACACAATAAATTTTCACACCAAAATATTTGTTTTGTATTTATTACTTTTGCCAGAAACTTAGTCCACCTGTAATGACAACAGTATAAGGGTGGGATAGTCATTTCTAAGTGTAAAATATAGTCAGGTGTATTTGGAGGGATATAAAATAATTCTATTAAATGAAATATTTCTGTAGGTACCCAAATTCTTGTAAATGTTCGAATCCCTAGACTGTACTATGTGTTACTGATAACATCATTAATATCTAGGACTATATTTACTACATTGTGAAATTTAAAACTATTGTTTATATATTTAAAAAACTATCCCTAAACAACATTTATTCCCACGAAATTGCTTAGCATTATTTTCATGCAGCCTAGTCTGAATCCTGCTTGTGTTTCTTTTATAATGTTAAAATGCATTACCCACTTTTTTAATATTTTATTATTATTCCTGAGGACCATTCAACGATTATATTAAGAGAGTTTCCTCTATATTTTCCCACTTTTTTTGAATTGTCTTTTTATCAATTGGGAAAATAGTAGGTACTTTGAAAAATTTAGGTATTTTCAAATCGTATTTTATTAAATATATTTTGTAGTATAGTAAATCCTGTGGAAATTTTTTTTCCAGAAATTTGAGCACTGTTATGAGCCCCAGGGTTTTATCATTTTTGCTTTTTCATATTTGCAACATTCATAATTTCTTCTTTACTAATTTTTCAGTCTAATGCATTGTCATTAGACAAAAGGTGTTTAAAATGGGTATCCCCTTCATTTGGTTGCAAATAAGGACTAAAGGTAGTTTCTTTTTTTAGTGTTTTTTCCCACAGGCTTCTAGCAGCATCCTTCTATCCCAGCAATAGCTGATCTGTAAAACGATTTTTTTTTTTTTTTAGCAGAGTACAGGCTTTTATAATTCCTATATGCTGAAGATATCAATGTATGATTAGTACAGAATTTGTTCTGGTTAAATTTAAAAGATTTCTGTTTTAGGAAATCAAAATCAAACCACTTTTTGCCTGGCATACTTGTGATATGATTTTTTTAAAATATATTTTGTTTATTTATAGCAGTTTATGTCCAAAAAGCTGCAGAGGTAGAATTTTTTACCCAATATTTATATGCCATCATTTTAGTATCAAGTGAATTTAACGCCAATACATTTATATTAAATTTAACTGAAAGGAGGCCTTCTTAGGTAAAGAGGGAGATCACCTGAATCCATGAGTAAAACATCAACAGGTGTTGATCGAAGGAATCCTGTGTATTGCTGAATATCTAGGATTTCAGTTGTTGCGAGATGAACTTACTTTTTGATAATCTTGTGTTACACTATATATGAGTATATCTGATATCACATTAAACCTCTCCACCCAAAAGAAAAAAAAAGCCTTACAGAATAAGGTGATAAAGTAATTTACAATAAAATATCACGTGTTCAAGATTTTAATTTATAATTCTCATTTGGTGAACACTATTGATTTAAAATATCCCAGAAATTCTTTTGTTCTCAATATTGAAAAAAGCATATGAGGCGGCTAAGGGCAGGACATCACAATTTCTGGAATTAAATAACTCGATCTGGCACCTCTGAAGCTAAAAATTCATTAAAAAATAAGATTAAAATAAAGTGGTAGCATCACATCAAGAGTACTTTTGATAAGTAGCCCTTTGAGGATGTAACATACAAGAAAGGTCATTTTCACACGATTAAGAATAGGCCGCACAAGGACACATTTTTGGGCCAAAGCCCCCGCTGGATGTGTCCGGCATTTGGAGATAGGATGTTTGATGTGTCCCTCTTAATTGAAGGGTGCAATTCCTTAGCTCTCGTGCTTGAGAAAGGCAGCAAATATCTAGGTCCACTGTTCTGATTTGAAACATTTTTATTATTGCTGGAAAATTGCTAGGTTGTGAATATAATTCACTAGTTTTTGTGGTCCGCTTGACCAATTAATATCTTTCAATTAATTAAGGTTTTTAGTTGAAATAAAAAGTGGATCGAAGTCACGATAGCTGGAGTGGTAGAGTAGTGGCATATCTAGTGACACTGACTTTTTTATCTCAACTAAAAACCTTAAGTAATTGAAGAATATAATTTATTAGCATGAAGGTATGATGTGAGAGGGTCGATGTGCAACACCCTGGGTGGGTTATTTTTGATGCCTGCTGACTATTGTAAATTATGAAGGCTGAAATTGCCTGTGGACTGCAAGAAGTGATAGGCTCAACTCTGTTTGCACAGAAACCATTATTCAGTATTGGAAGATAAATAAAATATTTACATTGTATAATATATTTATTTTACTCTATTCAACATCCATAGTAAGATCCATAACAGATTAATTGCTCTTGTATAACTCCTAAACATAAACAATAATACCTAGTATAAATTCTTAATTTCACAATAAAAAATATCACTTTTTCATTTTATATGTTTTTAGTATTACCAATTATTTACATATATTTCAAACATATAAAAATAATAACTGTAAAAAGATTAAAATCCTGTCAAGATAATTTCAGATCCAGGCTTCCTAACTGAAATGCTGTGTCCGGCGAGCCTTGCAGAGGTGTTTAAAGGCTGAAAATGAAGTTTTCGTTAATAGAGACTCATTGTACTAAGCTCAGTGACCGCTTACCTCTTCGATGACGTGCACAATGCCGTCTTTAGCTACAAGGTCACATTCTTGAATTTTGGCTCCTCCGAGTTTCATTCCAGATCTGGTCCTGTCGAAGGAAAGCACTTGTCCCAGGATGTTCCTGATAGGGCTGACAAACGGCCAAGGGCCTCCGTTCATTCTGCTGCAGCAAGTGCTGCCCGGGAGTACGTGAGACTGGAGGAATCGTTCCTTGGTGTCCTCGTCTTCCTGAAGGAGTTTCATGTCTCTCTCGCTCAGTTTGTCAAATCCGTCATTCTTAACGGCAAGCAGAGTGAACCCTCTTGAGCTCTCTGAATTCTTCAACTTCTCGAATAACTTGGTATTCTGTAAAAAAAAAAAGAATATTTTGGACTGTACAGACCAAGCTGGAGCGATTGTACTTACTTGGATGGTGGATTTGAATTTTGAAAAGTCTGGGTTTTCAAGTACATCCATGAAGGATTTCCACGGTGGAAGGATAGGCTTTGAGACTTCGTGAGCCACTCCGTTACATATTTGTCCATCAACCCTGGTCAAACGAGCGCACTGAACATCTAAACCCGGAGATCCAAAAAGAGACGCCAGAATCTAAAATATTTTTATTCATTGAAGCTTGTTCATCTCGAAAAGCTTGTTTAAATTAAAATTAATTAGTAAGTTACATTTCTGTTGCTGGTCACTTTGATATCCTCGCCGTGCTTAGTTGGGATGCCATTAGATACAGAAAGGTTGTGCAAATCATGTTTGCCATGAGCGATGTGGTACTTAATTGCATTTACAAGTTCCTCTGAAAAAAAAAAATTGTGAAAATATTTGACCAATCATATGAAATATGTCTGACATACCTTTTTCCAACTTTTCAAGTTTTTCCAAGGACTCCTCAACCGGGACAAAGAGAGTGATGTTCTTTGCCTTTTCAAGCCATTGCATCAGGCCTGACTTTTCAATTAGGTCAAGGAAGCGAGTATGATTTGTTTTACGTAGGAGGTCCAGAGCACCTACTGCAGACGGGGGTGTAATCAACTGGTCAATTTCATGCACAACACCGTTGGAGCCGAGGATATCGGGCCTGTTCATCTTGGCCTATAAAAATTCAGATATTGACAAATTGTTAACAAACCATAAAAAAAGAAATATTTCATTGTATAGTATCTTATTGTATAAAATTAAGTTCTGATTATCTTTCATATTAGTTTTATGGCTTCTCAGATGGACCTGTGATTTTTATGGTAAATACACAATTAGCCTACCTTTCCACCTACGATTAGGTTGTCATTGTCATTTTCAAAACTGACATATTCGCCTTGTACATCAGAGCTGAAAATCTTTCCGTTCTTGGCACCGGCTGTGCAAACTGTTCTAGGGATGACGTGGTGCTTGAGGATGGTGCTAAGGCAGTTTGCATTTTCAGGGTCAAAATTATCAAGATTTTTATCACTGACTGCAAGAATGGTGAATGAACTGTCTTTCGAGTCCAAATCTTTCACCAAATTTGCACTTTCTAGGACTATTAAAAAAATAAAAATAAAATAAATTACATAAAAAATAAAAACAAGTGTTAAATATAAAGCCAGTAGTTATTTTTTAAATTAACTTACACGTTTTAAACTTTGGGTAGTGTTCTTGTAAAATTTCTCCTACTGTTTTTTCTGGGCTTGTCAAAAGTTTTTCAACAACATGAATGACACTATTCTTTGTAAATTTATCAGTCTTATTTATTGGAACACAGTTGGCTGTAATTATTCCTCCTGGATATCCATTAATTCTAATGGTAGAGTTGTTCATTGTGTTGAGTACCTATACAAATTCATATTTACAGGTGAGTTTTGTTGCTAAATAATATGTATAAAAGAAAAAAAATGAAACGAACCATGTCATTTTCAAATTCTCCTCTTTCTACAACACCATCCACGATGTGTTGTTCTACTGAAGATCTCTTCATTTTGTCTGCTGGTTCCAACACTTCGTTAGTAAGTATAGAGTTTGTGTTATCAACTTCATTCATGGCCGAATCGAGTGGCAGGAAGATGGTTTTTTCACCTTCCAACTCTTCCTCCAAGCCTTCCTTTTTGGCCAAATTGGTAAACTCACTGCACCCAAGATCCATGGCGATCTCTTCAATTGGTTTAGTTTCAACTAAAATAAAGGAAAAAAATTAATTTTTTTTTTTACAAAACTAATTAATAATTGAAATATTAAGGAAGACTCACTTTTCTCACAACCGGAAGCACCTAATCTGAATCCTTTACAACACTTCTTTACAATAGTAGATTTTGTCGTTTTTCCATTCTCTTGTACACTGGAAACATTTAAACAGAATGATAAAGATATAGCAATTAAATAAATTAAAAAAAAAATATAAATCCATTTAATTTAAATAAATGTGTCTTTACTTTTAAACATTAATCACTTAAATCTTTACTTTTAAACTTTTAATTAGGCTGTATTTTATGAATACAACTGAGAATAAAGTAATAAATAAATATTATAAATCATTGGTATACTAGACATACTATAATTTTTATCAACTATGTTTAAATACATTTTATTATGCAAATAATTAACTTACACTGTAGTGCAAACGTATTTGTTGGGTCCGTTTTGGCAGGTGGAGTACCTTGCAGTACCGGTCATGATGAAAATGCCAGAGTACGGTGTCGACTTGCCAGATTCATCGTCATCCTTCGTACCTTCGGTCCTTTCGATGCAAACGTGTTCACTGAAAGTAATAAATCATTAAATCGTCGAGTTCATATTCGCTTATTCTGAATTATTGTCTGGATCGCAAATTGAACAGAAACAATTCTTTTCCGGAATGCAGACCATTTTTTTTTTTTCAAATTGGAAAATTGGTTTGTTGAATAATAAAGGGGGAGTCCTGTAATGAGCTTTGATTGTTAAATTGTCCCAACTGACAAGCTGTGTACAAAGAGAAATCCTGTATTGACAACTTTGTCTTGGACAGAGAGAAAAAAAAAAAAAAACGCAAATGAATTGTAATCATGTTTTTGAAAGTTTCTAAAAGAGGAAAATTTTTTAACAAGTGAATTTTTACTAAACAGTTTAGAACTTGTTGGACGTTAAGTAGTGAAATTCTAGATGTTGCTAATTAATTAGCTCTTTGTGGTATTTATGTGAAGCAAGGTCAGGAATTGAAACTACCTGTTTAAAAAGTTTATAACAATTAGTTATAGTGCAGCTTATTTCATAACGTATTATTTTATATAAATAACAAATGTAGTTGTAGTTTGGAAATTTCCATTCGTCTTGGTCTGTCCATTATGTTCATCATCTAGCAGACTAATTTATTGTTTAAAAAAATGAAAAATGTCCAAACAAAATGTTTGTTATAACATAAGTTTTATGTTAAGAATTAATAAGAATTATTATAAGAAGTAACTTATATAAGTTTTAACTTATGTTTAAGCACTTGTGTTTTTAGATTTGGTAACATAACATGAAATTTGATCTTCTCAAGATTAAACCTATTGAATAATAATTATTAACAAATCTTAATGTTTTCTTTAATCAAAATAATTTAAATGAATATATATTTTTAAACAGATTGCATTTACATAAATTATATTGAAGAAATCAAGCTAAATGACTCTAAATGGTGAAAGTAGGGTTTTGCCCCAGAACCCCCCCCCCCAAAAAAAAAAGAGAGCAGGCAGAAAAATATTTGTAGAATATCACCTCCCTTTCATTTTGACAATTACAAAATGAAAATATATGCAATTTGTATATATNATATAAAATGTAGTTGTAGATCTCATATTCAGAGTGTATAATCTACTGCGCCCTTTAGAAGCTATTTTATCCTTTTTGTGTACTTATAGCACACCGGTGAGAAATAGTTTATCAAGGCACTTGATTAGGCCCCAGTTTAAGCGACTTAATTTCTTCTATTTTCCTGCACCCCAGTTTGTAAGTAGATGTTATCTCTGTTTTTTAATTTTTTTTCCAGAATCTGCATATAATGTGTTGTGTTATGCCATCTTTTCAGATACCCATTCAGTCTGCAGTGTCTTGTTAAGAATCATATCATCTTCTTTGATGCATTCTGTTGTTTCTTTCCTTACAAAATTTGCTAGAAGGTTCTCGGATTATTTATGTCCAACAAGTGAATTTAAGTATTGTTTTTATTTTGTCCTTTTGTCTCAGGTACTCATTGACAGTGTGAATCATTTTACCAAAGAAGGGCTTAGGATTAATCTTTATAAGGATGTCCATTTTCTTATTGCCAAAGGCTCAACCTTTCGAGTGATTTAAAGGAGTTACTGGGTCCCCAGTGTTCCTTTTGAAGAGCACTTTTCAGCTTTCTCAAATTTATTGGAATTTACAATGAAATTTAAGCTTTTTCCCCAATTGTTATACCATTAAATGTTTGTCTGCTAGTGTTTGAATGAGAGTTGTGTGTGCAAGTTTTCGTTTTTTTACAGGAATCTTTGAGGCTGGAAAAATGAAATAGGAGAAAATACAAATTGCGGGGTAATAAACCACAATGCCCAAAATAGCAATTTAAATAAGAAAGATAGCCTTCCGTCCTGAAACAAAAGATATCAAACTGTATCTGTGAATAAAGCCTTAGTAGAACGGACCTTGAGTCTTGAGGAGACACCCAGTTGTTAAAAAAAGGAGTTAAAAAAAGTTTAAAAAAATGCAATAAAAGAAAATACAAAGTTGGCCTTCCAAATCAAGTATTTTAAAAGGAAAAAGTATAGCTTTGGATGGCAATAGGATAGTTTAGTTTAGGAGTGAATGTTTGGAGACAGAGCTTTATAGCCTCAGAAGGGATAGCTATCCTAAGACAGAAGGTTTAAATGTTAAAACCTTAGCCGTTAAAACGCCCTTAAAAATTAATAATAATAATAATAATAATAAATAAAATAAAGGAAATTATATTTTTTCGTCCATTTTGGAAGTTTGTTATATTTTAAGATAAATAAGGATAGATCCAAGGGTAGTAGTAGTGATTAAATTTTTTTAAAATCTACCCATATAGAGGAAGTTTTTCTTTTTTTTCTTTCTCTCTCTCTTTTCCCCGTCTCGCTTCACGCTTTCTAAACCTGCGGACACCCTTCAGAGTGACATTTACTGGAATAAACGAGGCGGAGGTGGGTCGGGGATTATAAATGACGACGTACTCGACGGTCGAAAAAGAGGGGTTAATAAGTCTTAAGTTGGCATTTTCCAAAATTGGATCCTTCACGAGTTCAATTTTTGAATTCAAATAGGTTCCGTCGACTGGTTTTGGTTTTAATTGGAAGAGTATTTTTTATGTTTTTATTAACTGTCGAAATTGTATAATTGTTGTTGTGATATATCTGTAAGCGTATTGCAACAAGAAAACGTTGCAAACAACGTCGATGTGAAGGACAGTGTGACAAAAGACACGTCATTCCGACCGACATCCTCCGTTCAGGAAGTCCATTGTTTTCATTGTTTGAACGTTGGCGAGGGGACAAAAAAAAAAAGAAAAAAAAAACTTTTAGAAACCAGAATCTAGCCAAAATGGTCAATACAAACATCAGGGATGATAAAATTATTGACATCAACCGATTTCTTATTCAATAAAAGTAAACCTAATTTGATGTGCAATTACCAACATTTGGGTCCGTCAGATTCTGTATATCGCTATCTTCAGTGTTGGGGTCTGAAAATCGGTAAAGACCAAATTTCAAGTCATTCACCCCATAGACCACAAGTCTGTGCAATCAAGTCAATCTAACAAGTAAAAATATATATCAAAAAAATTTAAATTTGACCTACAAACCAAACTGTCTAGGTTTTTGTCTTGTGTTTGACTATTCAGAAAACTGTGTTTAGTCCTGAATCATTTGAATTTAAAGGCATTCCTGTTGGGACAATAGCCCCATTCAATAGTCAGAATCGTGGAACGATATAATAATATATAAACGTAGGAAAATGGATTGCGAATCGCAAGCAGATAACAAGCAAACTGTTATATTGTTAGTCGTTAGTCGTTCACGGCAGTTATGTTTTCTTATGTCGCTATGGGTCCCGTCCTGGCTCACCACAGGTATCATTGTGTACATGGAATCACAATGAGGGATTAGTACAGAAATCAACTTTTGACGATAGTGCACAACGATGGAGGGTTCTCCTTCTGAAGGGTGGAAAATTCCAGCTATTTCTTCTGCTGTATGTTTGTCAAATCTGTGCATATCCGCTATCAACAAAACACAAGTTAAAGTTAAAACTTTCGTCTTGAGTTGTTTCAGCTGTTGTCCTGTATGCTTGTATGCTTCAGCATAAAGGGGTTTAGCCAAAAAGCCAAGGGCTGTCAAATCTGCTCGGCCTAGGTTTTTATTTTCTGGGCGTACTGAACGCACATCCACAGCTTTGTCGGAGTGTATAAAATATAATTGACAGAACTTCACCTCAGGTTGCAACAAATCCGATATGAATCAGTGAATCTGTCCTTGTATTTTAAAACAGTAAGGTCCAACTCTTGGTCTTTCGTACCTTTTGTCAGAAAAAGAGGTAAATGCCATTGCGCTGTTGTAATTTCGTGTATCGTTCAAAAAATTTGGACAATTAAGGAATACTTCCTCTAACTACAAATTGATTTGTGGTTCTGGAAGTGAAATAAAGCCATTGTCGCCTTTACAGTTACAGTACTATTCAGCAAAAAACACTAAAATATATAATACACAATAACACAATATTAGTATCTACTGAAAAAACTACTGCAGACGTAAATCATATTTTAATAACTTATTTATAGTCTTCAGGATTAATAATTTATACTTATGGTAACCTTCCAATAAATCTGAGGTCAGGGATTTTGTTTAAGCCATTAAGAATCCGTGGAGCGATTCGGCCATAATTTCGATAAGCGTTTCGGTCGTTCGGAATTATAAATAAAGGTAAAGATAACGTTTTTCCGAGAACTGGAGCTTATCTCGCCTTACTGTAATGTGTTTTCCCTGTAATTTGAAGCATTTTGTGAATCATTGAATAACATACAATGATGTACGCAATGTGAAATGTAATGTAATTGTCAATGTTTCCCTCAGTTCCGAATCTTGGGGTGATTCGTCAGATTTTCCCTAGGACTCTCAATGATGTACGCTACTGAAAATTTACTTAACGTCCAGTCAAAATTTACATCAAAGTTTGACTTTAAATGTCAATGTACCCCCTAGTTCTTAATCTTGGGGTGATACTCATCTAGTCAACATTTATATCAAAATTTGACTTGTTTAATGACAATTTTTTCCTTAGATCTGAATCGTGGGGTGATACATATGATTTTCCATATCTTTCTCCTCAAGAATAATTTAGAATTGAAATTCCCGTTGTTAGGATAAACGAAAACAGCAATTCTTTAATTTCACCAACAGCATTTAGACGTATTTAGCGACATGGAGCAAGGAAATTCTCATGGATCATGTTTGGGTTCGTCGGGGTACAAGAAGAACCTGTTGAATAATTCATCGACGACTCTGTAACAGAACTTTTTCTTTTTAAAACCACTCGCCGCCCCTCGGACGTGTCTCGAATCGTCCAAGAGAAGGACCGCGAGATCCTGGGAAATGATTTATCCGGTCTGGAAGAAGAGTGGGGCCGTGCAAGGACGACCGGTGCAAATTGGCATCAAGGAAAATTAACACAGCGGATGGGAAAATATAATGGCATTTTCCGCAATTTCACGGTTCTGCTCGTTAACCAGAGACCTGATGGCGCGTTATTTTCAGGAAATGAGTAAGACGACGATACTGATTCGTCCTTGAATTTATTCCAGTTTTATGATGGTAAGAATTTTAAAAGAAGAAAGAAAATCTTGAAACCCAATTAGTAGTAGATTATTTTTCCCTCTATCGAGAAAAGTTCCGATAAAATTCTAAGATTAGGCACACAATTAAGATTAAAATTTCTCATAAAAATGAGCTACTTATTGTCAAATACTTCGATATATTGGCAAAGCTGGCAAAACTTGCAATATATAATAAGTACGATTTTGGTAGACAAGGATGACATCACGTACTGTTAACTATTACCTTTTAACTTTTTTTTATAAGGATATAACATTTCCATGAAATATAGCAGCACCAGATTGCAATAACTTTTGGAGTAACATTTCGTACTGATTATGTAGATTATTTTCATAAATTCAATATAACAAGGTAATGGCGTTTAACAGTTATTATTAAAAAGGTGAGAGAAGAAAAGAGGAGAGGAGAAGAGATGAAGAGAGAGATAGAGAGGGGTGAGAGAGCGAGAGAGAAGAGAAGGAGAGAGAGGGAGTGAAAGAGAGAAGAGAGTGAGAGAGAGAGAGGGAGAGAGGAGAGAGAGGGAGCGAGAATGAGAGGAGAGAGAAAGATGAGAGAGAGATAGAGTAGGAGGGAGTGAGAATGAGAGAAGAGAGAGAAAGAGAGGAGAGAGGAGAGGTGAGAGGAGAGGAGAGAGAAGAGGAGAGAGGAGAGGAGAGAGGAGAGGTGAGAGGAGAGGAGAGAGAAGAGGAGAGAGGAGAGGTGAGAGGAGAGGTGAGAGGAGAGAGAAGAGGAGAGAGGAGAGGAGAGAGGAGAGGAGGGAAGAGAGGAGGGAAGAGAGGGAGAGAAACAGTTTTATGTAAAAGAACTAACGAACAAAAAAGGGAGACATGAGACAATTCAGAAATAACCACCGATGAAGTTAAAATATTGCTGATAATATATATGTATATAATAATGTACTGTATAATACTACAATAAAAGGACAGAGAAATGGTAAGTTAGAATAAAATATGTAATAATATATAGACTGTTTAGCAAAATAGGATAATACAACAATTTTTGCTTCGTCGATTTTCCGTTCGATGTTTTATTATCTTCAAAGGTCAACAGCCAGTCAAGCAAGGCGAAAACAATCCCGTGGTATAAGGTGAAGATGCTGTTGGTGAGCAATTGTGCCAGATGTGGTTTGCCAAGTTTGAGTTGAAAAGAAAATCTGTCGTTTCAAGGATTCGAAAATAACAATCCACGTCATACTATATTACACCAATATTCTGTCATCATATCCCAGTTTCAAGTTTTATAATTCCTTATCGTCTTAACCCAGACCGGACAGTTTGATATGGCAACGGAACTGGTCGGAGCGAAACAAACAGCGAAAATAGACGGACAAGGAAGATCACATTCATATTTGTGTTGTGTTTACATGCTGACCTGTTTAATACTATTGTACAATTTGTGTATGAAAATTACAAAACATTTACGTTTTATTTAATATCAGATTTCCTTAGTAATTTTTGGTTAGTTTAAAAACTGGACAAAAAATCTATGAGTTATTCCTTATGGATTAGTTTGTAATTACTTATATATAATTATGGATTACTCACCCCATCCACCATGGTTTAGCAGCATGGGTAGTCAAAAGCCTGAAGATATTGGGCATGCTCAACACCGGCCCTAAGCCGATGTCATCATCGTCGTCGTCTTCATCCGATTCATCCTGTTCTTCCGATTTCTTCTTCGGTTTCGGGGTAGTTTCTTCCCTTTCCTGTGAGGCGGAAGCGTCGACGTCCATTTTGTCCTTGGCCGCGGACGTGTCCAATTCTTCCCTATCGTGCTTCGTCAGCTCGTCGAGCAATCTGAAACAAGTAAAGTACAAACGTCGCAATTAAATCATTAGGTATGTCTAATATAAGGTCAAATAAATGGTTTACTGCTAAAAACTATATCGACATTACGCCTTACTGTATCCTTCATGTACAAGCACACTCTGAAATTGGCTCTAGGAACTGACAGGGCGGTTTGAAGAGAAGAGTACCAATTATGAAAAATGATAATAAAAAACAATGGCGATTCTTTTTCACCCAGACATTTTCGATTTCCGTCGACATTTAATAGTTTAAAAAAAAACTCCGATCCCGTGGAAAATTTCTTTGACCTGGATAACCCGGGTGAAATCAATTTTGAAAGGTGTGTCGCAAAGTATGTCACAGGCGGACGGTCGGCTCAGTACACAACAAGAATTAGTGTGGATTTATTTCAGAAATATTGTCATCGGTCGATTTTTCCCTTGAATCACCACCAAGACCCATAATATCGTACCATTATGTTTTAAGCAAATAATCCATGATAAATATCATATATATACCATAAATACCAGATATAAATGATAAATGGTGAAAACGAAATCATTATATGGCTATATTAATCCAATTAATTACAGGAAAGAAAATTAATAAATAAAATAACTCGTGAAATAATAACATATACCATTCTATATGTTGGATAGTTATTAAGTTCTGTAGTTTTANCGAGAGAGAGAGAGAGAGAGAGAGAGAGAGAGAGAGAGAGAGAGAGAATTATTTGCTGTTGCGATATATGTATATATATATATATTGTATTTTGTATGTTATCATTTTGTACATTAGATAAATACAAATTAAATTGATAAATAATTATCTATCTATCGTACGAGTGATCTTGTATGCGACGGGATAAAATATGAGAAATGAAACGTCTTTTCGTCAAGTACACCTTTTGTTTCTCGGATCTAGAACATCACGGCTTTCTATTCCCGTGAAATACACCATTTCTAAAACTGTGTTCGCTCTGGAAACTAGACAGAATCAAGTCATCCGATCTCACCTACTCTCGAGTAAACAAGTGCGGAAAAAACGTCAGGGAAATGTGATGGTTTAATCGGGGGGAATGTCAATCTGGTGACGTCTGCCCCAATCAATGCTGACCTCTTAATCTAAACAATGTATTACAAGCAGATGTATTAAAAAAGCCGGATTTGCAAGTATGGCCAGCGCGACCTCCATTCCCAAGAATAACCGGCGTCCACCCTTAGAAAGGTGTAAGGGCTGGAGGAATAATCCACCGCTAATCCATCCAATTCATGTCAGTAATTTATACAAGTATAGATTCTAATTGGAAATGTGAAAGTAGTTCTTGATTTTAGAAACGGTACCGTTAAACGAGGGGGGTTGACGACCCGAAGCTACAGAAACGTAACTCACTCCTATGCATTTCTCAACAGTTAACTGACGCAACCGGCATCCTTTTTGACCCTGATTTCCCTGGGTGAAAGAAAAGAGTTCAACGCTTTTCTTAAACTCAAATCCAACAAACAAACCAGCCAAAACAACGGGTCGTTTACAACCAGGTAGCTTACACTTACATGCATACATAATCGCGTACAACTTTTGTGGAAGTCTCAGTCCGGAAATATGCAATATATATTGTAGTATAATAATAATAATAATAATAATTCTCTTTTCAGTAGACCGTGTTGCCATGCTCGGCTGACAATTATCCTCCTCCTCTGCATAACCGATCACCGGGCTGCGTTGATTACTCACCAGTCGTTTTAACTTTTCATCAAGGCTATTTCAAGTAAAGGAAAAAATTATTTTAGTTTGTGATAAATAGAACTTTTTCGACATGAAAACACTTTTACTCATTGAGCAGCAGAAGAGATGATAAAAATAATATGTAAATTATGATTCATAATCAAGAGTTTTAGAATTTTTTGAACAAAAAATTGATTTTAAGGTTTTTAATATAGATGAACAAATTGATTATAGCGTTTCACCTTTGGTTATAAAATGTTGCGAACCTATAAATTTAAGAGTCAGAAGACCTATTAGAATTTTTTACACGTTTGACTGTTTCAAATGGATAAATAGATTGTTTAAATAATTCGTAAACATTTTATAAGATCGTATTAAGTTGCGATCATTTTCCAACGTAATCCGTTAGTTAATACAGTTTGTATATAAACAATATTTCCGGTTGTTACAGTTCCACTTTATAAAAATTTATCAGAGTTAAAAAAAGTCAGATTTTGTGTATAAAACCTTTCGATTATTTTAAAATAAAACTTATTCTATATATATTATAAAGAAATTTAAAAAAAAATTGTAACGATGGAATTAAACCGAATTCGCATATTTTTATGACTCTTTCCTTGATAAAATTAATCATTTAGTGTTAATCATCTTATCATTTAGCGTAAATCACAATGATTACGTGTCTCGAAAGAATAACAACAAACAAGGCTATCTACAGGACGACACTAATATTTTGTGTAAATATTAAGAGGTTTTGGGAATAAGTCATACTTTTCATAATATTTGGCAAAACGGCTGAAAGCTTGTCAAGGTCAATTTCCAGGATTATAATTTTATGATAATTGGAAAATAACGTTATTCACAAAAAATTATATTGTTTTAATTCAAGCATTATATGCTAAATTATTTCTAGGATGGCAGCAAGCAGTTCGGAAATAGATGTAATTTCTTTCCACATAAAATTATATAAAGATCAAATAGGTCCTGAAATCGAAAAGAACGCTGCAAAATTTTAATGCAATTAAGAAATTTTCTTTAAATCAATACAGAAGGGTCTTGTTTGGCAATTTTATACTTATTATTATCTCTACGTTTTTACGGTGATTTTTAAGGTTGGGCTAATGGAAGCCGAAGATTTATACCTGTCTCGCCGACTTTGGTACCTTAAATCTTACCATTTCGTTTTTGTAAAAATCTTACTGTGCTTAAAAGAAAGTTTTCGTGTTTTCCACACCAGTTGAAAACTTGAAATTAGTGTCGTTTTTGTTAATTTCCAAGATTAACACCGTGCTAAAAATCCCCCTCCACCCGTTTTCTACTTTTTCGATTTTATATCTAAAAGGAACACAAAGACGAACAAGAATTTTCTAAATTAAAATTTATATATTAAAAAATGAGACATTTAATAAACTAAATAATCAAACATAACTAAAATTAAAATGAAAAATTGTAACATGATAATAATAATGTAAAATTATGCAATTGTAATCAAAAAGGGTACAGATTAATAATAATAAATAACATAGTACAATTTCTAATTATAATAACAAGAAATAGAAAAGCCGAAAACATAGAAAACAATTAAATTGAATTGTTTTCAACTGATACACGAAGAGTAAAGTAATCTTAACAAAATGGCCCATCTAACTGTTATAATTTTAATTTATTTCTATTTTCTAATATTAATTTTTTTTAAATTAAGCCTAAAATTAATGTTAATTTTTTTCAAGACGATATTTTATTAAATTCAACGCAGAAGAAGCAATGTTAAATACTAAAACCTCGGAGAGGCCAATCGTTGGAAATCATTGTGGACCGATGGACTAAACTTAACAAAACGGCAGATCGTACTGATCACCCGATACAAAAAATAAATAAATAGGAAGTAAGTTGAATAAATTTTAAAACTTTTTTTTAAAGACAAATGTTTTAACTAAGGCTCGTTTGATCACGTAGGCGAGAGTTTTTACGAAATCCAACACACAAGAAACTCGACTTCATGCTTTTTAACGTACACAGTATGTGAAAAGGCATTAAAAAGCATTGTTCGGGAAAACGTGAACAGACTAGCATTGTTCCAGTTGAAATGTAACAAGTCGAAATCGTATTTTAACAAATATTTTCCCCTCATCGACGAACAGGGTTCGTAATTTTCACATAATTCTTTAAAGGTATCACTTAGGCAGATTAATGGTTTCGAAACGCGCAATTCAAAACAAACAGTTAAAAAATACCTGTTGATCCAAATGGGGTGATATACAAATCTCGTAGAATTTCCGTGATTTCCTTCGAGTCCGTTATTCAACATTTTCTTTCTTTTTGTCCATTATATAACCAATTCTGGCTTTATGAATAAGGACAATTGTGATATTCCTTTTTGTAGCCTGCGGATGCTCGGTCCGCCTATCCTCGCTATTTTCGTCCGTCTGACGATTTTCATCTTGTCGCCATTTTCATTCGGGTTCTTTAAGGATTAAAAAAAGGAATTTTTTCGTGAAATAAGATCAAACAGATAGATCAAAAAGTAAGGAATTTTTTTAAATATTTAACTACCTATTTAATTTTAATAGGTATGTTTCTTGTTTCTTAAAGATTGCCTTTGCCTAATAAAAAATAAATAAAAATAAATGTTATAAATAATGTTGTTGTTGGTCGGACGTGATTAATTCAAATGGTCGGCGGATTGTCCGGGATTGTATCGTGCCTAAGTGAATTCATCCGCACGGAACAACAAATAAAATAATAAAATTGTTGATTTTTATTCCAAAAAAATTTCCTATGTCTTTGTAACTTTTTTATTTAGAAATAACACAAATAAAATAATTAACCGGAAATGAAATTGTGGCAAGTAGTCCAGGTCACTATTGCGTTTCTATCGTGCTAATTAAATACTTAAATGTTTAAAATGTGCTAATTAAACGTAAAAAACAAAATTTTACCTTTAGTTTCCTTTTTTGATTCACGATTTAAAAACGCTTTGTTTTATTTAAAAATTCATAAATTAAAATTAAAAAAAAATATGTTAGGGCTGACCGATGATTTAGTTGTAAAATATAGGGATTTGGTTAATCAAAACCGGCTCTTTCGCATCGATAAAACAAAGCGGTTTTATTCGGTTTTTTCTTTAAATAAATAATGAAAAAGAAATATCAAGGAAAAAAAATAAAGATTTAACTTACTGTTCCATCCATTCCGACTCGGACCTGGCGTAGCCGGACAGACAGGCGATTGCCAAAACGGCCAAAATCGCGACTCTCATCTCTCAAAATGTACCTTGACCTGGTAGAAAAGTGAAGCGATTGATTCAGCTTTGACAGTCAAATAGAAACTGACATCGGCTTCCGTCGTGAGTTGGGAGCTGCCCTGCTGCTCGATAAGTGGGGAGACCACGGCTGGTGCATGCGTCAGGGGTCCGGGCCGTTCGTTCCGCTTCCATCAACAACTTCTTCGACCTTCTAAACTAACCGATTCTAGAATATTCTTCGATCTTTGCCCGTTGCGAAATCCTCGGAAATCGCGGAAAATAACAATAGCAAAAAAAAAAATCCAACACCTTCGCTCTTCGATAAATTTTACTTCCTCTGACCCCTACTGCTCGCAGGCTGTTCAAACTGTAAAATCCTTGCAGCTTTCTTGATTGGAAGTCATCAATCGCCTCCCAATAGATTATTCAATTTTCATGGCCGTGGGAAGCTTAAAAATGCCAAGTCTACTGGAATGACGATTCCATTCTCCAAAGAATCTAAATATCTAGAGGACATACTAGTCCAGCGGCTTTCATGTAATCCACATCTACTTGGAACTACCCAAAGAACCGACATTGCCTGGGGGAGGTGTATTAAAAGGCTGGAGGCGTAACCCCAAAATGACCCTATGGCTTTACACTTGTGTCATAAGATCAATGCCACATGACATATGGGTCGGTGGTGTAGTCAAGACTTTGCAAGCTAAGACACTGAGGCTATTAAATGGCGCTCAAAAACAAGCTTGCCCCAGTGTCACTGGAGCCACGAATACAACGCCAACTGAGGCCTTGGGGGTGTTGTTAAACGTTCCAATCCTCCATATTCTAATCGACATGCCTCGACATGCCAATCAACGCTACAGCTCCAAAATATAGCTTCACCAACAAGTATACCAGAAAAGGAAGAAACGGCCATAGGAATACCTCTGAACGCCAAATCCGACTGGAGTGACGGCTCAAAAACGGGTAGATGCAAGGTAGCTGGAGTCCTCGGGATGAATCGAGACCGAACTGACGGTAAACCTAAGTAAATATGCTACAGTTTTCCAGTCTGAAATCATAGCGATTCAACACTGCCCCAGGGAAATAAAAAGGCTAGGAATGCATTCCCGGAAGATAGCCATCTTCTCTGAGAGTCAAGCAGCTGTAAACGCTCTAGCCTCATTCGTGTTGAAGGCAAAGAGCGTTTGAAACTGCTTGGAGGCTCTGACGTTAGTCAGCGACACTAATGACCTGACCATAGGGCCTTGGGCACTCGGAGTCTAGAGGCAACGAGAAGGTTGACACGGGAAAAGAGGGAGCCTTGAACTCTGGCTTGCCACAAAAGATGATATATCTTAAAATGGATCCTTAATGAGTCCAAAACCTGGTGGAACAATACCACAGTTATGAGAGATTCATAGAACGGCCATCCGCAAACAGATAAAGGAATTAGTGAAAGGAAACCGCAACCGAACCAGGATTCTGGCTGGACTCCTGACAGGGCATTGCCACTTAAGAAAGCACATGGATTGGATAGGGGTACAACAGAAGAAACACTGTGCAGATACTGCCAGGAAGAGGAGAAGAACGCAGAACACATTTTATGTTTCTGTGAAGGTCTGTGTAGGTGCATATTCTTGCAACTAGAACAGGAAAAACCACAAGCAAAATCCAATGTTATACTAAGGCAAGGCTGTGGAGGTTGATTAACAACTTAAAGTTGACCAATGAGTTATAAAAACAAGGGAACACAATAGATCTACTCAGGTCGAGGTATAGAAGGCCCTATCGCCACCTCTTTTATCCCTATCACCGGGAAAATAAGGAGGAAAACGAATACAAATTGTTTTAAAACATTATCTATTTGACACAAGGTCCATTACATCAAAAACTATACGTATAGGGTGTATTATGAACGGTGTAGGATCAAGGTAAAGACTCTGTACTTGTAGTTCAGTTTGTCCAGTACAAAAGACACTCTTATCGTCAGCTTTTTTTCAATTCTGTCCCTGTTAGGGCCCGTTGCACCAACTTCGTTTAACCTTGGTTCAGTACTGAACGGAGTTCAACACAAATATCGGCGTTTTTCAATCTCTATTGATCCGAGATCAAGTGTTGAACGTCGATCAATTCTGAACGGTCGTCGAGCTCGGGTTAAACAGGGTTCAGAGCTGAACAACGTTCATTTAATAATATAACCTGCGCGTTGTTTAACCGTATATTGAGACATCGAAATGGACGCATTTTTATCTAGTTATTTATTAGAGGAATTAACAGACGATGAAGATTTCCTTGAGCTAGTAGCTCTACATATAAACAAAGAAAGGGTTTTTAGAACCAGAAGGGAACATTTTCACGAATGGGATAATGATGAATTCTTCAACAGATTCAGAATGACAAAGCATGCAGTGAACTTCGTATTAGAGAAAATACGAAATTCAATCACTCATCGAACTACCAGGTAAGTGATATTAATTAGTTAGCTTTGAATAGCAATGGTTTTTTTTTTTTTTTTACTTGATTGATAATGTTTTCAGAAATCAGGCTACCTCCCCCGAACTGATGTTACTAACTACACTTCGATTTTATGCAACAGGATCGTTTTTGACAGTTTGTGGTGATTTCAGTGGGTTGCATAAATCTACTGTATGTAGAATGGTGCGCAGAGTTTCTCGAGCTCTTGCATCATTGAGGCGAGAATTTATTCATTTTCCAAAAAACGAAGCTGGAAGAATGGCTGTCTGTGCTGAAATGTACAAAATCAGCAAATTTCCAAAGTGCATAGGTGCTATTGATTGCACTCATGTTCGTTTACAATCTCCAGGTATAAAATAAATTGCAAATATCTTTTTTCCATTTCTAGTTTTTCTGTTTAATTTTTAGGTGGTAATCAAGCAGAGCTGTTTCGCAACAGGAAAGGATTCTTTTCATTGAATGTACAGACAGTTTGCGATGCAGAGCTGAAGTTCGAAAACATTGTTGCCAGGTGGCCCGGTAGCACACACGATGCCCACATTTTTAGAAATTCAATCTTAAAAACACAATTTGAAAATGGAGATATGAATGATCTTGTTTTGGTTGGTGACAGTGGGTATCCTCTAAAAAAATACTTGCTAACAAAATTAAATCACCCAACCACAAGAGGGGAAATACTCTACAATGAGTCCTTAATTAGGACAAGAAACGTTGTCGAGAGATCATATGGTGTTTGGAAACGTCGCTTTCCTATACTTGCTATTGGAATGAGGTGCAACTTTAATTTGGTTGAGCCAATTGTGGTAGCAACTGCAGTATTGCACAATATATCATGCATTTTTAAAGATCCAATTCCATTCATCAATGATGAAGTGGAAACCCAAATTATTAACCTTCAGTTCAATCAAATTGGAGAAGTGGAATATGATGGGAATGCAAGAATTCCATTTATCGAATATTTTGATACCTTATAGACCACACCATCGAACGTATAGAAGTTATGTAAAGAAGTAGTACAAAAATGTATATAAATATTTATATTGACATATATGTACATATAATAAAAGATAATAATTTAGTGTAAAGGAAATAATAAAAATGTAATGTAAATTAAAATAATCTAATCTTAAGAAATACTACAATACAAAATTAAAGTGGTTAAACAAATAAAGAATATAGATTGAAAAAATAAAAAACAGTAAAAAAAACAATGAAATCAACACAAAAAGACTAGGGAAAGCGGTACAGCAAACAATATAAACAATGAAAAACTACGACGTATAGCTATAACCGTACAAAAAGGCTATAATCAGTTGTACCAACGACTGGTTGAACAGCGATCAGCTGAACGGCGGTCCCCTGCACATGGTGCAACGCTCCCTTCGCTGAACTTCGTTCAAATTGTGAACGACGTTCCAGTGAACCCGGCTTGAACCGTGACTGGTGCAACGGGGCCTTAGTATCATAATGATTAATGGTTTGTCAAGTGTAACTCGACGTGTCTACACACAATATATAATATGACATAAAACATTCTATTCTGTTCTATAGTCCCTATCTTCAGTCCATGACGAGTTACTATTTTTTATTAGTTTTTCCATGCAAACGTTACCTTATTTGAGAAAAACACAAGGGCTACCACAGTTCTGGATCCAAACACCATTGGACACACTGAACTATACACCTTTTCCTTAAGGAATCCCCAAATGTAGAAAATCCATGATGTCTCCACCTCTACCAATCCACTTGGGATATTGTTGGTTCAACCTTGCACGCACTTGGGCTTAGGTGTACAGTTCAATAGTGAACAGTGCTGAAGTTTTAAGTAAATCCTCAAAGCATCTGATAAACTTAGAATCAATTTATCCACACGAGTAACTGAAGGTGCCACGAGAAAAAGATCACAGATTTGTCAGTCATCGTGGTCAACAGGAGGGATTGTGGATATTCTTATACCGTTTGAATGCTTAATAAATAATGAACTTTTCGTGAAGTTCTCTAGGATTAAACATAAGGGCATACTTAATTATACATTTTTCTTAAAAACCAAATTTTGTGGTATTTTTTGAATATTTATTCAGATTCTTAACTGAAAATTATTTCAGACGAAAATCGTATAAAGGAAACTTAATGCTGAATCCAAAACTGTGATTGCCCTTATGATAGATATTTGTCTTTTTCCTTGGAAAAACTAACAAAAATCGCAACTCGTCAGGGACTAAAGGATAGGTATGTTAATCTATAGGTATACGTTGGAAGTTGTTGCAAATAGGATGTACTATCACACAAATTTTTTTTCGTACTTTCACTGGTGCTGCATATGTCTATTGTAAAGTGCGGATTTGGTACACGGACATAAAATGAAATTAACTGCAATCACTTGCCAACTTCGGCCTTTCTAAGGTCATCCTCAGGGCCTAAAAATCTTTACATTCGTATATAACTTTTCCTGTACTTTTTATAAATGAAAAAAAATTACATTAGCATATAGTATCGCACTTTATTGAGTTACATTTGTTGATTTTTTGTGGATGTAAGCACGTTTTCGGAGCTGAAAATTGTTCCAACACATGGATTTTTGTATTAACAGTCCTGTTTTTTTAAATCTGAAGTAAAAATTTTCTAAATACAGGTTCAATTAGTAAAAGTAAAGGTCGTTGGGTCGTCGGTTTAAAGTGTTGATTGTGTTCAAATAAATTTGATTACCTTATATAAAAATATACAAAATAAAAAGCTACGTGTCTTTTTGGTCTGGCCGAAAGCTTGTCAAGTGATTGCAGTTAATTTCATTTTATGTCCGTGTACCAAATCCCCACGTTACAATAGCACCAGTGAAAGTACGAAAAAGTTTCTTTCTTTTTTTGGCCATACAACCGATCCCCCCCCCTCCGGTGGTCGATAACTCCACATAATTATACATGTATTATAAAACCCTAAACTATACATACTTTTATACTTTAA